GGGGGGGGGCCTGTCGTCGGCACCTCCGACCCCCACTTGCTCCTTGTCATCTACTTATACCCCTTGGGCCAAGAACCGCATGGTCACTATGGGAAACCTGCAGAAGCAAGCCAATCTACCCGCTTATCTTGCCCATCTCCCCCACACCTTTGTGGGCAGAGTAGTGCCACAGCCATGGGAGCGGTGCAAGCGTTGCTCCCAAGTCCGCTTTCGCTTAAGCACGGCGTGCAGCTTCCCGACTTTTCGTCCACCACCGCGGGGCTTCAAATTCAATTCCCTTTGAGCTTCTCCGGTTCTACCGAGCCGCCTGCCCATAGCGGTAATTTTGACCCGCTTCGGTAAACCCGTCCAACTCTATCCAACCGTGGGAAGAAAACTCGCAGAACTTGGCTACCATGCGATTCGCATGCACGAGGAACAATGACACCGGAAACGAGAGAAGAGAACATGCTCTGCCTAGGCACGCAGGCGCTCGGTATGGTTGCGCTATGTGACACTGGTCCCACCGGCGTTTCCGATTTACTCTTCCGGAACATCAATCGATGTCGGATCCAAAGAGCTTCCGAGATGCATGCCTTTCGTGATCAAATGCTTAGCTCGTTGATCAGACGACGTTGTGAAGATGCTTGACTAGTCCTTCACCTGCATTCATCGCTTCTATCCCATCCTTTGGATGACATGAAGACAGACAGCAGCGTGGAACGAAGATTGCGTCGTGGAGTAATGGCTGGGTTCGGCTTCTCGGGAATCGGAGAGAAGAATTGGGCTTGCCTGATCTTGTGCTTGCAGAGCGCAAGAAAAAATTCAGAAGGAAAACGGCAAAGCGGCAGACCCTGAATGTGGAGCTTGTCGTGTACGGTGTACGTGTAGATACTCTGTCCCACCATTCACTCGTTCCAGATTCTGGAAACATCGCCACGATGGCAGCGAAGCGCACCCTGCTCAGGTTGCAGCCTTTGCTGGCTGTTGGAAGTGGCTCAAGCACCTTCCTGCCTGGTGGCTCTTCTCGGCATTTTACATCCTCGCTTCAGAGCAGATCACAGGACTACAAATTTGACGATCAGCTAGCACCGCCTCCCCAACCCCGATCCTCGTCGTCCTCGCCTTCCTCCCATCCGAGGCCAAAGGCGCCAGCCTCGTCAGACCGGACCGAGCGTAGTGACTCATCACGCAAAAACCCACCATCTCAGCCACAGTCCGCCTCCGACTCAGCACTAGCACGCACCATCTTCGTGCGAACTAAGAACGGAAAGCACCTCGTCTCTGTCGTACACACGCTGTCTCTACTCTCGCAGCTCGCTGCCAAGTTCGGCCCAATCCAGCACTTTCACTTTCCGCGCGAGCCCTCTTCGCAGCGCCTCTTCGGCTATGGCAGCGTCACCTTCTTCGAAAAGGAAAGCCTGCAAAAGGCGCTCTCCAACGATGGCGTCCATACCGTCGTCCTGCCGCCCATCGTACCGTCACGGGCACCAAGATCGTATCTCTCCGACAAGGAGCATGCGTGTCTCGTAGGGATGGGTCCTTTGATCAGCTGCGAAGCTCCAAGCGGGCATGCTACCGCATCGCAAACCCACCTCTCCGCTCGATCTCTCCAGAACCCAGCATCGATGCGCCCCGGTTGGAACGACGTCGCTCCCCTCTGCAACATGGAAGCTGCAACAAAGTCGCGCTACTTTGTCGATCAATCCAGGGCCACCGAAGAGACTCCTCAGGACGCCATCATCGCCCACAGTTCCGACTTTTACCTCTCCACCTCGCCCGTGACTGTAGAGATCAAGATGGAGCGCAGGACATCGTCTTTCGCTTCACGTCCGGGTGCACGCATCGATGCAACCGCTCGCAACGTCAGCTCACACATCAAGGTGCGCGCCGCTCTGCGCCAGTTCGGTGGCTTCAGCAATGTCATTCGGGACCAAGGCTTGCTGGATGGCGAACTTCCCTACTCGCACGACCAAGACACTTCTAGGCCTCCTTCTGCAGGCCGAGGCGGTGCGCGGCGCCCACATACAAAAGCGAACTCGCATTGGCGATCCGATCGTCCTCTCAGTAGAGGCTTTTCGACCTCTGCTGCCTCGTTCAGTGCCGAACAAGTCAAAGCCAAACGCAAGGCAGAGTGGCAGCGCAACCGCCACTCCAACTTTGTCGATCAGCTCTTCCTCCGCCTCACGGGCGGCAAGGGCGGTGACGGTTGTGTCTCTTTCCATCGCGAGAAGTTTGTTGAGTTAGGTCCACCGTCGGGGGGTAATGGTGGTGCCGGCGGCTCGATCTACATACGTGCGATCGATGGTCCTACCACGCTTGCCCGCATTTCGCGTCGCTTTCGCGGAGCGGATGGTCCCCACGGACAAGGGAGCTTTTTGCACGCCAAAAAGGTTGAGGACAAGTATATCGAGGTCCCCGTCGGCACTGTGGTGACTGCGACACGGCGATTGCGCATTTCGGAGGAGGAGGAGGCCGAACAGTACTATCAGGACTTGCTCAGGAGGGCAGCCAAGGCCAAGTGGGATCCCACCGGTGCTGTGGCCAAGGAGGATGTTGTGCTTGCTGCTGAGGAAGAAGAACGTAAACGTTTGGCTCGGACAAGGCCGCCATCCGAGATCGAGTACGACAACGACGAGGCTTCGGCCGAGGAGCACACCAGCAGCGGAACGGTAGCAGGGCAAAAGGCCATCGAGGAAGACGAGATCGACGGAGAAGATCTCTTGGAACCGGACGTCGCCCGTCAGCTTCAAACCCTCCGCGACCGCGTGTGGCGCCACTATCCACGTGCGGAAGAGACCAATTACCGACGCAACGAATTCCGAGCCGCCGAGATGCGCCTCGCCCTCGACCGTCGTCGTCGTCGTCGCTACCTCGCTCAATCTCAAGCAGCTTCCGCCGCAGCATCCGGCTTCGTCGCCGCATCCTCGGCCGATCAGCACTCTGCAGCTTCAGTGACACCGTACGAGGACGAAGAACCATCCTCTCATCCATGGCGGATCGATCTCGACGAACCCACACCTGCCGATTCCCCTGGCATACTTCTAGCCTCTGGCGGCAGGGGTGGACTCGGCAACCCCACCTTTCTGTCCTCCGCCAATCGGTCGCCCAAGTTCGCCACGCGCGGAGAATGGGGTGAATCGCTCGAGATCATGCTCGAACTCAAACGACCCTCCGACATCGGTCTCGTCGGCCTACCCAACGCGGGCAAATCCACCATCCTACGAGCCATCTCTGCATCCAAAGCACAGGTGGGTCATTGGCGCTTCACCACGCTCTCCCCCAACCTCGGTGTCGTCCGACTTGGTTCCGATGGAACGGTCATCGGTGTCGACGACTCGGAAGTCACCGAGGGCTACGGAAGCGACGTGCACTCCGTCAAAGACGCAGAAGCTTCCGAGCAAGAAGAATTCCGACTTGTACTCTCGGACATCCCCGGACTAATCGACGGCGCAGCCGAAAACCGTGGATTGGGACACACGTTCTTGCGACACATTGAACGATGTTCCATCCTCGCGTATGTGCTTGATCTTACCGAGCCAGAACCGTGGCGCGATCTCAAGGTGCTTCACAACGAGCTGGCATCTTATCGTGAGGATTTGCCGAAGAAAGCTCGTCTCGTCATCGTCAACAAAGCAGACCAGTTCAGAACGCCGCACGAGATCGACGAGGCGAAGAGCAAACTGGACAGGATCCGACAACAGGCAAGGGAGATCTGGGAGGATCAACGGGCCTTGGATCGGGGAGCTGACGGGCAGCCGATGAAGGTGATGACACTTTCGGCTAAGAAGAAGCAAGGCACGGCGGGGTTGGCCAAGACGTTGGTAGAGCTGTTGCGCGCACAGCGGGAGCAGGAAGAAACGCTGGTGAAGGTTTCAGTCAGCTAGAGGGCTTTGCGACGGTCATCAGACGAGGTGTGCGGTGGAATCAATGACAGTGCAAATTGACAGAGCAGGAAGCGTTGAGAAGTAACTACACCTGGGACGAGTAGGGACGGTGCGAGAAAGCTCGAGAGTCGTACGGTGAGAGTAGAGACAGTCGGGACGAGTAGGGACGGTGAGGGAAAGCTCGAATCGACACAGTGGTCTGGTCGCAGCAGCGCGAAGAGAATGAAGCATCAAGAGCAAGAAGGTGAAAAGCGAGATTGGACGTGACAGAGGATCGTGAACCGAGAGTCGATGAGCAAGTGAAAGCTTGCCTGAGCTCGTAACCTTGTTTCAGGAAGCTGTTGTATAAGAATCTAGAACCCAAAGATGCCACCCAAGAATCCACCTCCGCTGCTCTTCGTTTGGGTTTGAGCCGTCGAAGTTGTCGTCGTCGTGGCATCCACATTGTTGTACGTCGATGGTAGGTTGCAGTTGATACCCTGGGGTCTCTTGGTCGGGTCCCGAGGAATCCAGCCGTACTGCAAACCTTTCTGGTAGCTCCAATCTTCCGCGGCCATGGCCTCGGTCTTCCAACTCCACATCATCCAACCTTTGCCACCCTCGGCGGAATCCACCTGGGCCTCCCACATCTTGCCCAGCATGGCCTTGTACGCCGGGGTGAACGTCGAAGCATCGCCGGACCTGGCGTAGCAATCGGATGTGCCGGCTGCGGTGTTTCTGCCGTTGACGCCGGCAGCGCAATCGGTGTATGCAGGTGTCCATTCGCCGATGATTTGCGGGTGAATGGTGGTGGCTCCAGCCCATTTCGGTTTGAGCGAACAGTAGTAAGCGAGACGGTCCGAGTTGGAGAGCGCGCGACCTTGATCGGAGAAGACGGTATAGACGTGGGAATCGATGGATACGGCTTCGTACTGAGGAGGGAGAGCGGACTGGTTCCAGTAAGCCGAGACTGCGGGCGAGATGAAGTCATCGCTGAGGACGATCAACAACGGTGAGGCGGTCGCGTTCCTTCCGTTGGGATATCGGACCACTTCGTAGGCACGTGCGTTAAAGTCCATCACCACGTTTTGATCCGTCACCGGCTCGTTGAGCAATTCGATCGCTGTCACCACGTTGGCGTACTTGCTCTGCGAGAACTCCTGCGACATGGTCTGAAGGATCGCAATCGTGCGGTTCACGTAGGACGGATTGCTCGCCCACTGGTTGACCCCTCGACGACCACCGTGATCGTATCCGTTCTGCGATCCAGGAGCCGTGTGAAGCTCGACCAACACCTTGATGTTGTACTTGTTGCACAGCATCACCGCCTGCTTCAGCAGGTCGTACTGGTTCAACTTCAGATATGGTTCTCCCGCTGCAACCTCGAATGCCCAGTACGGGATCGGGATTCGAACGTGGTTGAGACCCGCAGCTGCGATCTGCTGAATGTCACTCTCCGACATGAAGGTGTTGAGGTGGTTCTGCATGATCGAGATCGCCTGATCCCTCGGCTGCATCGATCCGAAACCCCATTCGTCGACAATGTTCGGATTACCCGTAGCAGCGAATACGCTAGGCGTCATCCAGGCCTCCAACACCAGCCACCCACCGAGGTTGACACCGCGAATCTTGGGACTCGATTGGTAGTATTGCCATCGGAGTGGTGGCATCGCCCGCTTGGAAAGCTCGACCTCTTGTCGTCTTTGACTCAATCGACGTTTGAGAAAGGGAATTCCGGGGACGGAGAGCGTGGAGAGGATGTCGGTCGCAGTGTCGAGGAGGACAGTAGCGATGACTTTGGGTGAGACACCAGTTGCACCGCGAGAGTTGGCCGTGGTGATGGTGAGCTGGATCTTCTTGCCGGTGGACTGGGCACTGGCAGCGGAAGCAATGCGGGACGATGCATTGGCGAGTCCGCTGGAGGCGGCGGCGGGGACGGCGCTCGAGACAGCAGAGGCTGCGCTTGAAGCGGCACCAGCGATAACGCTCGAGACACCACTGGCAATGTTGCTGGGGACGGCATTGGCGGCACCGGGAAGTCCGGGTACGCCGGGGACCAGACCAAAGGCGGATCCGGTCAGAACAGCACCAACAAAGAGAGATGAAACCTTCATTGTTAGTCGAGGCAAGTGATCCGGGCCTGTAGAAGAGGAGCGAGGCTGTGTATGTGAGTGTACGTCGTGCTTCTAAGGTGTGTCTGATAGAAGGGTCGGGTCGTGGCTTGGAGCAGAAGGAGGGTGGAGGAGGAAGGGGAAAGGAGCGGCGGAGTGTCAGGCACGTTGGGGAGCTAGGACGAAGGAGGGATGTGGGACGAAAAGGAATGGTGTAGCAAAAGGCGCTCTTCTTATGTGTTTGCATCGGAGAACCTCGGGGAATCAGTAGGACAGTCATGCACAAGGGATCGGCTGGACTCGAAGCCGGAGCTTCTCGTAGGTCCTCTTGGGTATCGAGGGCCTGGAAAGGTTCGGGATGTTGCGGTGTTTGAAAGACGAGGGTGCCACAATGGCATGGGGCCATGCCGACACGGGGCACGGCGTTCTGCGAGATGGCTTTCCCTCGCCGAAACTTCGAGCGGCTACGGTGACCACAGAGGGAGAGAAGGGTCACTTTGAGTGTATGCAGTTTGAGCATACTGTACGTTGTGGCGGCAAAAAGTCAAGCTTGTGTCGCTGCAAGCGGTGTATGCCTCATCTGCTTCCAGACAGCGATCGAGGGTCACGCATAGCATAGAAAGTCCGCCGGCATTGATGCGATCGAATCTGCAACCCGCTTGGCATGGATGAAACAATCTAAGCCACACGATAGATGGAAAGGTCCCGGACGGCGAGCATTCTCGGTGCGTTCTATCGAACGAAGAGAATCTGAGCGCCAGCCACCGCCACGGCAGAGTGTAGTTAGGAGGCAAGCCGTGGCGCGCACTCAGCGTCGTGTCTCAGGATGCGATGCGGATTTCCAGATGCATCCAGTCATCATGGACGAGCTGTCTCGATTTGCCCGTGTTGACTGAAGAGAAAGAGTGACGGCGATTGGATAAAGTTACAGTGGAAGTCGGATTGGCGGGTCATCGGAACAGTCGAGCCATCATGTCTCGGCATGAAGGCAGACAATTGAGCGCAAGCGCCCAGTGTAGGTCGAGGAGGGGGGAAGGGTGCGATACTGAGATCTCATCGTGTACAGTGGGCAAGATACGCGCGTACGACGGGACTTGAGACTGAGATGCGCCCAGACCGGAGTCGGCCCTCGATCAGGTTACGCGAGACGGATGCATGATAGATCAGGGCATTCACGGACGGGTTCCGAAGGGCAGTGGCAGAGCATGGCAGCTGCAAGCGGATTTGGCAGGCTCAAAGGGCGTACCTACCGCCTTTGTCGTTTTCGTCTCCGCTCTGCTGTACTCAACAGGTCGGCGCTTTAACGATTGGATCTGCAGAATGGACGCCTCTGGGTCAGGCGCTAGGCGAAATCTATGCGCCTAATTAGCCGCCCTTTTTTCTCTCTATCTCTCGATGGAACTCCGCGTGTCTCAGCCTCGTTGCAGAGTCGCAGAAAGGGGAAAAGATGGCGACTCCCACAGTCTGTCTCGGACTCGAACTGAGCCTTGATGGAGAGCCTTTGAGGCGGCGATTGGATTCATCGGATCCTGCCGTGGGAAGATAAGATGATGGGATCTTCCAAATGAGAGAGCGCTACGGCGGATAGCGCATGTCGATGAAAGCAAGCGCTCCCACAAGCTGCTTTCGTTGACCGCGGCACACAACATCGACCAAGTAGACTGTATCGAAACAACGCCAACACGAGGCTTGAAATGCACTGCACACGGCGCGTAGCGTTCTCCTTGGACGCTCTGCTTACGCTGTCGAGAGCCTGTCAGCCCGTCAGCCAGCGAGCCAGCCGCGGCGGAGTCAAGCCTCACTCCAGTCCAGCGTCGAACCGCATTCCACCACCTGCACGGTGTTTGAACCTTAGCGCGCTTCTGAGTCGCTGCGAACAGGTTGTGGCACCTGCGCTTTCTTCAGCGCAGCCCCACTTTTCCCTTCGGCTCATAGCCCAATTCCGTTCAGCACCCACATCAATTCAGTCGCCGTTGTTCGACCGGCATGGTGAGACAGAACGGGGAGAGGGATGACGGATCCTGGCAACGTGCAACGTGCAGCTTCTTGGACGAAGAGGTTGATCGCGGTCTAACATCTTGCAAGCCATCAATCACTGTTGCTTCTTGCACGATGATTCATCTCTCGTGCGAAACACGACACAGCGACGTCCCATTTTCCCGCAATTTCACTGTGCGCGTCGCGGTCCGAGGTCTGGCTGGCTCTGGCACAGTGTTCTGCGTGTAACTCTCTCGGTCTCAGCATCTCTCCACGCGACATCTCGATTTGGTTGGATTCTTGTCTGTTGTTCTGCTGTCGTGTCGAGGTTTGAGCCGAGTCGAGTGCAGCCATTCTTCGAACGCTCGACATGATCATCTCGACAATATTGCACCTTCCGATTTCGCATTCTTCTCGGAATTCTTGCATCCTCAAAGCACCGCCTCGCCCTTCCTAATTCCTCTGTGATCTTCTGGACGCGCCGATCACATCGCTCTCGCTCTCGACCTCGCAGCCTTCTGTACCCAACGGACCAACACGGATCCTCCCTTTCCATCGCCAAAGCAAACGATCGACCACGTTGCCTGCGCGCGCTCGCGTCCAAGACCAAACAACGCCATCGAGACGCATCGAGCCTCCACTTCCTCATCTCTATAGCTGCCAAGCATGCCAAAATCGGATCTCCCGCAATGGGGCAGGGTGCTCGTGGCCGGCGGTATCGACTGGCCAACTTTGGGTCGCAAAGCCACGAAAGCGGGTCCACCTCTCACTGTCAATCCCGATCATCCGGACCTCCCGGCTCCCCACATCTTGCGGTCCGTTTCCAATGTTCGCATGAAGCGCATCTTTTCCTCCCATTCTTCCTGTCACGCCGTGCTCCTCTCGGTCGACGGCGATGCATACATCATCGGGCGCAACGAGCAGGGTCAGTGCGGTCTGCCCATCCGCCAAATACCAGCCTCCTCCAAACCTTGCGGTCCCGCCGTGTGGGACGCATACCTCCTCGACCCCGCCACCGATTTCTCGCCCGCTCTGCCCGCCGGCGCCAACGGCCAAATCGTCTATGCGGCGTGTGGTCGCTCCCACACGCTTTTGCTAACTGCGTCCGGCTCCGTCTACTCGGCCGGTCTCAACATCTCGGGTCAGTGCGGCCATCCCGAATCCCAATCAGTGCCCATCTTCACACGCATCGAGACAGCACCCTTCATCAAGGAACGCGATCCCGTCATCGCCGCCTCGTGCGGTCTCACCTTCTCCATGCTCCTCACCCAGTCCGGCAAGGTCTACACCATGGGTAGCTCCGAAAAAGGCCAGCTCGGCAATGGCCGCACGGGCGAGCATTTCACCTCCAGCAACCGACTCGCCTTCAACACGTTTTCGGAACCGTTCCTCGTCAAGCAGCTCGCCGACAAGAAGATCGTCCAGATCGCGTGTGGACAGCAGCATACCATTGCGCTCGATGACCAAGGTTTCGTCTACGTATGGGGTTTTGGGGGTTATGGTCGTCTCGGTCTGGGATCGCAGCAGGATCAGCTCGTCCCGACGCTGGTACCGCAGTTTGCGCGCGAGAATGTCGTCATGCGCGCAAAGGCCATCTACGCCGGTCCAACCAACTCGGCTGTGGTGGATGGTCAGAGCATGTTTTGGCTCGCGGGTAAATGGAAGACGTCCGGTGACGGATCGGCGGGACAAGGATTTATGACGTTCAAGTACCTTCCAGATTTGATGGGTGTCAAGGTGACCAATGCAGGTCTCGGTGGAGTCACGCTCCTCTGCACCGCTATCGAAGAGGCTTCCCTCGCCGGTGACCACGGTGCGACCATGAACATCTGCTGGGGTCAGAATGCCAACTGTGGCGAGCTAGGACTGGGTGAAGGCAAACCGCGTTCGGCAACCAAACCGCTCCGGTGCGAGACGCTCGACGGCATCGCCGTCATCGACATTGCCGCCGCCCAAAACACCACCTTCTACCTTGCGAGGAACATGGGCGAGCGATACGGCGAGCTTCCAAGGTGGCCCGAAGTGGTGCAGAGCCAAGAGGTGTGCATGGTGTGCGGCAAAGAGGAAGGCGAGGGCGGGGAGGAGAATGCTCTTTTGGAATGCGAGAAATGCGAGAACCCATGGCATCTCCACTGCTTGCAGCCAAAGCTGACCGATATCCCCGAAGGCGAATGGCACTGCCCCAACTGTCAACCGCCGGCGTCCAGAAAGGGGGCCAACGGCAACGGCAGTACCAAGAGAGGCGTCGACGACGACCAGGAAGAGGCAGCATCACAGACCAAAAAGCGAAGGGCTTAGCGAGGCCACGGAATTCGTCGGAGGGAAACACGCAATGGAATTCAGAAGACACTCATCCACACACAGGCACGCCTACTCCAGGTCGCCGAATCGCATGTATCACTAGCTCCGCTGAGAAGCCCCGATCAATATGTATTCGAGTCCTCCTGTGTTAATATCGTGAAACAGGGTGTCTTGTCGATTTCTGGAATTCACATCGCCGATGTCTGTCGATCTGATGGATGCAGAGAAGTCGGTTTTGAACGACCATTTCACGTCCATTTTTTCGATACCTCTTTTCTTGCTGCCTTTTTGACGGCGGACTAAACCCATACTCGATCCTGATCCTGATCAGAAACCAGTTTCACATGACGACAGGATCCCTTGCGGTCCATTATCACTCCATGCAGAACTACTTACTAGAAGATGCTAACGTGGCTGTGAACTTGTTCATCGCTTCAGATCGACTGGCTCGATCCCAAGCACGATCGGACGCTCAGCCGCAATGCACCCGATCCCATGATTTCTGCAGAAACACGATATATTGTATTCAACGCACGCGTAACATGTCTTGTTTCGACTGTGTCTCGAACCAAGAAGAAAGCGGCACACAAAAGCCACGATCGAACATGGACAAAGACAGGCGCAATTCGGAGAGGAAACAAGCTCTCCAATTTCGGACCCCGCCAAAGACCAAGGCCAAAAGTGTTGGAAATGTCGCTAATTTCCGTTTCCGGAAATCCAATCCACAGGTCAAAACAAGGCGCTTCACCTCAAGGCTCGCCGATGCCCGTCAACTTCACCACAATAGTAGTGCCTTGGTACTATTGTTCATGTGTCGATGACGAGGTAGAGTCATCGATCGTAACATCGAGAGTAGAATTCGCCATGCGACACTTGTCTCGGGAGCCGCATGCTGGAATGTCGAGACAATAACGCAGGTACTGTGTCTGATCCAAGGAGGCGCAAACAAGGCTGGTCTGTGTGATGGAGCGTGGTTGTTGACGCGACAGGAACGCATCTAGACAGCTCGCTTAGCATGGAGTCCGGACCCCGTGGCTGCTATCAAACAAAATGCTTCTTCGGAAGCTTGAATGGCCGTCAGCGACTGCAAGCTCCTGCACGAGGGATTCACATTATAGCAGATGGCACCACCGTCGGAAGCCCCTCACAGCACTGCAGCGGCGATCACAATGATCATCCACTTTCGACTCCGACCAAATGGATTTTCGTGGTCTCTTTCCGGTCACCAACCGCACCTTGCGGCTTTTCCCGTCGCTCAGCTGATCGCCGTCTCGAGCCTTGCTTGGCGTCTGAAGGTGCGACAGAAACCAAATCCTTGGCTTCTAGCCCTCTCTGCCGCCATCCTGCGCGCCTTGTTTCTCCATTGTCAGGAAGTCATGTGTGCCATTGTGTCCACGATGCCAAAGTTATGTGCCTCCCTCAGCTCCGACTAGTCCTCCGCAGCTGACGAACGTTATTCGTGTTTTGCTTTTCGCTCTATCCGGCAACGACCCACACCCTCGTGCCTGCCTTGGCGTACCTCATCGCCGCGATGGCTGCGCTATCTTAACCTCGTGTGAATGAATCGTTGGCGGACTTCGATATCCGGCAACGGCTCGAACGCCCTTCCATCGTTGGGCCAAATGCGCTGCTACAGCACCGACAATGCACATGTCCATCACCCTGAGCACGCAGTCGATGTGTGAAACTGGCGCATGTCTGGAAGCCGCTTCTGGAGGAAAACACCCTGGATGTGGCTTGCACGTTTCCAGAAGGATTCCAGCCTCTTGTTCCAGGAACCGTCAGCCGCAAGCAAAGTCAGCTCGACTCCCTCGCCCTGTCCCCTCGACCGATCGCCTTTGCTTATAAGTCCGAAGTGGTACAAGGACATCTCCTCTCTCATACCTTCGTCCTACCTTAGTGCCTTCAACCTCGCCGCACCGGGTACTTGTCGCCCTCCTCTCACCAGCCGCTCTGTCGTGATACGAGTCAAGATTGCGGATGATCTTCTCTGTCGATCGGGCAGGCGGTTCCAGCGAGCATGAAGGAACAAAACACCTCACTATCTCCTCAGGAGGCTGATCAAGATGCCTCACAGCAGGTCACGGCCAGCACGTCGTCACCGACCCTGTCAAGCTCGACCAGCGCTCGTCACTCCCGCATTCGACAGGCCACGTCCGAGTCTTCGATGTCCATCAACTTTGCCCGTCCTATCTTGCTACGTCCAGACTCTGTAGACCCCGATGATCATCAGCACGGCAGAGACTTCTCGGCCGTCTCAGCCCTGAGCGATCATGACAGTGCCATGACCGGCGAAGACTCGGAATGGACTGATGAGATCCCAACAAGTCCTCAGGATAGGCGTGCGATGAACTTCTCCGTCCAGTCAGACGCCTCTGACCGTTCTACTCCCCTCAAGATCCGCCGAAGAGGCACGATCAACGACAAGAAGCTGACCATCAACGTCACATCTTCGTCATCATCATCATCAAGATCTGCATCTGCTAGAAGAAAAGCATCAGGGTCGATGGTTCCGCCGTCAGAAGTGTCACCATCGTCGGCAGCGGTAGCACCACCACCGCCAGCTATCAGGAGGGCATCAAGCCTCTCCAACAAGCTCGGAAAGGGCAAGTCTCCCACCGAATCCCTTGCTCCACCAGCAAGTGCGGGCATCCGATTCGCGCCCTTCACACCTACCAAGCCCAGCCCATTAGCTGATCACAATCGCAGCCCTGTCGCATCATCAGGCAGTCCCAGCTCTGCGTCCGCGGCTCCTAGCAGCGGTTCTTCAGACAAGCCGCTTCTCTCAGTGCCTCGCTACGGCTTCAATCCCGACTTCCAACTAGGCCAGAGTTCTTCGCCTCGCTCCACGAAATCTAAGACATCCCCCACCAAGCCTTCGCCAACATACAATGGTGTCTCGCAGGGAGGCGTCAAGTCGATGCTCTATTCGAATGCTCGTATTCCCGCGACGCCACTCAGCCCTCGTGCATTCGGCTCTGTGAGCTCGCCGCGATCCAACGAGGCTTCGAATTCACCGCGAACACCTCGCAGTCCTCACAATCCAGGATCACCACGAACGCCGAGAACGCCGCTCACAGCTCGTCTGCCCCTCACTCCCGGTCTCGCCTCTCGGTCTTCTGCTGCGTATCGAGGTGTTCTGCTTACCACCGTCACGCGTGCTGGTTCCAACGAGAGGCTCCCTACCAGCATGCTTGCTCCCAACGCTGCCGAGCGCAGGACCAGGAATCGAAGTGCTTCCATCGCCACGGAGATCAGAGGATTTGTGCGAGGTGGTGCATCGGAAGTCATTCCCCGTCTCGAGCTTCGCGTGCTTGAGCGTCCGCGTCGAGAGTCGCAGCTCTACAATCTCGCCTCGAACCCGACGGCATCCAGCAAACGCCACTCGCTGGCTGCTGCCCAACCCAGCATTCTGAAGGAGAAGTCCGACTTCGCCGCGCAGGATGTTCAGGACGATTCGTCTCCTCGGGCTCGCGAGTTCTCCCGATCTGTGGCGCTGGACAAGCTGACGAGCAAGCGGACTTCCGTCTCGGTCGGCCCTAGGGGCTCCATCCCTCGTCACAGCAGCAACTTCGGCCGTCTCTCTTTTGTTGGCCATGACGTTTACCGTCGCGAGAGGAGACAGACAGGAGCTTCGGCTGCCTCGGGACGCTCACGACGCTCAGATCGCTCTGCTAACTCGATTCGATCTGCATTGTCGAGACGCACCTCCATGCCAACAACTGCCAGTATCAAATCGTCCAGACCGTCGCTCGTCACTCGAAGGATGTCGTTGGCCCCTTCTTCTTTCCGAGGTCCGCGTGATGAAGCCATGCAACCTGACGATGACGAATCGGAAGACGAGAACGACGTCGTCAACGAAATGCACAGCCGCGTCACCAATATTCAAGAAGCCAAGCGATGGATCCTGGGTCACCGCCCTTCGCAGGATGCAAATGCGCCCGCCATCGTAGGCAGAGACATCCAAGACGACCAGCGACCAATGACTGCCATGCGTCGACCTACGTATGCAGCTTCCGTTTTCCAGCAAGCTCGTCTCATGGAAGCTGAACGCCAGGCTGGTGCTGCTCTCATCTCATCCTCGGTTCTCAATGTCAATGCGTCCGCATCGAACGTGAATGCGCCTATGACGCCATTCCCTCAAACCCCGGGCTTTCCCAAAACGCCCCAAACTGCTTTCCCCGACGGCGCGGTTGAAGGCGAAGAGCCGTATCCTCGTCCGGAGACGGCAGCAGCCATGCTTCCGGAGCCCACTTGGCAGCAAAAGACGGCTCACTGTCTTACGGCACCTTGGCGCTTCGTCAAGAAGCAGATCTCGCCCAAGTACGTTCTCACCATGATGGACCCACGCGAGATCCTCTTCCCCATCACAATCCGGAAAATAGCGCTCTGGATCGTCTACGGCGGCGTCATTGCAATGCTCGTCCTGCTGGACCGCTACTATCACTGGTGGGCCAAGCTCGACCACGCCGTGCATGGGAAGAATTTTGCCATCATGGGAGTGCTGTACGGCTTCGAGCCCACCATGATCCTCATCATCATGCTCGTGGCGCGCGTGCCCGACGCACGCGTGGTGCCCGATCGAACCGTCCTCGTGCCACGAGCCCGTGACAGCACCGAAGTCCTCTCGGACGACGATGAGGAGTCGAGTCACAGTAGCGACGAAGAGTCTGTCGCGAGCGCGGACATGGCCACTCAAATGCATTCGACCATCTTGGAGGAGGAGCATGATGAGGAAGATTATGGCGAGCACGAGACGCAGGATCAGGAAAGCGGCATCGTCGACATCTACAGCAAGCGCAACTCGAAACGACTCTCTGGTCTTCGCGCTCCTATGCGCAGGAGGTCAACACACCATACACTCGCTTCTAGCCGATCCGCAGAGCGAAGGGGTAGTGATACGACCAACTTTTCCGCTGGGCTGCAGGTTCCCCGCACGCCGAGCTTCGATCCGCGCAACAGGCGAAGCACTATCATCCTGCACGAGCCATTGACGATCGATTCGCTCCACGCCGATCTGGCGAGACTGGAGACACGTCGACCTAGCGCTGCTTCGCACCAGTTGGTGCTGGCTCAAACGGCAAGTAGGGACTCGCGTCGTAGCTCGTACATGAGCATTTTTGCTGCTGCTGCTGGAGCTCGTCCTGGCGAAGCCACTCCCGATCCTGCTGTGGCTGCCAATGCAGACGAATTGGCGTCCGAGAAGAGTCACAATGTAGCGGCCCAAAGCGATTCGACGGGAGAGCTCGACGAGAAGAAGGATGTGGATGCGATCGCGTCCGACAAGTCGGACGACGTACGTATAGCGATGGACTCGATCACGCACCCATCTCTGACCGAATCGACCGCCCTCATCATACCATGTCACAACGCCGACGTCGAAGTGCTCAAGGCCGTCCTGTTCGCTGCCTTGGTTCACTTTGAACCGTGGCAGATCTTTGTCATCGACAACGGCAACACTCCCCAACCTCCCACCGACATGGAAAGCTCGATCCGCTCTCAGCCCATGTTTGCCCGCGTCAACTACATCTGGCTGCCCATAGGCAACAAGAACATCGCCCAGTTCGTCGGCGCCAAAGCTGCCGCAGTGCTCAACCTCGACTACGTGCTCACCATCGACGACGATGTCATCATTCCTGCCAACTTTGCCGCTCCCATGCATATCATCTCCGAGACAACCACGGCGGTCTGCTACCCCATCACGGCTGTCGATCACAAGGGTGACCGCCCAGTGTTTGTTGGCTGGCAGGATATCGAGTACAAGTTGTCGGCTCTCGCCAAGATGGCCGAGTCCAAGATGTGCGGTGTGCTGTTCCCACACGGAGCTGCGAGCTTCTGGAATCGCAACACGATGATCGCCGTGTTGCGCAGACACGATCTCATCTACTTTGCAGACGACGTCAAGATGGGGTTGGAACTTCAAGCTATCGGTGAGCGTATGGGTATCGATGCTAGTATCTCCTTCGAAACCGTGGCACCCGAGACGTTCCTTGGACCACCCACTGCAGGAACGCCCAACTACTACAACCAGCGAGTGCGATCTTGGGAGATGGCGCGACACACTCTCTACTGGCAATTCTCCAAGCGTTTCCTCTTCTCGCTCAACGGTGCTCGAACTCCCGTCGCTATCGGATGGCAAAAGTTCACGCAGTTCTACAACTCGACCACCAACTTTATCGACTGGATCCGTCTGCCCATGTTCATCCTACTCGGTGGAAGCGGTCAGTTCTGGCTCAAGAGTTTCGCCTTCATCCTCTTCCTGCCAATCGTACCTATACTGCTCTATCGATTCGTCAAGACAAGGAATCGCCCGGATCTCCACCCTCACTTGATCGACATGCTCACCTACGGCATCTACAAGCTCATGTACAGCGTTGTCTGCGTATTCGGCGGCATCAGGTCCATGCTGGTATTCTTCCCCAATCACGGACACAAACCGACTCTGGCCGAAATGGAAAAGGCGAAGGATCCAAGGTGCATCTGGCTCAGGGACGACTTCATGAAGAACAGCGGTGGGCAAGGCGATTTGAGGGACGAACCTCAGCAGATTCTGCTCGATGATGTGGCCGTAGCTGCAGAAGGGGAAGAAGCGGGGCTGGAAGAGGCACAAGTCGTAGCTGTGCTGCCCTCAGTTACGGTAACGCCGCAAGGTGAGGATCAGCCAGCGGTGGCAGTTCTCAATCTGGCGAGAGGTCCATCCAGGGTGACGCCGATCGATGAGCAGCTTCCAACGGTGTTTGAGGCACGTTGATTCCAGAACCATGTGACTTAGGACCGGCGGCGGGGCGATTTCGGCCTTTGCAATATCATCGCTTAGCGAGACCAATCTCGAAAATTCAGAAAGGTCTGTGAACATGGCCGCCGATAAGTCTGTGACAGTTGAACGTGACCTCTTCGACGGTTTTGGGTTCGGTGCCTCACCACGCTTCGAACGCTGATCCGTCCCGACGGAACGTACAACGAATGGTCAGCAGGTCTATGGACACGGAGGAACCATTGAACTGGTACTATAAGGCTATCAGAGTCTGGCGAGTCTACCGGTTTCTGTGCCTTGATCGAGGTCTCGAATGATCAAGACATCGTCTCGATCTGTCTCTGCTTGTTGCACGGTAGAATTGCTGAGCGCAAAAGTGCCTTGGTGCCGTGTTTTACGGGGTGCGGCTAGAGCATCACTGCACGACGATAGTGGCATCAAGCGAGGCGCTTAGTCGCTTAGAGGACTTTGACATCGGCTTTTGCTCCTATTTTCTTCTGGCGAGTGGCAGCCTCGCATCATCAAGACATCGTCTCGAACTTCACGGCAGGGGTCGAGGGTTCTGTTTTGCCATGAACCCCAGCATCGTCTGGACCATCAAGGTGCGCTCAGACACGGCTTGTCGCTTAGATGCGTCCAGAGTCGAGCCTATCTCGTCGGATCCTTGGGCCTTCCTTTTTTCCCCACAGTAAATTATCTGAGTCGAGTTTTTCACACAGCATGTCTCATGCAAGGAAATCTTGAGACAAGGAATACCGTCCATCGCTGGACTAGCCGCCGCCCAAAAGTACGAATGTAACCTTATCTTGTAGCTCAACTCAGACAACTCGCCGATGTCTGAGAGCCACCGCCCCGCAGCTAACAGCCTTGTCCTCGTTCCCATCGGAGGGCCAAGAAGGACTCATTGTAGACGATCTGATTTTTGGACCCCCCATCGCCGCAGCCGAGCTCAATTGAGTTGGTCTCAGCCACACCAAAAAGTCGAGGAACAGCGCTAATCTAGTCGCCCTCAGTTCGTGAGCAAAGCCCCGAGGCACCAGACTCTACGCATGCATCCGGTGTCGATGATGTATTTCTAAGTTTGAATTTCGTAATCTGGAATACAGCCATTAGCCACAACCGGACGCGTGGGATTACAGTTTTGTGCAATAATCGACCTGTCCACAAGTGCGCCGTATGCAGCACTCGCCGAATGTCCGAGCGGTCTCTGTCCTCCCGCTGTCCACCTGGCCGCCACCTCAGCTTGCCTTCATCGAGCAACGAATGGGTGGTATCGCCCATTGCACGTACAAGAAGTCTCCTTCAAGGCGACTCCAGTCTGTCCTGGTTCGTATCGACGCTTAGACTAGCGTCAAAGCAAGCTTTGATTTGGAAGTGCGTGCATCCCGAAGCGGAACATTTCGTTGCAAGAAGGCGAGCAGAAGTGCGGAGATCGAAAGCAGCCCCATTGATTCGAAAAGTCCTACGGGCCATCAGACCAGAGTCGAATTCCTAGGCCCGAAGGTGCGTCTGGCAACAAGATTTGATTCTCCGTGGCCAACGGTCTTACTCTGCGATAGCCTGGGAATACGAGACGTAGCTGGCGTTCATGCGGGCTTCTTCGAACCACAACTTGTTCCTTCACGTGGTGGCGCCGCAACACTGATGCAGAGCCCGGTTGCAACCTTGAGCCGCACCTCGGCAACTCGTCATGCACGTCGAAGATCTCCTCCCGTCAGGAAGCGGAGCTCGATGTGTGTCGATCCCCCCTCCCGCTGTGACCTTGTGGAGCTCAACCTCCATATGGTAGTTGAATACGAATGCGACCAGCACAACTGACAGACAAGCCACCCGTTGCTCTTGTTGCTCCCCTGCATCTGACTCACCGCGCTTTCGTACATCGACGTGAGCTGCACCGCACACAAAGTCTCTCGGCGTTTTCTGCTTGCCTCTCCGGCAAGACCCTGCACTCATGCCCGTTCGCCATACTCTTCCTGCAATTTATCAGTGTAGAACCGTCTTTGCTGGTGGAAGAACTCACTAGATTGGATGTCGCCTCGGACCTCTCGGCACCACTCAAGGTTGGTCGGCAGGCAACTTCTTGGCTACTCCTTTTCGTGATCGTTTCCGGCTAAACGCTGCCTAAATTAGCAAGTCATGCCACTTATCCCAGCCTTGGCATCGCTTTGTCACGGATTTCGCCAGCGGCTCCCCCGTTCCGTCAGCGCTAGTCGTACCAAGGATCCTGCCGGCCATGCACTTCGATCCCTTCAGTCTGCCGAATGCCTGAACTCGCCGCAGAGTCGTCAAGAGTATAAGATGCTACTACCCCTAGCTGATCGTTTGATCTTTCTCCGTGTCCACCTTCCCTCCCCTACCCAGACTCTACTCCATATCCCGTACCTCCTCGCCTCTCTGTTCCCCCTCTGAATCGACACTCGACCCGACGTGTCAAACTACATTCATTTGATACACATTCCTTTATCAACTTCAGCACCAGCTACAACACCTAGGTTCCATTTGTTGAGCCCCCTATCCTGCCTCACCGCTCCAATCGCGCCTCATTCAGGCAAATTTCCTCACAATGGTCCATCTTTCGATTAGATTGACGGTGCTGGTGCAAGCAGCGTTGCTTCTGCTGGCTCTGCAAAACGTCGCCGTCCCTGCCGATGCCTTGATCGGACGTCGTCGTCCTCATTTCGCCGAGGGTGCCGAGATCGCCCCCCAAGTCATCGACATTTCAAGCATTCCCGTTGAGCGCGCCGCTGTAGCCCCGCTCAAGCGTGACGACCTTGCTCTTCGTGACGATGACACCGACGACGACTGGGACGAGCTCGAGATCATCACCGTCTTCCTTCCCGAAGAAGGTGCCGACGACGATGCCAGTGCACTCGCCAAGCGAGCTGAGCCCACTCGCTGCCCCGCTAACGTCACTCGTAGGAGCGCGGCCATCCAGACAGCTGCCGCTCACAACAAGCGTGAGCCGCAACCTGATCCTAAGACCGTGTACAGGACAAGGTACAGAACCAAGACCGTCACAGTGACTAGGACCATCTATGAGACTGTGTTCAGGCGATGCACCCAGTATGTGCGCCGAGCAACTACCACCTCGTCGAAGAAAAAGACGACAAGCACCAAGAGGAGATCCACGATCACGAGCACAAAGAGGAAGACGACGACAAGCTCCAAGAGACCTGTGACCACTGCTGCGGCCGTCAAGAGCACCAGCAGTGTGAGGAGGTCGACGACCACCACCACCGTCAGCACTAGGAGGTCCACTTCGACGACGCCAAAGCCCACGACTTCGTCAACTACTCCCAAGCCCACCACTTCTTCGACCACTCCCAAGCCCACCACTTCTTCGACCACTCCCAAGCCCACCACTTCTTCGACCACGCCCAAGCCATCGACCTCGTCCACCACTCCCAAGCCAATGGTCACAACTTCATCAACCACTTCCTCAAAGCCCTCGAGCACCTCGACCACCTCGACCACCTCGACCACCTCGACGAGCTCCCGAGCTGCTTCCACTTCCACTTCGTCGTCGACCACGTCTTCTACAACCTCTTCGACCACGTCGTCGTCGTCGACCACTTCTAGCACCATCACTCCTACACCCACCCCCAAGGTGTACAACCTGATGGCCAACTACCAGGGCAAGAACTTCTACAACAGCATGTACTTCTTCACTTTCAAGGACCCCACCAACGGTTTGGTCGACTTTGTCGGTCAATCTGAGGCCTCCTCTCTGGGCTTGATCAAGACGACCAACGGTGGTCAGGTGTACATGGGCTACGCCACTACTCGCATTTACCCTCCCGGACAGTCTCCTCCCGCTTCCACCACCACCTCGACCGCTTCGGCAGCAACCTCCACTTCGAGCGCTCCTAAGCAGCGTCGTCAGGCGTCTTCTTCTTCGCGGTCGTCCTCGTCGTCGGCTACCGCTTCGCGTTCCGGCTCTACGAGCGGCAATGTCAACGCCCAAGCGGTGACCACCACCTCTTCCTCGTCGAGTTCGACCACTTCGACCACCAGCGCTGCCGCCACCAGCTCTGCCGCACCCATCCCTTACATGAAATCCCTCCGAATCTCGTCCTTCGACACCTTCACCACTGGTGTCTTCATCCTCGATGCTGCGCACATGCCCGTAGGGTGCGGTATCTGGCCTGCCTGGTGGACCGTCCCGACCAACCCCGCCGGCGGCTGGCCCAACGGAGGAGAGATCGACGTGGTCGAGGGAATCGCCTTTACCTCTCAAAACACCTACTCTGTCCACACCGTCCCCGGATGCAAGATCAACTCCACCACCAACTCTCAGGCCGGTACCTACCAGCTGACCAACCTCACCCAAGCCACCAACTGCGCGTCAGCTGAAACCGGCAACCAGGGCTGCGGAGTCCAATCCTCCCTCCGAAACGACTTTGGTGTCAACTACAACAATCAAGGCGGCGGAATCCACGCCATGGTATGGGACAAAGACACCGGAATCAAGTCTTGGTTCTTCCCCCGTGATCAGGCTCCCGCTGATATCGCTGCTGGTCAGCCGGACCCCACCGGTTGGGGTATGCCCCAGGGCAGCTGGCCAGCCGATAACTGCGATCCCAACAAGTACTTCTTCAACCACGTCAGCGTCTTCAGCAACACCATCTGCGGCGACTGGGCTGGTGACAAGAAGCTTTGGAACAACGCTTACGCGGGTCAGACCCAAAGCTGCGCAAAGATGACCGGTTATCCCACTTGCGAGGCGTACGTCCAGAGTCAGGACGTCGACTTCAGTCAGGCGTACTGGCTGATCAACTCGGTCAAGGTCTACCAGACCAGCAGAACCAAGTAATTGTTCGTGTAGATGGCGACGGGACGAGAGACGGCGCGTCTGGTCAGGAAGGACAAAGTATGGGCTGGTTTCCGTACTTCTGTTTTGCCCCCAGATGCCTCCTCGTCCCTCCTTCTTAAAGTTTTTCTCGCTCTCGATCTTCCGTTTGGTTTTTTATGTAGCATAGATCTCTCGCTTCTGGAACCTGGAAATTTTCACGATTTGTTCTTTCTCTATACGGTGGCATTGTGCTGATTGTCTTGAGTCTGGTGTACATTGTGAGCGCGAATCGCAATGGAGATTCGCAGCAGTGTCGACGTTGCGGTCAAGACGCCGTGCTGTCGTCCTCGCATTGGCTGTCACCCACGGCAGGTGATCGGGGCTATGTTGGTCTGGGTCGAAACAGGCGCGAATTGTTATTGTCATACAAGCATCGCCAAAGTGTCGATGACGGCAGTGATGGCCGTGGTGTTGTTCGACGGTCACTTGATGTTGTTGAGGTGATCGAGCAAGGCAGAGACATTATATGTGTGGAGACAAACATTCCCATTTCGTCCGGACACTACACTGTCTTATCGGTCTTCGCGAACACGACGTCGACCTCCATCCCGTCCAGCGATCCCTCACTCGAACCCTCGTCCTTCTTCTCGTCCTTGCCACGACCGTCTTCAAGGCTGCGGTTCTGGTCTCTCTCCTCCTCGTCCCAAAAGTACGCCTCGTCCGGATACACCGCCTCATCCAACAGCGACTCCTTCGGCAGCGGCCAAACGTACCTACACAGAACCCCATAGACCAATGCACCCACTACGATGCCAAAGTACCAGTTGAAATGATAGATCGGCACGTTCACCTTGACGTTCGGATTGATGGCGTTGATGAAACCTGGAAGATTTGGCACGAATGCCACTGTGAACGCGATGTATGCTCTCGGGTTGACACCCCAGTTTCCGTAACTGTAGATGCCCTTCGGATGAACGTAGAGCTGTTGAACATCCAGCTTCTGACCTCGTAGCAGGTAGTAGTCGACGAGGCAGATGCCGGAGATAGGTCCGAGCCAGCATCCGTAGGCACCGAGGAAGTTGAGGAATCCTTGGGCGGAGCTGACGAGGTTCCAAGGGGTGATGGCAACAGCCAGGATGGCTGCGAGCAGACATCCACGGCGGATGTCGATGTAGGCGGGGCAGACGGACATGGCGTCCGTGGCGAAGGAGATGGCGTTGGCGCTGATGTTGACGCCGATGGTGGCGATGAGGAAGACGAGAGCGCCAAAGAAGGTCCATGCTCGACTGCCCCAGAGACTGATCAGCTTTGCCGGGTCCCACGCCGCCTCGCCGTACAGCATCAAGGCTGCGTCAGCGGCAAAGAAACCACAGGCACAAGGGATCGTGCCGGTGATGGGAAGCAGCAGAACCTGCTGCCACGTTCCCTTGGATGTCTTTGAGAATCGAGTAAAGTCGGCAATGTTGACGGCGACGGTGCAGTAGATCGTCGTCGCTGCGTTGAGAGCGACGATGATCGGCCAAGCTCCTGCCGTGACTGGGCCACGTACGAGCTCGCCTCCGCCTCGAGTGGCATGAAGCGCCCAGATACCGATGGCCAGGAACGCCGGTGGACACACGATCGCCTTGAACCTGAACAACCACTTGAGCCTGGCGACCGGAATCATCGTGATCGGCGTCTGCACCATCCAGAACACGAAGAAGCAAAGGAGTCCTCTAGATGTGATGTTGGCACTCTTCGGAAGGTGATTCTCCATATTTGCAAACCTCGGCGAAAGCGAGATCAGCAGCTGCTCCGTCAAGGTGCCTCCCGTCACGGTGAGGATGCTCAACCACATCAAAGCCAAAAACGCTCTCGCAGCTACGGGAAACAGCGAGCCGTTGATACCCCATGGAGCACGATTGATGACGGGGAAAGCGACGTGGTAGGTGGCGCCGATGACTCCAGCAGCCCACATGACGAAGCCGACGCAGAGAAAGCCGAAAAAGACGGCGGGGATGGCGGCTCGTGCGGTGACACCGGTGGCTGCCATGGATGCGCCGAGCTGCCATGTTGCCGGAGCGAACTGATCAGAGATCCAGTAGGAGACCCAATCGATCGCTCGCCATGTTCGTTTGGACGGCGGTACGGGCTTGAGATCGTGATTGTCGAGCGCGGTTTCTTGGGAAAGGCGAAGGCGGAAGCGGGGCTTGGAGACGTCCAGGTTGGGACGCCGTTGAAGGATGCCCATCATGAAAGTGATTTCTCGACGCTGGTTGCTTGTTGGTGGGGTTGAAGTGAAAACGTGGATCTCATGCTTCTGTTATAAGGACGTCTCGAACAGCCGCTATGAATCGCCCTCCGAAGCGGCATGCAGCAATCTCACACGCCACGAGGGGGCGATAGCCGACGCTCGAGATAAGCGCCGGTCGTCCACTGTCAGCCATGGAGGAGGAGGAAAGATAACCGTAGGTTTCGAGTCCAACCTCGGCTGCATTGGAGTAACGTGGTACAGCAGCTCCAGCAGCCTCACTAGGAACGGTGGGCGGCTCGTGGGTCGCTTACAAACGCTGCTCCTAATCCACGCTCAAACATGCTACCCCGAAAGTATGTGGCAAACAAAAGGCAGGATAGTCGAGACATGGTCGTCAATTATCTTGTGCTCAAGCTCCGTCATTTCCTCAAACTCGGTTCTAGAAGCCTCGCGTTCGGTTGTGCAGCGTCGATATGCACGCGAGTTGCACAAGATAAGCAAGCGAGCGGCGCACTGAAAATGCCGTGGGACCAGTTGCGCTTGAGCACACACGCATCCTCCGGCACGATCCTCTCAACAAGGTCTCGAAGCTTGCGAAGAGTGGTCAGGGGTTGCAAAGCCTGAGCGATTTATTAGGCTACAGGGCAAGCCTCGTGATCGCAGCCATGTGTCGCAAGCTCGGGGAGACAAACAAAAGGTAGCGAGCGGAAGCATGCCCACGCGAGCAAGCAAAAAGGCTGCGGCTGCAGCAGAATCGAAGCGCTTATCTTGACAGCTGGCACAAATATCTAAGGGTGTCAGATCGTCTCGTACTATTGCAGTCCTCGACAAATTGGGTTTGGCTGTTCTATTGGTCAAGCTTAGTCATTGGTGATACAGCTGGACCATTCGAAGCACGCGATTTCGGAGACAGAAGACTCAGCTCAGCGCAGGACCCTGAGGCCATGCGGGGGAACACGTCCAAAAGTGCCTGTCAGCGGCAAAGCACGCCATCCGGCTCGAGTCTGACTTCACACCGTTCCACCTCGCAGGCGTGCACAAACCAGCGGCTTCTCATCTTCTCAACTGGTGCCAAATCCGCTAGGTGGTGCCATACCCTTTGCAAAGCAGCACTTCGGTCCATGCGGTGCATAGCCGCTCCAGCCACCTCTGACGACATCTCGAGGCTTGCCGTATCGTGAAAAGATTTGTTGCTTGCAGGCAGTTCTTCTTGCTGGAATGAAACCCGAATGAGATCGACTGTTCCGGCACGGGTGGTACAGAGACACGAGATGTGTGCGTGCTCCGATCTCGGTATCTTCTAGCTTCGGAAACAAGCTGTATCCTTATAAGCCCGCTGGATCCCTCCTTCTCGTCCCGATACCATCATCCACCAGTCTTCTTTCCCAAGATGTTGTCCACTCTCCCTCCCAACACGGGTCACTTTGCCAACAAGTCATCCGGCGACGGCGACGGCGGCTCTGGCGGATTCTCCGCCTCTCAGATCGAGGCTCAGCGCTCGCTCAAGTCTTCGATCCAGGAGCTCACCTCTGGCCAGCACGACGCCGATCCCTCTCTCCTGACCCCCTACTCTGAGCTTCCCAAGGAGATCACCGGACCCACGGTCTGGGATGCCGATTCCTACAGGGGTGAGGCGAACGCATCCAAATGGGTGCACACCTTCACCGAGCACCAGATCTCGCAGCTCGAATCCGCCTCGCAACTCTGGCTCGAGTCCGGTCGCGAACTCGGCGAGATCGAGCGATCCACCTTCCCGCTGCCCTCGGACCTCGTGGCTACCCTGACTCAGCTGCGTCAGCGTCTCATCACCGGTCACGGATTCTACCTCTTCAAGGGCCTGCCCACCAAGCGATGGGGCAACCGTCTCTCGGCGATCGCCTACCTCGGTCTCGGATCGTACCTCGGCAACGTCGTCTCCCAGAACCGATACGGTCACATCCTCGGTCACGTCAAAGACCTCGGTGAAGATCCTACCGCCATCGACAAGGTTCGTATCTACCGTACCAACGCCCGTCAGTTCTTCCACACGGATTCGTCCGGTGGAATCGTCGGACTGCTCTGCCTTCACAAGGCGGTGGAAGGGGGTGAATCCGACATCGTCTCCTCGCACGCCGTGTGGAACCACCTCCAAGTCAACCGCCCGGATGTCGCCGAACTCCTCGCCAGCAACATCTGGCACTTCGATCGCAAAGGCGAAGTCTCCACCATCAACGGCCACCAAAATGGCTGGGTCACCCGTCCCATCGTCCACCTTCGCAAAGGTCAACCGGAAAACCGTCTCATCCTCACCTACGATCCTTACTACCTCAAATCGATCCAACGTCACGTCGACGCCGGTCTCATCCCCGAACTCTCGGAAAAGCAAAAGGAGGCCATGCAGGTGCTGGAGGATACTGCAAAGCTGTTGAGCCTTCACATGGTGCTGGATGTAGGCGATATTCAGTTCGTCAGCGACGTGCACGTGCTGCACGCCAGGACAGAGTACAAGGATCCAGCTCCTCCCGCACCGAGGAGACATCTCTACAGGCTCTGGTTGGCTGTCCCGACGAGCGAGGGCGGTTGGGAGAATGCCTACCCGGATAACGGGTTGCAGCGACGTGGTGGTATCCAGGTGAACGATACCAAGCCCACCTATCCTCTCGACGGAGAGTAATGCGAAGAACGAACGACTTGCTCATGTCTCACATGCTCAGAATAGAATGTTGGTGATCTCATCACTCCACCGGCTGTGCGCTAAGAATGTCCGGGTGTGTGTGTGATATACTGCCGAAGCAGCGCTTGTGTTCTGCATTGCAAATCCCAAAGTCAGGTCGTCTGCAAACAACGCACGCATCACATCCATGCTTCCATGCATCCATCGCGCTGCGTCTACTCCAACGTGGACAGCTCTCTACGCACCTCTTCCTCAGCAGCGATCTTGGCCAGCTGCATCGCCTCCAACTTCTCACCTCCCGCTTGACGCAACTTGAGCTCTTCGATCGCTTTCAACTTCTTGTTGAGATTGCGCACCTTCTTCTCCAGGTTGGCGGCGCCGGCACTGCCTCCGACCTCGGCGGCGCCCGAGACTGCGGGCGCAGCTGGCTCCTCCACCACGGTTACGGCGGCAGCCGCGTTCTTGCCGTTTTGCTGTTGCTTGCCACCCTTCTTCTTGCCGTCCTTCTGGTTGTTGGCAGCGTTGCCGTTGTTGCGCGGCGCGGAGCCGGGTGCGCCGGGGATGGCACGTTTGCGGTTGCCGGAACCAGGTGCTTGGTAGGTACCATTTTGGGATGCAGAGCGAGCGAGGTCAGGTGTAGAGGCACCGGAACCGCCCTCGTCGATGCGCTTGTAGATGTCCGGTGTGCCTTGGCCGCGGGCACCCGGTGGACGATACGTTCCGGTAGGGCGCTTTGTGGCTGCTTTCGTGGCAAGGTACGAAGCGGCGGCGGCCGAGGGTGCCGGTGCCGAGGGGACCTGGGCCGGGAAAGCGGTGAGACCGGCGTTGGCACCGGGACGCCAGCCAGCTTGGTAGAGCTCGTCGATCATGTCGACGTGGACGAGCTGGCCAGTGCAATGCCAGATCTTGACACCGTTCTCCACACGCAGACGCGGGCTGAGCGTGGCGGTGAGCAAGAAGTGGCCGTCGGGAGACCATTGACAGACGGAGCTGTTGCTCGCATCCATGGAAAACACTTTGCCGTTGGACAAGTTTTCGCGATCCCAGATATCGACGGTGCCGGAGAGGTTGCCGAAGCCGGCAATGCAGAAGAGGCGACCCTGGGGGTTGAAGGCGACAAAGTTGCGTGGTTGCGTTCCGAGCTCGGCGATGACGTTGACGCGGTGGCTGAAGAGGACGGCCTTGGCAGGCATGTAGCCGTAAATGACGATGAACTCCTTGGAGTTAGGGTTCCATTCAAAGTCGTGGATGGGACCTTCCTTGTCGAGCGCAACGCGGCAGTCGAAGTCGCCGCGGACGGACATGAGGTAGAGGTTGGTCTCGCCGTAATACGACTTGCCGGTCTTGTCGTGGTCGGTGGAGGTCATGAACAAGAGCGCAGAGCCTGCTTCGTTCCACTTGATCTGGATCTTGTCTGCCTTGAAGAAGGTCTTTTGCGAGACGGGGGCGGGTGGTGTCTCGGGTGATGGGATGAGGGAAGCAAGAGAGTAGACGCGGACCGAGGCGGGGGCGCCCTTCTTCTCCCCGCAAAAGACGGCGATGCTGGGCTTCTCGCCGGGCCCAACCTCGAAGCTGGTGATGCCTTCGAGACGCAAACGACCGATGACGCCCTTGTCTGCGATGTGGCGTGGCTCGTAGATCTGCAGCTCGGTGGAGACTTGCCTTACGCAGTACTGCTCGTTGGCGGTAAACTGGAAGAAGCAGCCGTCCTGCGACTTGCGCTCGAAGGCGGCCACGGCCTCTCCGGTTTCGGTATCCCAGATCTTGAGGTTGCGTGTATTGGAGCCATCTTCGAGTTTGGAGGGGCGCTCGAATGTGCTGAGGAAGCCGCCCTTGGGCGAGAAACGGAGGTCGACGACCTTGGGCGCTGGAAGATCGCGCTTTACAGAGGAGGTGGAAGCAGCGCGGGTGTCTACGAGACGGGTGAAGTCGTCCATGGCAGCGGCAAAGGTGCTTCCGTCGGGACTGTACTGGAAGACGCGGGTAGCGCCTGTGACCTGATCGAAGCCATTGACGGAAGTGTAGGAGGGAGAGCCGGTGTTGAGACCGATGGACTTTTGCGCACGGTAGGCCCATTGGGTGGTAGGCTCGCCCGCGGCGACGGGAACAGCTGATGGCTCGGACATGGTGTGGGTGTACAGAAACGACACAGCAAGTGAATGCGTGCCGTACAGTGTTTCGAATAAAGCTTTCGAAGCCACAAGGAGCAGCTCGTTTCGACGTTCCTGAGGGCCAGAGCGTGTGCCGGAGAAGGGACCAGGAGAAGGATAGGAGGAGGAGCGGAAGAACGAGAAGGTGGACTGTACGGAAAAGTAGGCACTCAGCTGCTGTGCCAAGTCCATCCTCGGCGTCCGCACCATTAAGAGAGCCAGCTGCTGCTGCGAAAAAGGTGGCCTTTCAGAAGAAGTCATTTTCCGTGTGCTTCTTGGCCGTGTTTTCAAGCTACACGTGATGGCGTAATGCTGAATATCACCTTTTTCGAACTGCAACTTGAAATTCGACATTTTTGGAATCAGATGGACTTGGCGGCGTAACAAGCAAGCCATTTCTCGCCGAGTCCAACACTTTCCACCCGAGAGCGCGCGCGTGTGGATCCGCGACTGCGCTGTGCTGCCTTGGATTTGTGTGTGCATGCCGAACAGACCAACACTTTTTCCACATTGGCAGGCACGCGTTGACAGGTGTCTCCTTCTCTCGTCCACCTGTCCATCACTTCCGCCAACAATCACGGCACCCGCTAGGCCGCTGCTCATCGATACGTCTACCGCAGGCGCATCACACGGCCGTCATGGACGTCGTCCACGTCGATGGCGCAAAAAAGGCGCCCGGCGATTGGTCGCCCGATGCCTGCCGCACCGTAGCTGCCGAACTCACAAACACGCTAGACCTTGGTGCCAACCGTCCACTCGTCGTAGAGGCCCTCGTCTTCATCCACTTCTCCGTATATACCTTTGCCGAAAGACTACGTCGACGTCAGGGTCGCCGCTTCCACCAATCACCTCGCCACTTTCTCAGCTTCATCGAATACTACGTCCAGGTATCCAACCAGAAGCGGGACGAACTCGAGGATCAGCAACGTTTCCTGCTCGTCGGTCTCGACAAGCTCCGGTCCACCGTAGATCAAGTCGAAGAACTACAAAAGAGTCTCGCCGTCAAGCGAACGCAACTCGAGGCCAAGAATGCACAGGCAAACCAAAAGTTGCAGAGCATGGTCAAAGACCAGCAAGAAGCCGAACAGAAACGCGCCGCTTCCATCGAGATCCAAGCCGCCCTTGCGAATCAGGAGGAGCAGATCGGTCAGCGTCGCCAGGTCGTCATGGCCGATTTGGCAGACGCCGAACCCGCCGTTCAGGATGCGCAGGCCAGCGTCAGCAACATCAAGAAGCAGCACCTCACCGAGGTCCGCTCTATGGGCAACCCGCCGCTTCCCGTAAAGAATGCCATGGAGTCCGTCTGCATCATCCTCGGCCACAAGATCGAGAGCTGGAAGACCGTCCAGGCCATCATTCGCAGGGACGACTTCATCGCTTCCATCGTCAACTTCGACACGGATCGTCAGATGACTCGCCAGATCCGCGAAAAGATGATCCGAGACTATCTCTCCAAACCAGGGTACGACTTTGCCACCATCGATCGTGCAAGTAAAGCGTGCGGTCCCTTGGCCAAATGGGTCATCGCTCAGGTCCGCTTCTCCGAGATCCTCGACAAGGTCGGTCCGCTCCGTGACGAGGTCCAGTCGCTCGAGCAGCAAGCCGACGACACCAAAGTCCAGGCCACCGAGATCGTCAATATGATCGCAGAGCTCGAAAACAGCATCGCCACCTACAAGGACGAATACGCTGCCCTCATCAGCGAGACGCAGGCCATCAAGTCCGAGATGGAGCGTGTACAGAGCCGCGTCTCTCGCTCCATGCAGCTTCTCGACAGCCTCTCCTCCGAAAAGCATCGTTGGGAGACCGGCAGCCGCACCTTCGACGAGCAGATGAGCACCATCATCGGCGATGCTCTCCTCTCGGCAGCCATGCTCGCCTACGCCGGCTACTTTGATCAGCAGTACCGCGAATCCATGTGGCAGTACTGGTCCGACCATCTCCGCGAAGCCGAGATCAAGTTCAAGCCGGAGCTCTCCTTTGCCGACTATCTCTCCACCGCAGACGAGCGCCTCGAATGGCAGGCCAAGTCGCTTCCCGCAGATACCCTCTGCACCGAAAACGCCATCATGCTGAAACGCTGGAACCGATACCCGCTCATCATCGATCCCTCCGGTCAGGCTGTCGAGTTCTTGCTCAACGAGTACAAGGTGCAAAAGCTCACAGTCTCGAGCTTCCTCGACGAGGCGTTCCTTAAAGCCCTCGAAAGCTCGCTCCGCTTCGGCAACCCGCTTCTCATCCAAGACGTCGAGTACCTCGATCCTATCCTCAATCCCGTCCTCAACAAGGAGCTTCGCAGGACCGGCGGCCGTGTCCTCATCCGTCTCGGCAGCCAGGACATCGACTTTTCGCCCTCCTTCAACATGTTCCTCACCACGCGTGATCCCTCGGTCGAGTTTTCGCCCGATATTTGCAGTCGCGTCACCTTTGTCAACTTCACCATGACCCGCAGCAGTCTACAGAGTCAGTCGCTCGATCAGGTGCTCAAGGTCGAGCGGCCCGACACCGATCGGAAGCGTACCGACCTCATGAAGCTGCAGGGCGAGTTTCGCCTCCGTCTCAGGCACCTCGAGCGTTCGCTTCTCACCGCGCTCAACGAGTCCGAGGGCAACATCCTGGATGACGACAAGGTCATCGGCACTCTCGAGACGCTCAAGAAGGAAGCCGCCGAAGTCACGTCCAAAGTCGAAGAGACAGACGCCATCATGCAAGAGGTCGACCAGGTCACGGCCCAGTACGTCCCGCTCGCCAAAGCGTGCAGCTCCGTCTTCTTTGTGCTCGACCAGCTCCACCTCATCTCTCACTTTTACCAGTTTTCGCTCCGCTTCTTCCTCGACATCTTCGACTTTGTGCTCCGTCGCAACCCGCACCTCGACGGCGTCACGGATCCCAAGCAGAGGCTCGACATCCTCATGCGCGACCTCTTCCTCGTCGTCTTCCACAGGACGAGCAAAGCGCTCGCGCACCACGACCACGTCATGCTGGCTATGCTGCTCGCTCAGATCAAGGCGCGCGAACAGGGCCACGCCGATACGCTCGAGAGCGACGAGTACGAGTTCTTGCTCGAGGGCGGCAACATTGCCGCAGCAGCAGCCGCTGCCGCTGCAGACGGATCTCGTAACTCTGCGCAGGGAAGCAGCGCTTCGCCGCGTCGAGGCGACGGAGAGGTCGAGGCTATGCTGGATGAGGAGCAGCTCGCCCGCGTGCAGGTGTTCAAGCGCCTCGCCTTCTTCCGCACCATCGAAGAGCACATGGAGGCCCACACGGACAAGTGGCTGACGTTCCTCGGCTCCAACAGCCCAGAAACCGCGGTGCCCGTCTTCTGGCCGCAAGAGGAGCAGAGCGAAGGTATGTCGGATCAGGTACGCAAGATGCTGGTGGTCAAGTGCTTGCGCCCCGACCGCATCGTCCAGGCCATGGCCGCCTTCACTTCTCGCATCTTTGGCCAGGATGTGCTCGGCGATCCTGGATACGAGCTTGGCAAGATCGTTGTGGAGGAGGTGGATGCCAGCACACCCATCGCGCTCTGCTCTGTGCCCGGGTACGACGCCAGCTACCGTGTCGACCATCTGGTCAAGCTCGTTGGCGCGCGTTGCACCCCTGTCGCCATGGGCTCGCAGGAAGGTTTCGCACTGGCAGACCACGCCATCACATCAGCTGCACGCACAGGCAACTGGGTGCTGCTCAAGAATGTCCATCTCGCGCCGAGCTGGTTGTCGCAGCTCGAAAAGAAGATGCACGGTCTCAACCCGAATCGCAATTTCCGCCTCTTCCTCACGTGCGAGACTTCGCCCTCGATCCCGGTCAACTTTTTGCGCGCTTCGCGCATCCTGATGAACGAGCCGCCGCCGGGGATCCGCGCCAGCATGCTCGACAGCCTCAAGAGCATCGCGCCTGGTCGATTGCAGCGAGGACCTGCCGAAACGCCGAGGCTGTACTTCCTCCTGGCTTTCTTCCACGCCACACTCACCGAGCGCCTGAGGTACACGCCGCTAGGCTGGTCGAAGCCGTTCGAGTTCAACGACTCGGATGCCGAGGCTGCGCTCGACATCATCGAAGGCTGGGTGTCGCAGGTTGCCAAAGGTCGAGCCAATGTGGATCCGCAGCAGCTGCCGTGGGACGCCATCCGATCGCTTCTCAAGCAGAGCGTGTACGGCGGCAAGATCGACAATGCTCCGGATCAGACGTTGCTCGACTCGTTCGTCGACGAGCTGTTCTGCGCCAATGCGTACGAGGTGGATTTCCAGCTGGTCAAGCACGACAAGCAGCCGCTCGTGGCTCCGGAGGGGACCAAGATGGAGACGTTCATCAGCTGGGTGCAGGCGCTACCGGAGCAGCAACCGCCTCAGTGGCTGGCGTTGCCTCCGAGCGCCGAAAAGGTGATCGCCGCAGCGCAAGGTACGGCTCTACTCAACAAATTGGTCAAGATGAAGCAGCTGGCGGACGACGATGATGACGAGACTGTTGGCCACGATCGCAGCGGCAGCAGCGGCGGAGGTGGTCAGGATGCGGCTGCGGGTGCACCCGCAGCGTCGAGCTCGGCGTCGGTGCAGCCGAGCTGGATGAAGGCGTTGCGAGCGAACGCGTTGCAGTGGCTCTCGTTGTTGCCCAACAGCGTGGCTTCGTTTGCGAATGACGCGGTGACGATCCAAGACCCACTCTACCGGTTCTGGGCACGAGAGCATCGCACGGGCTCGTCGCTCCTCTCTACAGTGCGCACGGATCTGCTCGAGGTGGTTGCTGTGTGCGACGGTCATTCGCGCCAGACCAACCACAACCGAGCGCTGCTCACTGATCTTCCGAAAGCAGTGATTCCGCAGTCGTGGCGTCGATACTCGGTGGCGAAATCCATGACGCTGGCTGAATGGATCGTCGATCTGCGCGCGCGACTGGAGCAGCTGGAACGAATCACGCGCGAAGCCAGCGAGCTAGGAGCCGGCGCCGCTGGTGGAGGATACGATATGGCCGAGGTCGTTCTTGGCCTTTTGTTCTCGCCAGGAGCCTATCTCACAGCGACGAGGCAGAGTGTAGCGCACGCGTCCAAGGTGTCGCTGGAAAACCTGTCTCTGCGGTTGCTGCTGAATGATGCGAAAGCAGGGTTGGAGTCGGGCAAGTTCGCCATCCGAGGTCTGAAGTTGCAAGGAGCGAGCTGGGATGCGGAGGGCAGACGGATCAAGCTCAACGATGGTGGTGTGACAAACCTCGGGCTGACGGCGCTGGTGTGGGAGCATCAGCGGGAGGAAAAGGTGAAGGGTGAAGACGAGGGGAAAGTCAAGATCAGCGTGTATTTGAACGAGGATCGAAGTCAGGCGTTGTTCGCGACCATGTTGGTGGTGGAGGTCGGGGTGAAAGCGTATACAGTGGCGCAGAGGGCCGTTGCGCTGCGTGCGTCGTGATGGGCGCGGGATGGTTTGAATGCAAAAACTGATAACGATAGGTGGAAGAGTGTGAACAAAGTGTGTGTGCATTTCGAGATGTGGGGTATATAGAGAGAGCTGTTTGAATGCTAGGAAGACTTTTGCAATTCGGCCGACCAGAGTTGAGAGAGTTGCTGCAGTTCCTCTTGATCCTGTATCGACTGTTGTTCGTCCGTGTCTGGATGTGGTGCCGAGGTGAGGTTGAGAGAGGAGAAGGAGTCTTTGATGCCGGCGGTGACTTTCTGCCAACGATCGGTGAGGGTTGATCTTGTCTCGCGGTTGCCGAGGAAGATTTCGGACCAAGAGACTTGTTTTGGTCCCACCGACGGTCTTTCCTCTTGTGTTTCCGGTTCAGCGGTGGGCGTGGTTGATGCGAGTATCCCTCGTGGGTTCAAGCCTAGAGCCTTCCACCGCCGGTGTAATGATTCGCTCTCTTCCTGGATCCACTCAGGTTCCGCGGTGAGTATCGGCGAGGGGGAGCGCTTGAAAGAGAAGAAAGAGGTGCTCGAGGAAGGCGGATTGAGATGGTAGAGAAGTCGAGAGTTGTAGTCGATGGTGTCTTGGAGGAGGGAGGTGTGGATGCGATGGGTGAGGAGGTCTGCTTTTCGTTGTGTGGAGATGAGGGCGTGGTTGAAGGCGAAGGAGGTGACGACGGTGAGGAGGAGGATGGGTGGGACGGAGGAGGGTGCGAACCACGGTGGTCGCGAGGGAGCTGACATGGTCGTAGGGTGGTTGCCAGAGGAAAGAGGATGCGGAAGGCGAACGAGGACGAGGAAGATCGATGAGCAGAAGAAGGGTTGAAAGCATCACTTCTTCTCGAAACCCAAATTCGTGTTCGGAGAGTCCGAATTCCGAACTATGGACGGGCGCGTGGCACAGACAAAGTGTCACTTTCCGCCATCCAAAGTGTTGGTCTTGCCTTTCCACCATCCCTCCTCTCATTCGAGTACACGAGGGGTCAAAATGTCCAGCGGCATCCAGTCCGAAGAGCTGGCATCCCGTCTGGAGATCAAAAAGCACATCTCGTTCCTGCTACGATGTCTTCGGATGCTACCTCAACCCTATACCTCTGCCGATGATCAACGCATGACACTCGGCTACTTTGCCATCGCCGGACTCGACCTTCTCGACGCCACGGACAGAATACCGGCAGACGAGAGATCCGAACTCATCTTATGGGTGTACGAACAACAGCTCCCCACCGGCGGCTTCCGCGGCTCTCCCAGTTCGACTTTCTCACCCTGCTCCTCATCCGCAACAGGTACAGCCAACGTCGCGATGACCTACGCAGCACTTCTCATCCTCGCCATCCTCCAAGACGACTTCTCACGACTGGATCGCAAAGCCCTGTGGCGATTCATCGTCGCATTGCAAGGGAAGGACGGTGGGTTTGCGGCGGAAGAGCAGGCGGTAGGAGGGATGGTAGATCGGGATCCACGATTCACGTACTGCGCTATTGCTATTTGCTCCATGTTGGGAGAATGGGGAGGTGTGGATGCGGAAGCGGCGAGAGGGTACTTGAAGGGATGTCAGAGGTACGATGGTGGGTTTGGGGCGAGTGAACTGCACGAAGCGCATGCGGGCATGACGTATTGCTGTATTGCAGGGCTCCTTCTGCTTCCGCAGCAGGAGGCGGTATGGGAGAGGAGGGACGAGGCGCTGTCATGGCTGGTGCATCGACAAGTGGCTCCCGTCGCGCCACAGGTAGAATCAACAACGACGCAACCACACGACGATCGAGAACCTTTGACGTCAGACTCCGAGGATGACGACGAAGCAGAACTCAGCGGTGGGTTTCAAGGCAGACCGGCCAAGCTGCCACCAGACGTGTGCTACTCGTTCTGGAACGGAGCAGCTCTGGCGCTTTTGGAACAGCACGACTTGATCGATGGCGTTGCCGATGCGAGCTACGTCTTGTCCGCACAGAGCAAGGTTGGAGGCATCGCAAAGATACCTGGCGACCACCCAGATCTGCTGCACACGTATCTGGGGATGGCTTCGCTGGCGTTGCATCAGTCTGGGGAGGAACAGGCAGCCGAAGCATCGGATGATCATAGAGGAAAGGATACAGGGATCGCGTTCGGATTGAAGCAGCTCGATGCAGCGTACAACTGTAGCTTGAGCGCAAAGGCGTGGATACGGGAGCACCTTACGAGGTGAAGGGTAGTCATCGATGATCATGCGATTCGTGTGAACAAGCAAAGCATCATGTCATCTGTCTGTTCAACAGAGGAAGGATCTCGCGTGCCTGATGAGCAGTGTAGCGCAGGATTGCCGTTGCAGACAAGCCAGTCTGAGGTGAAGAATCGGGATGTTGGCATGCCACCCGATTCGGTGCTGTGTGTGATTGTGGTGCGACTTTGGTTTCGAGCTGCGAAAAAAAAAGACAAACAGCTCATTTTGCAGCGGAATTTCTTCCAAGACGGGGCAGAGCAGAACCAACACACGCGATACGCGTGCACAACGCACCGGCCAATCCAATCCAGTTCAATCCCAAAATCACCGCAAACCCCACGCTGAGCCGCCTCGTTCAGGTGTGCTGCCTGCCGTATGCAAAAGTCGAGATGGAAGAACAGAAAAAGGCAAGACGTGCATCCCTCTTCCTGTCCAACACCATCCCCGCCAACACCCACGTACGACCAGCAGTGCTCCATCGGTCATCATGGGCGTCCTCTCCTACCTCCTGTTGGGCATCACCCATCCATCCGAACTCCGCGCCATGATCGGATACAAAGTGTGGCGCGACCCTCTCAACGACATCAAGGCCAACCCGGAAGCATCGGGTTGGGACCGCGAGCGCATGCGAGACTGCTGGGGCTTCCTCGACCTCACCTCGCGTTCCTTCGCTGCCGTCATCAAGGAGCTCAAGGGCGAGCTCTCCCGCGTCATCTGCCTCTTCTACCTCGTCCTCCGAGCTCTCGACACGGTCGAAGACGACATGACCATCCCCGTCGAACGCAAGGTGCCCATCCTCGTCGACTTCTACAAGTACCTCGAACAACCTGGCTGGAACTTCACAGAGAGCGGTCCCAACGAGAAGGACCGTCAGCTGCTCGTCGAGTTCGACAAGGTCATTGCCGAGTATCAGTTGCTCGATCAGGGGTACAAGACCGTCATCTCGGATATCACCGCAAAGATGGGCGCCGGCATGGCGAGCTACATCGAGCTGAGCGCAAGAGGTCCGCTCAAAGTAGGAACGTGGAAGCATTTCGACTTGTACTGCCATTTCGTCGCCGGCTTGGTTGGAGAAGGTCTGTCCAGGCTGTTTAGCGAGAGCAAGTTGGAACGTCCTTGGTTGGGGCATCAGTTGGAGCTCTCGAACCACATGGGTCTGTTCTTGCAAAAGACCAACATCATCAGAGACTACGCCGAAGACTGCGAGGAGGGTCGTTTCTTCTGGCCTCAACAATGCTGGGGCGACGACTACGCCAACTTCAAATCGCAACCCGAAGTCGCCCAGGGCATCGTCGAGACCAAACCGGGATCCAACAAGTTCCGCCCCGTCCAAGGAGAGCTCGGTCAACGCAGCATGTACGTGCTCTCCTCGATGCTCCTCGACGCCATGTCCCACGCCACCCACGCCCTCGACTACCTCGCCCTGCTCAAGGAGCAGTCCATCTTCAACTTTTGCGCCATCCCGCAAGTCATGGCCATCTCGACCCTCGAACTCATGTTCAACAACCCGGACGTGTTCAAGAAGAACGTCAAGATCCGCAAAGGTGTCGCCGTCGGGCTCATCCTCAAAGCGGTCAATCCACGCGATGTGGCCTACACGTTCCTCTCGTATTCGCGCAAGATCCACGCGCGTCTCACGCCTGCCGATCCCAACTTTGTCCGATGGTCCATCGAACTCGCCCGCATCGAGCAGTGGTGCGAGACCTACTACCCGTCCTTCATCGCCGCCGTCGCAGAGGGCAAACCGACAGATGCCCGCGCCGCTGCGCTCCGATCCTGGTCCGAATCGCGTCGCACCCAAGCCCTCATCCTCAAACACACCGGCACCACCAACCCCACCTCCCACGACGCCCAGCTCGCCCTCGCGAAAGCGAAATCGAGCGCTGCCGATCCAAGAGACCTCATGACCGAAGACGAAAAGGCCGCACAGGATAAGAAGGACAGGGAGGAGATGATCAAGTTCTTCGTCATCATGCTGGTGGGTATGACGAGCTTCATGTTCTTGGTGGCCTTGATCACGTGGGAGATCGTGTGGTACTGGACCATGGATACGCCCGATCCGGTGAGCGTGTACGTCAAGCTCGCGTACTACAAGGTCAAGGAGGAGGGGTGGAACGAGGTCAAGGAGGTGCTCAGGACGGTGAGGTTGAGCTTGCAGCATGTGTGGAAGCATGGTCTGAATTCGACCAACAAGTTGGAGCTTTGATGCAGAGGTGAGCTGAGAGCAGTAGTTCGCACAGTCGCAATATTGATTCGCTCGTTTCTCACCCATCGCAACTCGCCATGTCTGTGCCAGTTTCACACACACAAACCGTTTCGTTTTGACGACCATCTAATTTCGCCCTCGATCGGGCATCTTAACGAACCATGAAAACCTGCACCAGCTGCGTCTCTACCTTCTTCTTCCCCTTCTCGGCCGACGCCTCGGTCTCCCCTGCAACATGCAGGTAATGCAGTTCGGCCTCCAACTGTCTGCTGTGCTTGGTATCCTGCCTAACCACGATCCTGCCTTTGATCTTGTCGCCCTTCTTGACATCGACGATGGGCGTTTTCAGGACGAAGAGCGTCTGTTGCCAGTGAGTCTCTTTGCTGAAGGGAGAGGTGGAGAAGCAGATCATCTTGCCCTTTCCCGCGTCCGTTTCTTGTGTCTTGGTGGATCCCTTCAACTCCATCCCGGGAACGTCCTTTTCGGTGAGGGTGAAGGGTGGGCATTCGAGGGTTTCGCTTCCGGTGAGTGTCGAGGAAGGAAAGAAGAAGGTATCGAACCAACTGATGAACCCATGCACCTCGGCAACATCCTTCTCCACGGTCAGCGTGAAATCCGCTTCCGGTTCCGGCTGTCTCGCCGGCAACGTGGGCAGATCCAGATCCGCAAAACACTGCGAATCACTCACCACCTCGTCCTTGTCCAGCACATCCACAAACGCCTCCTCCAACAACCCGGTCGTCATCGCCTTCATATCGAACCCATGGACATCGTCCCAGAATTTGAGTTTCGTCTGCAACAGTGCTGGGCTAGCAAAGGCTGCGAGATGCATGGTCATCCTGTTGGGAGCCAGCACGCCGTTTGGCGACAGGTATCGATCCCGCGCGACGAGCACGGAGGGGAGCATGTTTTCGTACAGCAAAAAGTAGCCCATCCACTCGCTCACCAGCAGATCCACCTTCCCCTCGTAGGGCGTGAGTTCGGAGGTAAGGTCTTCGAGTTTTCCGCGGTGGACCTTGATGATGTGGCCGAAGCCGTTGGCTTCCACGTTCTGCTGCGCGCGCTCGACGATGGCGGAGGCGTCGATGGCGATGACCTGCTTGGCCCCCGCGCGCGCGGCGAACATGGACAGGATCCCCGTCCCGCAGCCCACGTCCATCACCACTTTGCCTCGGATCAGGTGCGCGTTCTCCGGAGCCAGAAGGAATGCTGCGTACGACAACGTGCGTGCGGAATCGGTGATCATGGTCTGGTGGATCGAGTTGGTCGAGTACGAGTCAAAGTAGAGGATGTCGTCTTCGGCGTCGTTGGCTCCACGACGCGTGCGCGCCGCCGAGGTGCTGAGCGAAGCCGAGGCGAGCGTCGATCGTTGCTGTTCGCTGAGAGGGGTGGCCGAAGATTCGGTGAGGTCGGTGGAGGAGAGTCCGAGGGTGGATGCGTGGATGGAACGAAGTTCGTCGAATGCCGATCTGGCGGTCGCCAGCTGTTCTTCCAACTCTCGGATCCTCACTTGGTCCTTCGACAAATCCTTGTTCGCAACATCCTCCTCTAGCAGATCAAAATCCACCTGCAGCAACCCATCATCCTCGTACCCCTCCACCGGCTTCAACTCGTCATCATCGTTCCTCCACCCACCGTCCCCCTTCAGCCCATTCACCTGCTCGACACTCAACCCATTCCTCCTCACATAATTGATCAATCGAATCACCTCCAGCGTATCCAACTGCCACTCCTTCACGATCCGCACCAGATCGCAACCTTTCGTCTTGGCATCCTGCAGCGCTTCCAGCGGCGACTTGAACGAAGCTCGTTGACCTTGGAAATCGGGAAACAGCGCGAGGGTGCGTGCTGCTGGGTTGCTGTCGTCCGACCTCCAGTCGCCGTAGTCGTTGTCGTCCGAGAAGGTGGCCGAGGCCGAGTCCGAGTCGGAGACGTAGCCTTCGGGATCCTTGTGCACCATCGTTGCAATAGCGTTTGTAAAGAGAGGATGAAGGAGCAAAGGTGGGTGAAGTGGAGCAAAGGGAAAGAAAGGCCATCTTTTTCCTTTTGGGCGAAACCTCAAATTTTGAGAGCTTTCAAGAAGAAACAGATTTTGGAGCAGGATTCGGAATGTTAGACCGTACATCATCGGGATGCGAGCTCTATCCACCAGACAACGACGCAGACACACACGATCACAACCCCAGCTTCGGGTCGACAATGGCAAGATTCGCTTCACTTTGGTCTATAACGCGAGGGAAAACAGGACAGGAGGTGACGGCGTAATCAGGCCTCGAAAACACCAGCGACGACGGCGAGCATCATGACGTCGATCTCGGGATGCTTCTGCTGCATGTACGCGTCCATCTTCACGAAAGTGTTCATCGCTGGTCGGTCGGCGGCGGCATTCGACTTGTGCTGGGGGAACATCTCGTCCGCCACCATACCGCTGGCGTCGATCCACAACCTCGAAGGATCTCTCGGCTCGTTCGAGTTCGCTTTGACGAGCCTACCCGAGCCAGCAGCGGCTTTCTTGAACTTCGAGACGAGGCCGGAGCTGCTGCGTGCTTTGGCGGCAGCGAGTGCTTCGGGTTGGAGGCGTACGACCAGATCGACCGACCACGAGTAGATGCCGTAGCGCGCAACGCTCTTGAGGTGGTGACGCTGGTATCCGGCCGGTGGAGCGCTGGGCAGATTCCAGCTGAGGATCTCGGCGTCGAAGGCGACGACAGACCAGATGACGCCAGGGTGGTTCATCTCCAGCGTCAAGCTGCGCGTCCCCGCCTCGAGGTCGATGACCTCGTTGACGGCTTTGACGGTGAAATGGTTGGTCTCGGGCGCAGGCGAGGCGTACTTGGTGCTGAACCCGGCGGGAGGCGCGGGAAGTTGGAACTTGTACGGCGTGAGGAACGCCGACACAGGGTAGAGGATGTCAAAGTCTGGGTTGTAGTCGTTCATCTCCATCAGGCTCGCCTGGCTCTCGGTGGGCAGACCGAGCTGCGACTGGAGCTCGTTGGACAATGCCTTGAAGCCGGGTGCGGGATCGGCAGAACCGACGTTCATGAACCACTCGTTGGAGGTGATGTTCTCCACCTGGTGCACAAACAGGCGCTTCGGGTGAGCTGCGTCGAAAGGCTTCCATGCGGGACTCGCAAAGACGGCCATGACGGCCGCGGTGATGCCGAGCAGAGCGAGGATGGTGCGCTTGAGGTTTTCGGACGTGTATCGGTGCGCCAGAGGGATGGCAAACGGCAGGGTGAGGAACGTCAGCACAGCTGTGATGGTCGCGATGATGTGATCCGCGGGCGAGATTTCACCCATCCTGCCCGTGAGCGGCACGAAGAGGTCGAGGAAGCTGACGATGCCCTCGACGCCGAGCACACCAGGAACGATGGTCATCAAAGGGTAGATGTACGCCGAGACACGGTTGTCTGGCGCGACGAGTTTCTCTTCGATCGGACCCATGCCGACGAGCGCGAGGTCGTTGAGCGTGGTGACCACCGTGAACGTGAGCGAGGCGAGCGCCATGAGGTAGGCGCTACCGATGCCAAAGGCGTTCATACCGAGCAAGCCGAGGTTGAAGAAGATGCCCATGCCCGACAGGCTCGATCGTTCCAGATAGGGCCTCTGGTACGGCTTGCACAGCTTGGCGGTGAGCAGCTGGACGATCAACACACCAGCGATCGCCGGCGGACCGTAGAGCAGGATGGGGAAGAACTCGTGCGAGTACCAGGACATGCCCTTGCCCAACAGCCTGGTCATGATGACGGCCACGACGTTGGCACCCAACACAGCGCCGACGATGGATACGATGGCAGAGAGCGCGCTGAGGATGGTAAGGTTGAGTGCTCCGATGGCCGACTCGGAGCGGACGACGGTGGAGAGCTGGAAGTTGATGAAGGCAGAGAGGCCCATGACGATGCTCTTGAAGGCCTTGTTCTGGATGTGAACGAAGAAGCGACTGGCGATCGAAAAGTAGATGGGCAGCGTGTGGCGCGTCTGGTGCGGCTCGATGGTGCGGAGCAGCGTCTGGCTCTTGTCTTTGAGGCAGAGGTGCTCGATGATGGCGAGCGTGTTTTCGCCGAAATGCTGGGTGGCACCGGGCTGCAGGTACTGAGGGATGTCCTTGCGCGTGTGGTAGAGGTACGAGTTTCCGACGAGAGCCATGTCGAGACCGCTGAGATCGTTGCCGTACTCGACAAACTGGCGGAAGTCGGTATCGGACAGGATGAGACCGGTCGAAAAGACGTCGTTGGCGAGCACGGTACCGAACGGATGAGGTACGTGAGAGTAGGCCTCGATCATCTCGGCGCTAGTAGCCTGGAAGAGGAGTTCGGGTCCGCTGGTACCGCACGCTTCGAGGTTGACGACGGCCTTGACACCGGCGTTGGTCTGGTTGTGCTGAGTGATGTAGAGGTGGCTCGCATCCTGAAGCGACTCCTCACCGTCGTTGAAGAGGAGCACGACCGAGTTGTAGAGTTTGCGTCCGGTGCTGGGCAGCGTGAGGATGCGAAGCGCTTCCATGAGGATGGCGACACCGACGCCATCGTCGGCTCCACCCGGGCTAGGCAAGGTGCTATCGAGATGGGCGTTGAGGAGCAGACTGTTCGCCTTGCTTTCGTCCGTGCCGTCCGAGATGCGTACGACGAGGTTGGACATGGAGTAGTAGCGCTTCCAGACGACGTTGGACATGAAGTCGAAGCGGTGGGCGCCGTCTCCGATCTGCTTGAACACCTCGACCTGCGTTCGACCGGGCGACGCAGCGGTGCCGGTGTTGTGGAAGCCTTCGTATCGACGCAACACCTCCTCGAGCCAGTTTTCCGCGTCGAGGTGCTCCTTTGTGCCGACGATGCGGTACCCGATATCGACCGAGAGGTGGTGCATGACACCTACAGCGTTGGCTTCGGAGAAGAGCTCGTGGAACTTTTGGGTTTCGCCCGCCTTGTTGGCAGGCACGATGCCCGGTACCGGTGGATGGTAGGCAGCCGCATCTGCTGGTGTGACACCGGAGGTGATGATCGTCGTGGGGCCGCGTGGAGCGGGCAACTTGTAGTGGAGGTAGAGCGTGATGGAGCCCAAGAGCGAGAAGAGCGCAAAGACGACGAGGACGAGGAGTCCGGACTTGGGGGTGCGGGTGTAGTTCTTGGGGTCGATCTGACGAGCACGCTTGGCGTCGGCGTACTGACGATACTGGGCAGCCACTTCTGCTTGCTGCACAGTCATGGGCGTCCCATTGGTCGAGGTGGCAGCGGGAAGGGTGAACCCGTTGGAGGCGGTGGCCGACGGAGCCGCAGCGCGAGCGGGTGCTGGAGCTGGAGCCGCAGCCTTCTTGGGCGTGTTGCCCCTGCGTTTGTTCGAAGGCATCGTGCTCGGTCGCACAGCAGCTGTTGTATGAACTAGCGGAGCAGCGGTGGTAGTCGAGGAACGAGTTGTGCTGACCGACAGAACGCGATTTCTTCTTGGATTGGGCCTGAGCGTCGACCCGCAAAGCTGAACGGCTAAATTTCGCGCCGCGTTTCCGCATTCATTTCTGGAAGACCGGCGATTGGCCAGTGTCACGGCGAAAAGATCCCATCCCCGCGTTCCGCCATGCAGTCCACACGACATCTCATCTCGGCATGTCCACGGAGAGAGCTGCCGACGATTCTTTCAGGGCACTGTAGTGACTGCAGGTCATTCGCGAGGCGAAGGCGACCCTGCTAAGCTTGAGGCAAAGAACAATGCAGTGACCGCCTTCTTGGATCAACCCTCGGTAATTCAACGCCGAAGTCAAAATCATCATTCACCTCACTCACATACAGACCCTTGTTGTCCTCTCTGAAATCTACTCCTTTCCCAAGCCAGACAACTGACAACAAGCTTCCAAACGGGCCCAAGTCTGTACCATTCCGCTTCCTTCAAAAGTAGACGCAACAAGTTCGCTCTCCGCCCACCAACGTCGTGTAAAAAAAAAGAACGCAAAAAGAATGGTGACAAGAGTGGGATTCGAACCCACGCCCGAAGATAGCAGGTTTTCCTGAATGCTCAGAATATCTTCCTTAATGCTACGCCTTAGACCACTCGGCCATCTTGCCTTACGATGTTGGAGCGGCTAAATGTTGCATATATATAGCATATTGTCTTTCGATTGGGACCGCTCGTTATCTTGACAGGTTCTCGGCTGCTCGGAAGCTTAAATTTCTGGAAAGCTTTCTTCTTGATACGAGACCTCGCCATACCTCGCACAAGCCAGCACAAAAGCAACCACACCCGGCCTCGGCTCTTCTCCTCCTTCTTCCACCAATCCTTCGCTGTACCCTCAGGACGAACGACAAGATGAGCAAGAGGATCCTCGTCGACTGCCACACGCACATCTACACCAAGCGGCTCGTATCGCTGCTGCGCTCTCGAACCGTCAACCCGCGGATCCACACGAATTCACCCGATGGCTCCGAGAAGCTCGCCATCCTTCCGCAGGAGGTATCCGGAGGACGCACCGTGGGTCCGCAGTACTGGGATGTACGCAACAAGGTGTCGTTCATGAACCGTCATTCGATCGACGTCAGCATCGTCTCGTTGGCCAACCCGTGGCTCGACTTTTTGGACGCTCCTCAGGCGGTCACTTCGGCGCACGAGTGTAATGCGGATCTGGAACAGTACTGCTCGGAAGCGAGCCAGCTATTTGCGAGTGCACAGGAGAGTGGAGCGGTGGAGGCGGGGAGGAGGATGAAGGCGTTTGGTATCATGCCGCTGGCGGAAGGTGTCGATCCTGAACACGTGGTGGAGAGTTTGGGCACGATTGCCAAGAGTCCCAGCTTGTGCGGTGCCATCTTGGGCTCGCGCGGCCTGGGAAAGGGATTGGACGATCCCGCTCTGGAACCGGTGTGGGCGAAAGCGGCAGAGCTGGGTCTCGTGTTGTTCTTGCATCCTCACTACGGCGTTGGAGCCGACGCCTCCCAGCCCTCGGGTCTGTGGGGATCGCAAGACAACGGTCACGTCCTACCCCTGGCTCTCGGCTTCCCCTTCGAGACAGCCGCCGCCACCACGCGTCTCATCCTAGCCGGCGTGTTCGACCGTCACCCCACCCTCCGTCTCCTCGTAGCCCACTCCGGCGGTGCCCTGCCCATCCTCTCCTCACGTCTCGCCAGCTGCGTCGCTCACGACCCGCACGTCTGCAACCGTCTCCAGCACGACCCTCGCTACTACCTCGGCAAAATCTACTACGACGCCGTAGCCTACGGTCCCGAAGAACTCGAAGCTGTCGCCAAAATCATCGGTCGCGCCGAAAGGTACAAGAGCGGCAACAAGGGGCAGGTGGAAGATGTGGTCGAGAGGGGAACGGGGAGGATGATGTTCGGTACGGATCATCCGTTCTTCCCACCAACCAAGGAGGACGGGACGGTGATCACGGATGATCAGACAGAGACGTGGAGATCGGTGACGGAGAACTTGGAGGCGATCGACGAGGTGCCGAGCTGGACAAAGGAGGCAAAGTCCGGAGTGTTTGGTTTGAATGCGGTCAAGCTGTTTGGATTGTAACCTCATCAATCTACCACATGCAATCGTAAATTTCGTCGAATGCGATTGCCATTGTTCAGCCGTATCTAACACCAGCCTGTGCAGCAGATCCACACTTATCCGCCGGCGCAAACCAATCTTCAGCATCGCGCATCGTCTGCTGATCGGCATAGTTGATCGTCACGCTCTGAACCGTGCTGTACGCGTTGAGCGCCTCGACACCGTTCTCCCTACCCAGACCAGACGGGTTAGCACCGAGACACGCTGCATTTCCTGAGAAGCTGCCCGTCGGAGCGATGGCGCCCCACGGACTCGATGGGTCGTTCCTGTGATGCGTATTGAGCCAGACGATGCCGGCTTTGATCTGCGGCACCAGCCTGTGGAAGCGCGAGTGGTCGGCCGTCCACACACTTGCGCCGAGCCCGAAACGAGAATCGTTGGCCAGCTCGACGGCGTGCGCGTCGTCGCGGAAAGGTACGACGCATACGACGGGACCAAAGATCTCTTCCTGCCAGACGGTGCTGCTGCGTATTGCTAGCTCTGCTGATGGTGAAAGCGACGAGGTGGTGGAGGAAGTCGCGGAGGGGACGAGGATGGTGGGCGGGTAGAAAGCGCCCGAGGCAAGATCGTGTCCATCGAACGCTGATCCGCTAGGCTTGCTCCCACCAGCAACGCACTTCCACTCGTTAGACGTGGCGCCTTGAACCGCCGCTTCGACCTTGTCCACATGCGTCGCACTGATGAGCGATCCAAGCAGCGTATCTGGATTCTGAGGGTCGCCCATACGACGTGCAATGTTATTGGCTCTGTCTGCGAAGCGCTCCACGAACTCGCTGAAGATACTTTCGTGCACGATGATCCTTGTTGCAGAAACGCAGGTCTGACCACTGGCTACAAAGGCAGCAAACGACGCACCGTTGACCGCCACGTCCAGCGGACAATCATCCATCACGACGAGCGGCGCCTTACCGCCCAATTCAGTAGTGATGGGGATGAGCCTTTTGCCAGCCTGCTCCGACAGCAGAGTGCCGACCTTGGTTCCACCGGTAAAATCGATCTTGCGAATGTAGGGCGACTCGACCAACTGCTTGGCCGTCTCGGCTGCACCGGGCAGGATCTGGACGACACCATCCGGAACACCCGCTTCCTGAATCATCGGACCCAGCTCGAGCACCGTCAAAGGAGCCACCTCGCTGGGCTTGACAATGACACTGTTTCCGGCGGCAAGTGCCGCCGCAAGCTTCTTTACAGCGATCAGGAGCGGGTGGTTGAAAGGCGTGATCTGGAGGACAACGCCGAGCGGACGTCGAGCCTTGTACCCCAGCAGCTGTCCACGCAACGGCAACGTGCTGCCTTCTCCGACGCGGATGAGCGCAGAGTAGTACTCGAACCATTCGTAGAGCCTCGCGAGCTGCGCGCGGAACTCTCGGATGCAGCGACCGGTCTGTTGACTTTCGAGCAGAGCAAGCTCGGGTGCCCGCTGTCGTAGGATCTGCGCTAGACGGTAGAGACACTCGGATCGGAAGTGGGTTGCGTCGGGTGAAGACCACTGGCCGTGACCGCGCTCGAAGACGCGGTGGGCGTCGTCGAGCGCTTTTTGGACTTGGTTGGTGGTGGGGATAGATATGGAGCCGATGGGTGTCGTCCGAGCTGGATCAGAGATGGTGAGACGTGCTGCAGAGGAAGTGGAGTCGGCCTGATCGAAGCGGCCGCTGATCCAGGGGTGTGCATCGTGCATCTTGAAGGTCGCCGAAGAGGAGAAGCGAACAGCGTGGATCGAGGTGCTTGTTCTTGGTATCAACGTCGGCGCAGGCATCGCGCGCAGTCGAGGCAGCCGCATTGTAGCGGTGAAGATGGTGCACAGCCGCGCGTAGCTGAATGTACTGCGAAGCTATGATGAGAAGACAAAAGAAGGGGAGCAAGCAAAGAAGCAAGGAAGGAAGTAGGCAAGGATGTTGCACCGTGCATCTCGGAAGCTCGGAACGGCTTATCAGAAAACCCAAAAAAAAATAAAAGTTGATTTGATCTTGTACCACGCAGCCGGCCAAGGCAAACCGAATCATAAGAGAGCATTGTAAGGCCTATCGTTCCTGCCTTGGGTCGTCTGTGCAGCGAGACCGTGGCGAGGGTCATCTGTCGATGAGAACGACAGAGTGGTACAGTGATGTGCTCGTCCGGCGTGTGTTGCGAAATAAAAAGCTCGGGTCGACGTCGAGCCAGGTCGCGTGAGCCATTTATCGTCCATCTTGGTACGGACCCTGAATCTCTCCAGACCACCACCTAACTCGCCGCTGGTCGCTACCAACAATCCTTTTGAGGCATCACAGCACGAGAGATGACGGTCTCCAGTCTCACGCTGGCGGCCCGGTCGCTTCCCCGGGCTAGGTTGGCATCAGCATCGGCAGCAGCGGCGTCAAGGTCAGTGACGCCTTGGCGTTCTCTCCATACTCCTACGGCCACTCGTTCGCCCGCCAGTAGACTTGGAGCACACGCAAGGGCGAGCACCACCTCAGTGCAGCCTAGCTTCCCCTGCCGACGCCACCTGGCCACACAGTCCACCACACCCGACTTTGTGATCCCAGTGATCGACTTTTCGGCTTTTGTGCGGGCCGACGCTACCGATGCGGACCGAGCACGTACGTCGCACGAGCTGACACAGGCGTTCAAGTCGTCCGGCTTCGCCTACCTCAGCAACCACGGGATCACTCGCGAACAGATCGACGACACGTTTGCCAAGTCGGCCGAGTTCTTCAAGCTGCCGATCGACAAGAAGGACGAGTTGGCATGGAAGGATCCTCGCGCCAACCGCGGCTACGTGGCCGAGGGGCGAGAGCGCGTAACACAAGCGACATCGGCAGAGGAGATCGCGGCGCTTCGGGAACAGACGCCGGACTACAAGGAATCGCTCGAGATCGGCAACGATCGCGATCCCGTGTGGAAGAACGAATGGCCACAAGAGTCGGACGCGCCGCACTTTAAGGATACGATGCTGGCGTTTCAGAAAGCGGCGCACGAGCTGCACATGAAGGTCATGTCGTCCATCGCCATGGGCTTGGGCCTAGATGCGCGATTCTTCGAGGACAAGTGCAACCAGGAATGGCACACGCTCCGTCTGCTCCACTATCCGAGCGTCAGGACGGACAAGCTCAAGCTCGAAGGCTCGGCGAGGGCCGGCGAACACAGCGACTACGGCTCCATCACGCTCCTCTTCCAGGACAGCGTGGGTGGTCTCGAAGCAAAGAACCCGCATACGGGTGTGTACCACGCAGCGGATCCCATCCCCGGCACCATCGTGGTCAACGTAGGGGATCTGCTGGCGAGGTGGTCCAACGATCAGCTGCGCTCTACCCTTCACCGGGTCAAGGCACCTCAAGCAGCGGACGCAAAGGCGGAATACACACCTCCACGATACTCGATCGCCTTCTTTTGCAATCCCAACGAGGACCAGCTGATCGAGACGTTGCCCAACTTCGACTCGAAGGAAGGACCCAAGTACGAACGCATCCTGACCAAGGACTACCTCGCCAAGCGACTCAGCGAGACGTATGTGTAGCAGACCACCGCATGTGAACGAATTTCTGTGGCCGCTTCGCTGTACAGATTCGCACCGATGGTTTATGAACGAGTAATGTCATTTCGATGGTTGATGGGTATCCTACTGCGTCGACCAGGTGTGAATGCTTTGGCGAACGGTAGGATAAAAAGAAAGAGGATGAATGTGCCAACCACCGACCCACTCCCTCACCTTTGGTCAAAGGCAAAAGGAAGCACGGGTGCTAAGACGTTGGATCGCGGACCAGCCCTGCCGCCCACAACGCCCCCTGCGAGAGACGCTGCGAACGACAAGATTATCGGTGCGAGGACTCGAGCAAACGAAAAACAAATTGAGCCCCCTGGAGTCGCGAGTTGATCTAGACCGCCATTGACGCTCACCTCGTGGCCATGGGAGAGCGAGAGAAGCACCGAAAGTGACTTCAGGCCGAGGGAGCAACACTAGGCGGTCACAAGTTTGCTGCACAAGGAAAAGAAGGAAGGAGTGATTCCAGCTCGACACGGTTGCTTTATACGGCAGTCGTTGCCTGGCGCAGTCGTGTCTTCCAGAAACGAGAAAAATGGAAACGAAAAAATCACGCATCACGTGGCGAGGCGCCATAACAATGATTGTGAGATTACAAAGGCAACACATTGCTGGAAATATCACGGCTGGCTTGGATGTCGAAAAAGTGGAGGAAAATGGCGGCTGAAATGTCACTTGGCTGCAGCTCAGCGTGTGCCGGATGCATCTCGCGCCTCAACTTATCGGACCCTGAGCCGAACGCACTGACTGATAACTTACACTTGCTGCCATCCAACAAGGCGACCACCATCCACCGATCAAGCCACCATCAGCTTCCGCCGCTTCCACACAAAGATGGGGCAAGATGGACCGTGACTCTCCCTTTGCAGATCCAGATCGTCCATCTGAACCGCTACCGACATCGCCACCGCCCCCACCGCCCTTCTCCAGCAGCCTCAAAGCATCCATCTTTGATCATTCGCGCATCGTTCAACCCTCCACAAGCGTCTACAGGAGCGCCAGCCGTCCTCGCCACGATGACATCCGTGAGGAATCCTACCATGAAAGCCTCCAACCCAGCGTGGCCTCGCTAGCCGTCGGTTCGAGCAGCCGCCTTTCTACTGCTGACCACGACCAGCCAACTACGCACGGTGCAATCCGCACCCACAACCCTCGCCCGGACGCCGGGATACGTATCGACAGCTATCGTGGCCACCAAGGCGACGCCGATGAAGAACAAGAACCGGAAGACTTGCTGTCGGACGAGGAGCTTGGCTTGATAGCTGGCAATGATCGCCGACCATCTCCATCCGCCTCCCGCGGGTCCAGCCGGTCCCGCAAACGTCGCACCGATCCCTCGGATCCTCGCTCGCGCGCCTCAGCTGTAGGTGGTCTCAGCGCAAAGCAAAAGGCGCTCTGGATGTGGGCCAACGTCGACAATCTCGACGCGTTCCTCCAAGAAGTGTACGCCTACTATGTCGGCCGCGGCGCCATCTGCATCGCGCTCTCGCGCTCGCTCAACCTGCTCACCGTCGCCTTTGTCATCTCCTTCTCCACCTTCTTGTTCGGATGCATCGACTACTCTGCCATCGCTCACGACGGTCAGCTCAGCGATGTCATCGTAGGTCATTGCGTCGCCGGCTTCTCCCCCTTCGCTACGCTCGTCGTGGTCGTGCTGCTGGCCGCATTCGGCTGGCAGCTGGTTCAATTCGTGCTCGGACTGTCGAGACTCAAGGCCATGCATCGATTCTACGAGCATCTGCTCGGCATTCCCGACGCTGACGTTCAATCCATCCCATGGCACGAGGTGGTCAATCGCATCTCGGCTCTGCGTGAACAGCATCCCAACACCTCGCTCAGCTCGGCCGACGAGATCGAGCTCGGCGATCGTGCCTCCTCATCGCTGCGCCCCTCGCACCACCAGCGGCTCGATGCACACGACGTCGCGAACCGTCTCATGCGCCAGGAAAATTACCTCATCGCCCTCTTCAACGAAAACATCCTCGACCTCTCGGTACCTGGTCTGCGCAACAGGAGCCCAGCCTTGACACGCAGTCTCGAGTGGAATCTCAACTTTTGCCTGCTCGGCTTCCTCTTTGACTCCAACGGTCAAGTGCGCCACCAGTTCCTCTCTGAACGCTACCGCGCCGACCTCATCGAAGGCCTACGCAGACGATTTCTGTTCATGGCGGTGGTCAACGCCATCTTTGCACCCTTCATCGTGCTCTACCTGCTCGTCTACTCGTTCTTCCGCTACTTTGAAGAGTACCACAAGGATCCGTCCAATCTCGGTTCGCGCCAGTACACCCAGTACGCACGATGGAAGTTCCGCGAGTTCAACGAGCTGCCGCACCTTTTTCGTAGAAGATGCCACACCTCGTACGCGCCTGCATCCAAGTACATCGACCAATTCCCCAAGGAGAAGACCGCCATCGTCGCACGATTCGTTGCGTTTGTCGCGGGATCGTTCACCGCGGTGCTCATCCTCGCATCGGTGATCGATCCGGATCTGTTTGTGCACTTCAACATCACACCGCAGCGCAACATGCTCTTCTACATTGGAGTGTTTGGCGCCATCCTGGCTGTTTCCAGAGGCATGGTCCCGGACGAGCATCTGGTGTTCGAACCCGAAGCCGTGCTGCGCGAAGTGATCCAGCACACACACTATCTGCCGCAGGACTGGAAGGGACGTTTCCACTCGGCTCAGGTCCACCAGGCGTTTGGACAGCTGTACACGCTCAAGATCTACATCTTCTTCCAGGAGCTGTTGAGCGTCGTGACGACGCCGTTTGTGCTGTGGCTTTCGCTGCCGGGATGCGCGCCGGACTTGATCGATTTTCTACGCAAGTATACGGTGCATGTGGATGGGCTGGGACACGTGTGTTCGTTTGCCGTGTTTGACTTTGCCAGGCAGCCGACGGCGAGCACCATGGGTGGAGTAGCGGCCAAGGGGATCCACAGGCAGCCTCAGCAGGGTAGCAGCAAAGCGAGAGCGCTACGGAACGGGATGAGGGAAGGAAAGATGGAGCAGAGCATCTTGGGTTTCAGGGCGAACCATCCGGACTGGGACCCAGCAGCTCATGCCAGCACCGCGTCGATCCACCGACACAATGAAGATAACGGCTCCAAGAGCAGTGCTAGTGCAGCAGCGACGTCGCACCACGGGTATGGAAATGGGATGGCCAAGTCGGATGCACCAACCACCACGACAGGAGGAGCCAAAGTCAAGGATTTGATAGATCACATCTACCGCGGGAGCGGCGCTGCCGCTGGCGGAAGCAGATGGTGAAGCAAAGCCGCACAGCTATGACAAATGCACTGAAAGGTCGTACCCATGGCTCCAGCAGTGTGTGGCCGATGATGTGGGGTCCAAGGGAGACAGGCTAGCGGTTGCTTTTTGGCTTGCTTGATTGCGCGTTGGCATGTCCACGCTGATACATTGTCGGAAGACCGTGAACTGGTCTGCTGCCTTGGACGTGCTAAATCGGGTGAAAGTGTCGTCGTCCAGCAGCAGCTGTCCTCGAGCTCAGTCGGCGAAATCAGGCCAAAATCGAAAAATCGGGGGCGAAAGAGGATCGCTCGCTGGTATTTGAGTGAAATTGACTGGCACGCTGCCTGAGGCGAATGCAATAATGAGAGGAATCGCGTCTCTACGAGCCGTCGCGGCGTGAGGCCTGTCTCTGTCGCTTTCTTTCTGAGCTCGGGCTTGGGCTTCGAATAGTGAGCGAGATCCGTCGAAAGCTTCGTCCGTCCGCTCGCCCGCTCGATCCACCATCCTCCCATCCTCCCCCTCTCCATCATCCCTCTTCCCTCCTTTCTCTTATTCCGTCTCTTCTTTTTCCTTGGGTCACCTCCTTCGTCGGCTTTCACTGTACTTTTCCGCGCTCTCGTTCCGACCCGGCCCAGCATTCAACGACACTTTCCATTTCAGCGCATCCATCACATCCATAGCAGCCCTTAGACCATCCCCTTCGCGTCGTGCATCCTTCAGCGCGCCGACCGTATTGCTGCCGCTCACCGATCGCAGTACAGCATCCTCTGTTGCTGATACGACGGAGCCTTCGTTGGCTTCCAACACGATACGGCACCTCGCACAACACGCGTCGATCCTCTGGGAACCAGCGGCTGCCGAATACAAGCAACGATACCCTTCCTCGCAATTGCTCCTCATCAGATCTAGCATCTGCTCATGATCTGCGGGTAGGCTCATCTTCCTCCGCTGCGTCCTTCCCACCGCGTTTCTATCTTTCACGAGGGCCTCCCATCAGAGCGCACCGGATCCCAACTGCTTTTCGACTCCGTGCCGCTGCAATTCAGTCCAAAGCCGAATCTCGTCGCGGATCGCGAGCAATCTGCCTGCACCGTCCGTTTTCACCCCCATCTGTCGCCACGCCATCACCGTCGATCAGCCGACGCGCGCTGACTCGGCTCCCCAACTTCGATAGCGCGTCATGGATCCCAACATGTTTGGCAACAACTTTGCCGGCATGTTCGGCCAGCAGCAACCGCAGCAAACAGGCGGTGGTGGCGGCATGGACACATCCAACATGGGTAGCATCAACCCCGCCATGTTTGGTGGTCTCGACCTGAGCACCCTCCAAAATAACCCGCAGTTGGCTGCAGCGCTGCTACAACAACAGCAGCAGCAGCAGCAATCCTCGCAACCAAATACTCCACAGCAGGCGCGCTTCAGTCCGGCCATGTTCAATCCTGCCATGATGGGCCTAGATCAAAGCAACCAGGCCGGCGGCGGTATCAATATGCAGGCGCTTCAACGTGCAGCTGCGGCGGGCGGTAACAATCCAATGGCGTCGTTCAACCCGCAGATGCTTTTGCAACAGCAACAGCAGCAACAGCAGCAGCAGCAGCAGCAGCGACAAGGGACTCCGCAGCAACAACAAGGCGGTCAAGCGTCACGGTGGCCGCCACAGCAGCAGCAGCAGCAACCGCAACAACAATTGCAACAGCAACAGATGCAGCAGAATCTCCTCGCGCAGCTTCAGAACAATGCAGGCGCCATGTTCAACAACAACAACGCCGCCAACTTTGGCCAGATGGGCGCCATGGGTCAACCGCAACAGCAACAGCAGCAACCACCACAGCAGCAATTCGGTGCCGGTCAATTCAACCCGGCTGCCTTTGGTCTCAATCCTCAGACCATGGCTATGTTCCAGCAGAATCCCATGCAGGCCATGCAAGCCATGCAGGCTTTCGGTCAGCTAAACCCCGGTGCATTTCCTCCCGGCGCCTTCAACCAGCTCATGATGCAACAGCTGCAGCAGCAGCAGCAGCAGCAGCAGAACCAAGGTCAGGCTGGCGGATCGAACCAGCCAGGCCAAAATCCTACCATGTTTCAGCAGTCCCAGAACGGCAACATGACAGGCATGCTCGACCCTTCTGCACTGATGGCGGGATCCTCGAATCAACAACAGCAGCAGCAGCAACCCGGCATGTTTGGAGGTGGCGCTCCGATCCCTGGCTCCTCGCCAGTGCGACCCAACTCGGCGCTCCAGCAGCAGCAGCAGCAGCCGCCCAACGGCATTCCCTCATATCTGCAGTCCAACAACCAGAATCAGATGCAGGCCGGCCAGTCCTCACCTGCTACGCCGCAACAGCAACCTGGCATTACTGCAAGTGCCGATAACGGCGCCGCGCCGTCTACACCCACAACCGCCTCCAAGCCAAAAGCGCCACGCAAGAAATCCGAAAAAAAGACCACGGCCAAGTCGCAGGCGGCTCAGAACCAGACGCCCGTTATGCAGCACGCCAATGCGCCCGGCACCACCAGCATGCAGCCCTCTCCCAGCGCATCGTCCATCGCCGGCATCCAGGGCGCCTCGCTTCCCGGTAGCGCCTTTGAACGCTCACGTAGCCATACACGCTCGCCGAGTGTCTCGCTAGGTGGCCAGGGCACGCCATCGCAGATGCACACGTTGCCCCCAGGCATGCAAGGTCTGCCGCAGCAACAGCAACCGCATCAACCCCAACCGCTCCAGCCTCCACAGCAGCAACGGATGGGCATGCCGGGCCAGCCGGGCCAGCCAGGGCAAGCGCCGCAGCAGCAGGTGGTACCGCCAAACTGGACGCCGAGTCTCAACCCGCAACAGCAGCAGGCTGTGCTGTCAAGAGCGCTCGCGCTCGCAAAGGCGCAAGAGGGTTCCGGTCTGACACCGGTGCACACGCTCATGCAGATGGGCTACCTATTCCTCAAGGCCTCGAGCTTGCCAGGTGGTTCGCATCCGGCCATGATGCCCAATGGCGGCATGGTGCTGACCATCAACGAGGCGCGTGGTCTCAACCTGATCCCTCAGCAGGGTGCTCAGCCGGGTCCACCTGGAGTCAATGCACAGGCTCAACAGCAGCAGCAGCAACAACAACCGCAGCAGCAGCAACGACAATCGTCCTTCTCTGGTATGCCGAATCAGCAGCCACAGCAGCAGCAGCAGCCTGGATTCGGCGCTCCTCCATTGACGCCTCAGCAGCAGCAGCAGCAGCAGCAAATGATGCTCGCCATGCAGCAGCAGCAGATGCAACAGATGCAACAACAGCAGATGCAGCAGCAGCAGATGCAACAGCCACAGACTCCACTAGCGGCACCGCAGCTGGGACATGCTCACGGGCAGCGACCTGCCACGCCAGCAGGACAGCACGCCTCGCCCTCGAGCATGCGTGCACCCTCGCCCATGGGTCCAGCAGGTGCTGTGTCGAGCCCTGCTCTGGGCAACAAGCCTCGGCCACGTCAGCCGAGTCTCGCCCTCAGCGCCTCCGGTAGACCCGATTCGCGCGGAGGAGCCGTTCCGCCGCCTCCTTTTCAGCCGGGGGGCCCACAAGGTCTCATGGCACCGCCGCCTGCTCCCAGCCACATGCCTCCCGGCATGCCTCCTGGGATGGCGCCCGGCATGATCGCTCCTGGCGTTCAAGGCGGTCCGCTTCCTCCCGGCTTTGGCGGTCCGGAAGCGACGCCACCGATGCTCAAGCAGCAAGGCCGACGTCCGTCCATGGTGCAAGATCCCGCGCTTGCTGCCACGCCAGAACAGAGGCGGACCTCATTGATGGGCTTGCCTGGAGACGGTGTTGCAGCCACGACACCCGATCCTACGATGATGGCCGCGGCGAGCGCAGCGGCTGGACAGCCGTCGGCTCAAGTTCAGCTCATGGGCAGCTTCGGCAGCGCAACGCCAACGCCAAAGAGCCGCAAGGGCTCGCAGGCTGGACCGCCAGGGATGCCCCTTGTCGCCGCCCAGCCTGGCGCCCACGGTCCCGGTGAGACGCCGCCGCATCCCGACGCAGCACTCGACGCCACGGCGCTGACTGGCAAGCCTACCACCTTGGCCGGCGGAGCGCCCGCATTTGCTCAGACGGTGCCCTCCAACTTGGCCAGCATGCCCATGCTGCTAGGCGGACCGGCACCGAAGGAGTCGGCGATCGGCACGCCTGTCACGCACTTCAACACTCGCGTCACCAAGTTGGACGATGCCATGCGACCACAGCGTGCGGCCGACGACAAGGCCGATGCAGCTCTAGACAAAGTGTGGACGCCGCTCACCGCCGAGCAGGAAGCCGAGCTGGTCGCGATCATGAAGCGAGATCTCGACTACGAAAAGCTGTTCCGACAGCAGCAACAAGGCATGGAGATGTCGCTCAAGGACCGCATCGACAGCGTCAGGCCTCCTCGCAGGAAAGCGTCCGATGGCACCATCACCAAGCCGAAGCCTCTGGCATGGTGGGAGCGTCCCGAGGAGGAAGATACATCGGGACTATCGCGCGACCTGTTCCGGCCTTTTGGCGTGCTCTTCCCCAACCAAAAACGTGCCGAGCTCGATCAAGGTCAGCGCGGTGCTCGACCCCACATCCCGCTCAAAAGGTCCCTCATGGAGCTCGTCTCGCAGCAAGGCGAGGATCTGGTCCCCATCCGACTCGAGATCGATCACGAGCACTGGAAGCTGCGCGACACCTTCACATGGAACGCCCAGGACTCGCACATCAACGTCGAGGCGTTTGCGCAGTCGATCTGCGAGGACATCGGGCTGCCCGCCACCGTCTTTGTGCCGCAGATCAAGGAGCAGATCACCACGCAGATTCTGGATCACCAGACCACCAGCGCGTTCAGAGCCAAGCCGACCTTCGATTTCGGCATCGATACCAAGGAGGGCAAAGGCTCGCTCGAGGACGGCGACGTCCGCTGGTGGTCCAAGTGGCGGCGCAAGGTCCTCAGGACCACGCCGGAGCAGGGCGCCAACGGTGAGGACGCTGCCATGCACGTGGACGACAGCAGCGAAGACGACGAAGCACGATCGGAACCGCCCGAGATCCTCGACACGACACCCGTCGAGGAGCTGCGCATGATGATCAAGCTCGACATCACCGTAGGCGCCATGAACCTCGTCGACCAGTTCGAGTGGGACGCCAGCGAGTCGGATCCTGCTGCTGCTGAAAAGTTTGCCGACGCCTTCGCCGCTGATCTCGGCCTCTCGGGCGAGTTCAAGACGGCCATCGCACATTCCATCCGCGAGCAGGTCTCCGTTCACGTGAAATCGCTCGCCATGACCGGTCACACGTTCGACGGCCGTCCGATCGCCGACGAGGAGCTGCGCGCCGCGTTCCTCGGCCCCGTCAGCAAGATGAACCTGTCGAGGGGCGAGATCGAGTCGTACCACTTTACACCGCGTCTGCTACAGCTCACCGAGGCCGAGATCGAGCGTCTGGATCGCGAGCGCGAACGCGAGGCGCGTCGAAAGCGTCGACAGACGCGTGGCCGTCGCGGCATCAACCTGCCGGACCGCGACCCTCAAAAGACCCAGCGCACGCCGGCGGTGTATGGCATTCAAACGGCGCAGACCGGGGCGGATGTTGCGCTGCAGCATGCCAACGGTCTCAGCGACCGCTACGGCGGAATGTCGACGCGTCGTGCAGCCGCCGCTGCCGCCAACGCTTCGATCGCTCCATCGCAGGCTGTCGACATCGGCACACCGACGCCGGGCCCGGACGGTCTTGGCTTGCCCGATCGAAAGAAGCCCAAGGTCAACCACCACGCCATCCACTTCGACTTTCCCGGTGGTCTGGGCCGCATCTCGGACCCTGGTGGACCCACGTTCGCGCCCGAGTACCTGGAAGAGGAAGCCAAGAAGCGTGCGCGGTCGCCCGAGAACCAGGCGACGGGCTCGCAGGCGGAGAAGCCGGCTCCGAAGCTGGTCTCGCTGTCGTACGCGCAGCGCAACAATGTGCGTCCGGAGGATCTGGAGCGACAGCATCCTAACTTCCACGACGGCATGTGGCACTGCTCCAACTGCGGCATCCCCGGAACGCTGGCGCCTGGACGACGAAAGGGTCCGTTGGGCGACAAGTCGCTGTGCGGACCGTGCGGCAAGTACTACCACCGTCATCGCAAGGTCATCTTCTTGGAGTACACGCGCGACCCGGTCGTGCACATGAAGCAACAGCAGGCGACCAACCGCAAGATGGGGATCTCGAATCCGCTCATCGATACGGCGCTGCTCAATGCGTTGGGCGACCAGGAGGATTCGACCGAGCCTACGAGCGCCGCCGATACGCCCAAGCCGGACGAGGCAGCGGGCGGCGCCGACGGCGGCGCGGATGAAAACGGGGTGCGACGCAAGGGCCGACCGCCGACATCGCTGCGTGCAGCGAGCCGCGGCGATGGCGACGACGACGACGACGATCGCTCGGACGAGGAGGATCTGCCGTTCGAGATGGTGGGCAGTCCCGATGACAGCGACTCGTCTTCGAGGTCCAGCAGTCCCGAGCCGGCGTCTAGGTCGCGCACTACGGCGTCGCAGTCGGTAGCCAACGACGAGAACTTGCAGCTTGGGCGACGTGCAGCGGCGGACAGCGCACGTGACAAGGTGACGGCGTCGTTGGCGGCGGCTGAAGCAGCGATCGAGACGGATGCGGCGGCGGCAGCGGCAGCTGTACAAGACGATCTCGCAGCCACGAAGAAGGAACCTGGCGATGCGGTAGGCGTTGGCTCTTCCGCGATCAACAGCAACAGTGCTCCGGCGACGAGCACGGGTGTGGTCGACTCACCCTCGGCAGCCTCGGTCGCGGTGGGAACGCCGACGCTATCCAACGCCTCGCCTCGCATGGCAGCGATCCCTGGTGCCACGCCTCCGGAGTGGCTCTCGCAATCCGCGAGCGTCCTGAAAGCTCGCTATCCGAACGACCGGTTCGAGATCCAGCAACGTCCGCGTCCTGCGGGTGTACCGCCACCGCCGCAACCGGAGTGGCGTGTGCGGTGCCTCGACTGCCCAGGCAAGCTGTACACGCCGGGACCGGGCGAGAGCCTCAACAACTTTGAGATCCATCTGCGCAACCGTCTGCACCGCGCCAATGTCAACAAGCGCGTGTATGGCAACAGCGGGCCTCCCGCGGCCGGGGGTGGCGCCGGTTCGCCCGGAGCAGCGGGTGCGGCGGGCGAGCCCAAGAGCGAGACGAGTGCTGCGCTCTGAGGAACGGAAAGGGGGCAAGTGATGTGGCATTGTATTATGGTTGCGTCCTTTTGGTATTTTACACAGTGTTTCGACGAAAACCGTTTGAACTTGAAGGAGGATGTGCGTGAACGCAGATTGGGGTGAGCTGTTGAAGAGGGAGGGGGAAACGGTGTGAGATCGAGTGAGCTCGGCTGTTGAAGAGGGGGCAGGGGTGTAGAGGTGCGAGACCAAGTGAGCTTGTTCAGCCTTTATCGAAGACGTCTGGCTAGACGGCAGGCGTATAGAATCTTAGTGAGCCGTTGAAGAGGGAGGAGAGATGAGCGGTGTGAGACCGAGCGAGGTTTGAAGATGGATAGATTAATCTCGGAGTATAGAGTCGTATCGGGGATCGAGTAGATGGGGCGGTCGGCGAGACTGATGGGTGGGGTCAGGTCTCTGGGCGGATGGCCGTCAAAGCCGTGGTACCGGCTCGGCTTTTGAGGGGAAAAAAGGGTGCACAGACGCGTTGCTGCGAGCGGACAGAGGGAAGTGCGGGGCATCGAATTTTTCCCCACACACGCTGGGCTGGCCGTAAGAGGAGTCGCGCTGTTGGATCCGGGTTGGGGTTTCACCTTTCCTTGTCACCTCACATCATCAATGACCAGAACCAATATTGACGACAAGATCATCTCACTGCATTCCACTCGTCAGCTAACTTCTTGCCATGCTTAGACACGCGGCCCTCAAGCCTAGGTTCGCGGCTGTCCGCTCGGGCGCTGCGACTCTGGGCTCGGTACACGTCGCGGCTCGATTGACCCCGGTCGTCCATCGACAGCTGTCTACTTCGCAATGCACGCAAGCTGCTGCACGAACTACCGTGTCGCCCATCGCACATCAGCGCAGGGCATCCACCATCGCCTCTTCCCCCGTCGAAGCCACGACGCTCAAGCCGCTACCTGCCAAGATCCTCATCGCCAACCGCGGAGAGATCGCCTGTCGAATCATCCGCACCTGCCGTCGACTCGGCATCTCCACCGTCGCCGTCTTTTCGGAAGCCGATGCAGCCTCGCAGCACGTCAAGCTCGCCGACGAAGCGTACTGCATTGGCCCCGCTGCCTCGTCCGAATCGTACCTGTGTCAGGACAAGATCCTCGCTGTCGCTCAGCGTACGGGTGCCACCATGATCCACCCTGGATACGGATTTCTCTCGGAAAACGCAGCCTTTGCAAAGCTCCTCGAAGACACGGACAGCATCACGTTCATCGGTCCACCCGCTTCGGCCATCGATGCTATGGGTAGCAAATCCGCCAGCAAAGAGATCATGCTCGCTGCCGGTGTTCCCTGCGTTCCCGGTTACCACGGTTCCGAACAAGATCCCGATTTCTTGGCTCGAGAGGCGGACAAGATCGGCTACCCCGTGCTGATCAAAGCCGTCAAGGGAGGTGGTGGTAAAGGGATGAAGATCGCCACGACGGCGGCCGAGTTTGCCGACGCACTGTCGTCGGCCCAACGCGAAGCTTTGAAGTCGTTCGGCGACCCCACGGTGCTCATCGAAAAGTACCTCACCGCTCCACGTCACGTCGAAGTGCAGGTCTTTGCGGATCGTCACTCCAACGCCGTGTACATCTCCGAACGCGACTGCTCCGTCCAACGTCGTCACCAAAAGATCATCGAAGAAGCCCCCGCCCCGCACCTCTCCGAATCCCTCCGCACCGAGCTCGGTGAAAAAGCCGTCGCCGCTGCAAAAGCCGTCGGCTACGTCGGAGCTGGAACAGTCGAGTTCATTCTGGATGCGGAACGACCCGAAAACTTTTATTTCATGGAGATGAACACGAGGTTGCAGGTCGAACATCCGGTGACGGAGATGGTGAGCGGGTTGGATTTGGTAGAGTGGCAGTTGGAGGTGGCGAGCGGGAATCGGTTGCCGTTGTTGCAGGACGAGTTGAGGATCGAGGGACATGCGTTCGAGGCGAGGATCTATGCCGAGAATACGGATAAGGGGTTCCTGCCGGATACGGGGAAGCTGGTTCACGTCAGGTTGCCACCGACGACCACGGTGGGTCACTCGAACGGTGCGATGATCTCCCGAGGTGGCGGGGAGGTCGCTTCCGAGGTCAAGGCGGAAGCGGTGGTGAGGGTGGATACCGGGTTCGTAACGGGTGACGAGATCTCCGTGCACTACGATCCGATGATCGCCAAGCTCATCGTCAAGGGGAGGGATCGTACCGAGGCGTTGCGGATCATGGCCAACGCTCTGGAAAGGTATCAGGTGGTCGGACCGATGACCAACATCCAGTTTCTCAAGAACTTGGTCCGACACCCCAAGTTCATCGAAGGTAAAGTCGAGACGGGTTTTATTGGCAAGTACGGGGAAGAAGGGCTGTTCGGTGATCCGTATACGAAGGAGGGTGAGTTGGAGGAGGCGGTGGCTCAGGGTGTGATTTGGATGTACCAACGCGATCTCAGGGGCAACCTGGAGGACGGCAAGGGAGGTATCTGGACGAAGCCAGATTTCGTTTCTCTGGAAAAGCGCTCCTTCGACGTCTCGCACAAGACCTTGGGAGAGCTGCGCATCGACGTCGTCCCCACCTCCCGCCACCCCAACGGCGCTGCCGATCAGACGTACAACATCACCCTCACCTCACCCTCACGCTCCACGGAGCTCACTGCCATCCGCACCACCGGCTGCACCACCATCCCTCACTCCCGCACCTCCCTCCACTACACCACCTTCCTCCCCACAGGCGTATCGACCAGCTTCTCGCTCATCCCGCCCACGTGGTTCTCCGCGATTTCCGCGGCGGCGGGAGATGCGAGCGCGGCGTCGAGCGATGCACTGGTCGCACCCATGCCGTGCAAGATCGTCGACTGCAAGGTGACGCCCGGACAGACGGTCAAGAGGGGAGAGACGGTGGTGATCCTCGAAGCCATGAAAACCGAGATCAGTTTGAAGGCCGGTAGGGATGGCGTGGTGGAGAGCGTGAGTGGCAAGTGCAAGGTGGGCGGGCTGGTGGGCGAGGGGACGCTGCTGGTCAAGTTCGAGGCGGAAGCGGACGAGGGGGAGAAGACCGAGTAAAAGAGACAGTTGTGGGAATGGTTTCAAGATGGTTTGCCGTTGCGTGTGGAAGAGAATGTGCATGTGGATGTGGAGTGAGGAAGTTTCCAGAGGGTGATTGACGAGAACCCAACGCTCATACCCACGGCATCACGATCGTCTGTTGACTCAAAGATCGGAGCCGGATACCTCAAAGCTGAGAGAGTGTGTTTGCGAACAATGTTTGTCGTAGTGTGAATGCGTTATGTCACAGAGAGGTGATCGTGTCGAGGCAACCCGTTGCTGTTCCTGGAAGTTGCTCTTCCTTCGAGCCATTGCTAATCCGAGAAATCAAAGCTTGTGCGTCGCCGTTTGCCATCCTTCGCCATCACGATGTTCTGCCTTCGCGCCTAATCGAAAGCCCCCGGACGATTGTTCAACCTGTCCTGCCTCCTCTGGTTGATCCACGCCTTCTTGCACTCCCTGTACTGGTTGAAGACGTCGCCGCACTTGCTCCTGTCGTACGCGTTGTCGTCGAGACACTTCATCGACAGTTTGGCGGCGTGTGCGCAGGGGTCGGTGAACTTGGACGGCGTCTTGTGCGACATGACGGTGATGAAGTCTTGCGGTTGACTTGGATCTGATGGTTGCGATGATGAGAGGGTGGCAGAGGAGGAGGAGGAAGAGGAGAGGTAGGACGAGGTCGACGATGTGGATGCTTCGGCTGCTGTTGGTTTGTACGGAGCTGACATTGTGGCTAGCGTGAGGGGGAGGGAGGGATGATGACGAGGAGGAGGAAGAGGAGGTGTGGGGTTGTCAGGGTCTGGTGGCGAGCAATAGTGAATAAATGTGGACAAAAACAGAGGCTTGTTAGACCGGAGTAGTTTTGAAAGGGTTGATTTTTTTCGTGCGAATGATTCTTGGCTGTCGAGCTGGAACAACTCTGAGACTCACGACGCTCGGACTTTGTTTCGCCAGCAAGTGCCTTCACCACCATCATCTCTGGCATCGCATCGCGGCATCGGGTTTCCGGGCACACCCCTCGTAACGACTTTCACGGCTGTGAACAACGACAACTGCAGCTGGCTGCACCTTACGTATCTCCTTCCCTTCGACGGCATCTTCCAAGCACGTCACGAGCTCGTCCTCCCAACGTCACGCGACACTGGAATCTCGCGAGTGCTCCTTCACGACTCCACACTGCCAAGCGGAACAGTACCATCTCCCTACGTCTCTTCCGAGGGCATCTTCTCACCATGTTCGCCTCGTCACCATCACCGTCTCGCAACGCGTTCTTCCCTCTCCTCTCCCTCGCCCTCCTCTTCCTGCTCACCCTGCTCCCCACCCCGACCTCCTCCGCCGCGCTCACCACCCTGCTCGAACCGCACGAGCGCTCCTGCTTCTACGCGTGGGTCGACGCCGTCGGCGAAAAAGTTGGCTTCTACTTCGCCGTCCAATCCGGCGGTCACTTTGACATCGACTACACCGTCCACGACCCGGACCAGAAACTCATCACTTCCGGCAACAAAGAACGTCAACTCGACATCATCTTCACCGGCAACACCATTGGAGAATACACGTTCTGCTTTGAAAACTCCATGTCCACCATCGCCGAGAAGCTCATCGATTTCGACATTACCGTCGAAAGCGAACCCAGGCTGGATGTGCCGATTCAACCGGCCAAGCTGCTCAAGGAACACAGCGCTCCGTTGGAAGAGGGGATCGGCAACATGGATGAGAAGTTGACGCAGATCGGCAGGACGCAGAGGTACTTTAGGGTCAGGGAGAATAGGAACTTTGACACGGTGAGGAGTACCCAGAGCAAGATCTTCTGGTATAGTGTCGTGGAGAGCGTTACGATGGTAGGGATAAGTGTGGCGCAGGTGTGGATTGTGAGGGCGCTGTTCGAGAGGGGTAGTACTAAGAGGTATAGGGTGTGAAGTCGGGTCGCGGCGTAGGGTTGGGGGGAGAAGGCTGGCGATACATTTAGAGTGTACTCGTACTTTGATGCCTCAACGTAAAGATTCTTTCACAGTCGTCTGCGTGCTTTCCATCTCGAACGATGTAGGGAATACTCCTGCCGTTGCATTGTGCAGAGTGAAAGGCATGAGCCCACAATCCCGGGTATACTTGTATCGATCTCAATCATCGTCCTTCTTGCGCTTGACCGCTTTACCAGAAGGCGTGGAAACACCGCTGCTGCCTGCAGCCGCCGCCGCGCCGTCGGTATTCTTCCTCTTCAACTTGGTCGCTGTTCCTCCGCCCGCTCCTGCTGATGATGATGCTTTTCCTCCTCCTCCGCCGCCGGTGGTGGATTTCGTGGGGGTGCTTCCAGCTGCTGTTGTTGCATTGGCACCGGCATCGGCGTTTTTCCCACCGGTCTTGCCCACCTGCGGGGTCTGACTCCTCTCCTTGTCCTTTTTCTTCTTGACTGCCGAATCCTTGCTTCCACTTTGCATCGCTTCCTTGTCCTTCTTCTTCTTGACTACCGGTGTAGCACTTGTATCCGATTCCAACTCCCCCGTCTTGGTTTCTTCGTCGAGCAACCCTTCGTTCGCCTTCAACTCCAAACTCTTTTGGTACGTTGCACTGCTCAAACTGAAGATCCTATCTTCTACGGGCACTTCCGCTCCCAGATTCTGACTGTTGCCGCTACGAGAGGTGGTGGAGGCAGAGTTCTTGAGGTAGGAATCGAAACCTTTGACGATATTTCCACCGGACGAAGACGTCGTTTGCAGGTACGAGCCTTCGAACAGGTAGATCTGCGATTCGAGATCGATCAGCGATCGATCGATCACACGTTTGTTGGCGAGACCCGTGCGGAGCGTCAGTTTGGTCGCATGGTAGCGTTGCGTTGCTTCTTCCAGACTGGTCGGCAGCGCAGAGGTGGAGGCGCTCGAAGTCGGGGCCGCAGCGCCAGCGGCAGAGGTGGTGGTGGAGGCTGTGTTCGTGGCGGTTGGCGCCATGATTGCGTGGATGTGAACGGGTAGATCGGAGGATACACGTGTGGTGAACGATTGCCTCGGGGGTTTTGACGATGGGTGATGAAGGTGGTGGGGAAACATCAACGTCGACGTTGGAAGTGCAGCCCGTACGCGACTTTCTCAACCGACTTCCGCACAAATTCGCGTCACTTTGGCACTAACACTGCATGTCAAGCACCGCATCCCGCAAAAGCCTTGCTGCGACACCCAAAATGACAAATCCGTCAAGACCTTGTGAGTCGGCATTCTACATCTAGTGCAGTAGGGCGAAGTCGTCTGTGCGAATTGAATTGCCGTCCTCTCATGTATCCAGTCGTCTTGCCTTTCCGTCATCTTTCTCATCGTCGCCAGGTTGAGACGCAACCACTTTTGCTGCTTGGAGTGCTTCTGCGCCCCGCGCCATTTAGCGGAGCAAAAGAAGTCTACAAGGATTCGCCTTAGTAATCACAAGTGAAGAGGGAAGAGCCTAGGATGGTCTTCCCTCCCTCCCTCTCTTATTCCTCGCCGTAGCGCTCGTTGAACCCCAGCTGCGGCGGGAGAGGAGCCTCATTGAGCTCTCAAGTCTCGCCACAGACCTCAGCCACAATCCGGTTGTCACGCACATCATCCAGCGAGTGATGACCAACCCGGGATTTTACATCCCTGGTGCACGTCCTTGTCTTCGTTTCGTCGTTGAATCATCGTTGCCATTGAAACCAGGACATAGATCACATCACTTGGCGTCACGGCTGTGCGAGAGCCGACGCTGCCTGCTGCTCAACCTTCCCCTGCCTCCGCCACGGCAGCGTGTGCCTGAGCATCAACCACACGCTCCCACCCACCGCGAGCACCACGCTGACGAACAAGAACACCGTCTGACAAGTATCCGAGAGCATAAAGATCCACGCCGTGAGCAGTGTCGATGAGACCGTTGTGGTCAGTGTCGAGATCATGACGCCTACGCGTTCCCAACGCAGTGCGTGCACCGATGGCTCCGAGTTGCTGCCCAGGATGTTCGCTGCTCGATACGGCGCAGTTTGCACCTGTTCTTCCTTCGACATGGCTGGCGTGCCATCCGTGGGATGACTGCGACCGAGCTCGACGTCAAGCACCGTGTAGATCTGCAACAACGCGAGCGGCAGCTGCGGGACGGTACCGGCAAACGTCACAATGGTAGCCACGTACAGGATCCAGCTTCCGCAGCTACCATCGGGAACCATGCTATTACCCAACACCGCCAAAACCAGACCCACGATCGACACGCCGAGACACGTCGTGAGCAACGCCGGCACCCACCAGGGCGTTTCCATCCGTCCAGCCAGTCGTTTTCTCCAGCCCTTGCGAACAGCCGGTCTCTTGGTCGCCAGGATGCTCCAGGCAATGGCAGAGACAGCGCCACTGACACCACCCGCCAGTGTCGGCAAGCCTGGCACCACGGGCACAAGCTTGATCGCTGACCCTGAAGCGGATTCTAGCTTCGACGCGTGGCTCTGGGTCTTGACCACCAGCCAAATCACGGCTGCCTGAATGACCGACGTGTTGCTGACGATCAAAACACCAGCGATGAAAGTCTCGCGTGACGAGGTGCCGGCACTGATCAAGTCGAAGGCCGCATCGTCGACGCCGAGCCCGCCAAAGAGGAACACCATGATGCGGCGCAGCACGCTCGATACCCAGAGTCCGAATCCAGTGTGCATCTGCTGCAGGCTGCGAAGGTTAGCGACTACAGCAGAAGGGTTGTTGGCATCCTCGCCGTTCGCGTTACGCCTGAAGATGTTGATGCTAGCCAACAGAGAAGGGTAGTACGACGACAAGCGGCGCAAACCTGCCAACGTTGTCTTTTCGCTCGAGCCCGGATCGCGCTTGTCCTCGACGGATGTCGAAGCGGGGGATGTTGAGGGCACGTCTGAGCTTGCGGTGAGTGCCTCGACAGGGCTGATTTGCGCTCGCTCGACGTCTTTGGCGTCCGTCTGCATCGTCGCGCTCCCAGCTGCTGGAATGTTGCTTTTCGTGCTGGCATCGCTATCTATTGCGGACGGTCGACGGCCAAATCGACGCGCTAGGATGAGCAAGACACCGATCGCCGGACAGAGCGCAAAGAAGAAGCAGCCCTCAACGACAAAAAGGCTTAGGAAGCCTTGCCTTCCGCTATTCGGCACCCCAGAAAAGGATACGCCGTGTCTTTGCAAAAGGCTTGCGATCTGGTAGCCTGACAAGGACGCACTGGAGCCAAACGCGGTACCCAATCCATAGATGGCTGCAAATGTGACAGAGGAAAATCCGAGTGTGTCTTGATGTGATGCTGGCGTCGACCCGGACAGTGAGCCTCGTCCCGGCGCCGAGGGAAAGAGCTCGACCGCTTGAGCTACGAGTCCCAAGGTGCTACAGATGGCAAAGCCGGCCGCCATCTTGGTGAAAAGAACTCCCACGACCGAGGTGCCAACAAACGCATTGAGCAACGTCATGAGTGCGACCATGCCCGCTATGAGCACCAAGATAGCAACCAGCCCGTCTACCAAACGTGCCGGGCGCAACTTTGCGACGAGCAAGACGAACAGAAGCACCAGCATGGCACCGGTGAAGAGCACCATGGGGAGCCAATACGCCGATTGCAAGAACGTCCATCGCAGTGGGTTGACCCTGAGGGCGTCGTCGGAGGGCAGAGCGTGACGGTCGAGTTGCGCGGCGAAACCGAGTTGGACCAAGCGGACAAAATCGAGGTTGTACTGGTCGGCTGTCACGATCCCCACAATGAGGGACAGCGGCAGGATGACAAACAAGACGTGTCCCACTTGTTGCTTGAGATTGGCCGACAGGATGTCGGTGGATGTGGGTGCGGGGGACATGCTGGTCAAGGTGGGAACGTGAGCGGTGCTGGATGCGTATGGGTGGGTGCCTCGACCATGCAAGGGTTGCCCTGCTTGTGTGATGCCATTTGGATCAAGTGCAGGTGAGTCGGCCATGATGAGATGTGCAAGCCACCAGCATCCACCAATCACAGCTGTTCGAGATGAAGTGGGGTGGGAGAGAGCTTGAAAGGCGACATCGGGAGATGACTGAGCCAGCCCACTTTATATCATGGTGGAGCGGGTGGAGCCAGCACCAAAGGAGCCGTCGTGCAATCAGCGCCGAGCTGTCGAGCGAAGAAGGTGGGCAGACCCAAGCTGAGGAGACACATGCTAGCCAATTCCTAAGGAACAAGAAGGCCGAGTAGCGACAAGTGTGTGTGTGGGGAAAAAGCTCCGGCGAGCGGGAAGGCAGGTTGGCTGCGAAAGTGCTAATCCAGGGTCCGACGAGAACCTGCGTGACAATGATAAGGCTCTGCTCGGATCTCAAAGCTCAAAAAGCGACTCTGCTTGCCCTTTTCAATGACCGCATGCACGCCCGACCTTGCAGCCCAAGTGCAGCAGGCGTCCTCCAGTCCATCTCTGAGAGGTCTGTGACTGACTATGCGACATGCGTTGTTGACAGGCAAGACGATTCGAAAAGTCACAACCGAGCCAAAGATGGAGGCGCCTCTTGGATGCATACAAACGTCAAACAAAAAGCGTCAAATTCGCCATCACACTTACGCCCACGCGACAAAGCCATGTCCAGAGACTTAGTGCCGGGTCACGCTTCCGACGGTGTCATTGTGGTCCACAGCCCTCACGGTCAATGTCACAGCGCTGATCTTCGTGCTATGTATCGCACTTGCAGCCTGCAAGCCGACAAGATGGCTGAACGGCTGATTATGATCCTCTCCATTGTGTGGCTCCGAGCTCCGAACCGCGCTCAAGGAGATTAGCGTTGCATAGCAACACATGATTTAGAGGCGTCCGCAGTCGATCGCAAACCGCTCCTAGTCTCCGGTCCTGTCGGCGTTCACGGGTCTGAACAATGCATAATGCCTCTAGCCGCTCAACAATGACATCAAAGTCTGCAGCACGGGCCTCGGAGCGATTCGAATTTGTGATTGTATGAAGATGCAAGATGGAAGGGGTCTGTTGCTACTCCTACCGCGTGACTTGTACCGGCTTTTTTGCGATGCCGAACTTGACGGTAAGGGACGGAATCCTTGCCGACCAATGAACAGCTCTCGATGTCCAAGCACAAGGACCGGGTAGCTACGCATGCGTTTGTCCGTTCTGACTTGAAGTCGTGTCTCGGTTGAGTGGTGAATATGATGATAGCGCTGTGATGTCGAGCTTGACATTCGCCAAGCCGCTTTCGCGATTGAAGAGCGTGTTGGGGCTGAGGAGCAAGAGCACTGAGATGGCCAGTACCAACGCGTGGAGTACAAGCAAGATCCACGCTACGATTCGGTCTTTGCCTTTCACCGCCGAATTGTTTGGTACTGAGGGCACCATCTCTGCTGTTGAGTTCTGGAATGCAAAGATGGATTGAGATGGAGGTGGTCCACGGTCAGAAAGGATCAGCTGTCATGCGACCAACAAGTCGACTTATATGCCGGAATTCCATCGACATGGTGGTCTTCTTTCTGACAAGACGTCAATTTTGACGAACAAAGGGCTGCGGTCGATGAAGTTGCGTCCAAATCGGCGAAGACGGGTCTTTGTGGCGACCCTTTGTCTCGTTTCATATAGCATACGATTTTGGACGCGTCACCAGGCGTGGAAAGTCCCTTTCTTCTAGGCCCACCACATGCCGAACAACACATTCTTTGGACGATATTTGCATTTGGGGCTACCCTTTGTGCTCCGTGACTACTGTATCATCGTCATGAAAGAATGCTGGCCAAGGCGAGGACGCAGTCGGCGTCGACCTCGTGCATGGCAGCGGCTTCTTCATCAACACCTCCCTTTGTCGTGGGCTACTTTTCACGGGGACGTTGATACCCTTTGTTGTCCAGATCTGTTCTGAGCTTGGTGGCCGTAGCGAGAGGCAAGGGCATGGTGTGATAAGTAGTCTTCGGCCACGATCCCTTCAAACCTTGTTTCCGATCTGAAACACCCAAGCGCTGAGCCCCAGCTTTCGCCTTCTCGTTGAACCTTCAGCTTGCGTCGAAAGCAACCCTGGCTTCTACCACACCATTAGCAGCAGCAACCATGTCCACCTCTAGCAACGCTACAAACGCAACTGCTACCGTCAACGCTCCGAGTACGCCGAGCTTGAGCACCAACACCACGGCACAGCTCAACCAGACGTGGATCGGCCCCGCTGGCCTCGTCTCTGCAGGTTCTGTTTCAAGAAACGCCAGCGCAGAATCATTGACGACGCTGTTGACCTTCGGTCCGCTCTCATCCTGCATCTCGCTGCCAGATCTATCTGCTAGCCCTCTGCCGAGCAATGCTCGCCAATCCGGATCCGCACAGCAACAAGCACTTCAAGAATGGTTCGATGCGCTGCCGATGCAGCGATCGTGTACTCCCTTCTCGTGGAAGTTCGTACCGGACTACACGCATCATTTGGACGCAATGGTGACATTTCAAGGTCAGTTGGAGCAGATGTTCCCGCCACTGAATGGAACGATGGGAGGAGCAGGTGCGGGTCCGACCTTGACAAACCAAACGACGACACAATCAGATAGCAACGGCAGCTTCTTCTCCAGTGCTCCGACATCCGTTGCGTTCTCGTCAAATCCAACGACTGGTAGTACACTTCCTCAAGGACTTCCGCTCTGGATCGGTGTCACTTTAGGATGCGTCACTATCGTACACCTTCTCGCATTCGTTCTTCACGTCTGCTCCGATTTGGATGCGCTCTTCCCCACCTTGGCAGCTAAATTTCGGACATCTCCAACGCCGAACTCGGTTCTACCCAGTCATGCTCCAGCAACGAATCAAAGCTCAGCGACACTTGTCGATCAGCCGCAGGACGAACAAGCTTCGGAACCACCAAAGTACACCGAGCCCGCACCAGCATCGTCGACGCAAGGTGCGAGTGACTTGCAAGCGACTCCAGCCCTCATCCGCGTTTCTCGCAAGCTCAAGAGGGTGATTGTTCCGTTGCTTCTGCTGTCTGCGTTGGGTATGGTGGGAGTTGCTGTGGTGTTGAATGCGAAGTTTGCGGTGGGGCCGGTTGGGTCGTTCTCAGGTTCAGGAGATGGAAGGCAGGTGGATGGTTCCGGGTGGAGCGCTTCTTCGCTGGCTGGTGATGTGAGCAGCGCTGCTGTGCCGCTGTCCACGTCGAGCAGTGCTAGAAGCACATCTCGGACGCGTGAAGGATCTGCTGGGACGACTTCGAATGCAACCGTGTCGACTTCTAGCGACGATCAAGCGGAGAGCCGACCAGTGTCCCCTGCAGCGACTGCAACGCCGAGTATGACGACACTCGTTCGGAGACAGACGGACTTTTTTCCGGTCGCGTCGTCTTCCATCGCGACTTCGTCTGAAGTCGCACCCATAGCCCTTCCTACCACGCCTTCCACTTTTGCATCGCCGACTCCTACCTCCAGCAGCACGTCCTCATCTGCTCCCAACGCATCGCTCTTCCCACCCATCACTTCTTCCACCCCGTATCCCTCCTCTTCGTCCACTTCTGCAGCACAACCAACTCCCTCTTCCAGCACCGCTAGCGCCGCGGCTGCGAGTACATCTTCCACCGCACCCTCACCATTCGTACTCCATCGAGGAGACTCAACGCATCGTCTATGGTGGATCGTCATCCTAGACCTGCTGCTGTGGTTCATCCAACGCAGACGGATACGATCGCAGACCGGACTGGACAAAGCTAGGTCCATGGTGATCGATCAGCTCTCCGCGATCCACCGAGCTCGCCAGTTGGAGGGGAAGATGGATCTGGCAAAAGCGTAGTCGCGCAGCAACACATTTGTGTGATTCTGAAGCTTGTTCTAGCGTCGACATACACTTTGGTTTACAGAACAGCATTGCGTCTTCGTGTGTCAGGCTCAAAAGTCGAGATTGTGAGCAGAGACACATTCGCGTCATCAGCAGACAACTCTGTTGCCCTGCGGCGCAAGCTGTGACAACGACAATTAGCCGCTATGGTCCATTCGACAACGGCATCTTCCTCTGGCTGACCGTCACTTCCACCGTCTCTTCATAACAACGCTTCATAGTTCACATCCGACCACCACCCCAAAAAGACATGTCGGTTGCACCACATCCATTCTGGAGACCCACGCCGCTATGTGCTCACGGATCTCTCTCTTCTGCCACTGTTTCGTTTCCGATGTAGAGATGGTGAGATTTTCTTTTACTTTATCTCGTGTACGATACATCTACACATTGTCGCACGAGGGTTGTTGCGCGAAAACACCGCTTGCAGGGCCTTTCGGGGAACAATGCGACGACGTACGTGGACGCCAGCCCGTGCATCCTCTTTCTTCAGAGTGGATCGCCGAACGACATGCTGAGGCGTTTCTTCCAGAGAGTTCCAACGCATACAGACGGAATCCAAACCGAACACCTCGTCGCGAAGGGGTTGCTCTCGTCAACGTTGGCGTGCTTATGCGGGCAGCTCGAACTTTTCGCCCTTCATCACTTTTGTAAAGTACACTGTGACGCAAAACAAAGGCAAAAAGAAAGATGAGTTGTCAGTTTGGCTGGGTTCCTCTCGGTATACCGCGTGCTACGAGGTTGAAGCGAGTTCGAGCAACAGCGGTGGGGGTTTTGGGGTCGTCGTGATAATAACCGTAGAAGAAATCGAGGTACAAACCGGTCTGAACCAATCCAGAAAGGATCGAGATTGGATCGACTTGATTCTCCGATACATATCTGCACGTGTTTCGCGATTGATTGCGATATTGTCAGCATTTTCTATTCTCCTCCCTTCTCTCTTCGTCTCGTATACTTACCGATAGAGCCAGTTGGGAATGTACAGCGCCCTATACGCGCCCAACGCAAAGATGTAATGCGTCGTGATGGTCTCCGCCTCGCCCGTCCTCTGCAACATGAACAGCTGGGGCAATATCGCCACCGCCTCCAGATAAATACTGAACGTCCACAACACCTCCATCACATCAAAGTGATAGTTGAACACCAACGCCAACACCGCACATCCCCCCATCAACCACTCCAACTTGATCGTATCGATCGCCCCGCCATCGTGCGTCGGTCTGTATTTGACCTTCATCAGATACAACACGTACACCGAACTTCCGATGAAGAACGCCTTCATCAAAAACCGATACAGCGACGTCTCTGCAAAGATGTCCAGATAGCGCGTCACAAAGACGACCGTGTAGAGGAGTTGCGTTTTGAACGAGATGCCACGACATGATTTGGACAGCTGGATTTTGTGGAGGAGGATGAAGATGGATGCGAGGTGGGCAAAGTCCCCCGCCAAACGAAAGATGTTCAACGACATCGTGTGTGGATATTGTTGGTGGGTGAGAGAGGGAGGGAAGATGATGATGGTGTTTGATGTTTCAGGAATGTTTGGGTGTTGAGAAACGCGGGTTTGGACCACAAAAACGAGACGGGTGTGTGTGTGCTGGACTGTGCGGTGTGGTTTCCGCACGACAGCGGCGCGTGCGTGACTGACTGGCTCGTGGCTCGTGAGATGCATCAAAACCGCGCGGTTTCCACGTAGCAAAGCCGCAGAAAAAGCCACACATTCTGCAACAGATCGAGCGATCTCATCTCCCGATTGCCACGCGTTTTGGCCGCCGCGATCTCTCCCTCCTCATGCATTGTACACCCCCCCACTGCTCGACACACTCACACACTACGATTGAGAAGCACTGCTCATCGCGACGCAAAGCCTTGTGAGCTGCAGCGAACTTGGTATCATTGCGGTAGGAATGCCATGCTGTGTCTGTCGTCAACACCATACAAGCGGAGCAGCTAGGCCTCGTCTTATCCTCCCCTCCCCTTCCTGCTGCTGCTCCTGCTGACCGTCCACCCACCTCGACACCGTCGTCCTCCCGCTCTTTGAAATGAATCCATCCGTACACACCAGCTTCGCCTTTTCCCCTTCTTCCCCCTTCCCCTCTTCCGGTCTGAAAACATACCCCGAACAACGAAAGTACTCCACGACAGGCTCGTCCTCACCATAAACCATATCCACATGTCTACCACCGCTGTACATGCCCACTGTGATCTCTCCCAGCCTCCTCTCTGCGAACCTGATCGCTGCTTCGTCCTCCTTCAAGCTGTCGAGAGAGCGATCCCGCGCGGGACGGATGACGACGACATCCACCGCATCCAGTGGCAGTCCGTGCGTCTCAAATGCGCCCGACAGAGGTGCTGGTACGAAGCTCGACTCGAGCCGATCTGTGACCATCGCATTCAGATACAGAAACGGTCCTTCCAACTGCACCCTGTCCTTCCCCTGCTCGAACGGTTTGAAATTCTTCTCGGCGGGAGAGTATCTCTCCACCCCGTCCCCCGCACGACCGTTCAGAGTGAGACCCCCTCGCGTCCATCGGGTAGCATTCGCCTGAGCAGCAACCTTGAACCTCTCTATCCCTTGATACTTGTCCCTCATCTCCGGAGTATCCGCATCGTGCAGTATCGCAGCATGCAGCGCATGCGACGTCACCAGATGACTCACCAACAGGTTTTCCCCCTCCTCCTCTTCCAACCGGTTCAACATGAGCGGTAGACTCCACAGCTTCTCCCCATCTTCCGCAACCAGCGAAAAGACGCTTTTCAGCATCACATCGACCACATCCGCGTCGAGTTCTCGGATCGATTTTGCCGACGCTACGCGGGTTTGCAGTTCCTGCGTCCACAGCTTCGGATACATGGCCGAGTACAGCGCGTTCGCCGTTCCCGCTGGTACGATCGCCAGTCGAACCTTCACGTTCAAAGAGGAGGAAGAAGTGTTGGAAGAAGAGTGCAGGTACAGGCCGTTGAGAAGCTCGTGCGTGGTTCCATCGCCTCCAATCGAAATGACGTCTAGCGTTGACGCGGTCGGGTGGTCCTGCACGATCTCGGATCCTAGGCGGATAGCATCGCCAGCACTCTCGGTGGAACGAATTCGACAGCGAAAGGAGGATAGCAGTGGTAAGATGTGTTGTTCGAGAAGCGATTGTGCCAGACGCGAGCCCGAGGCGGGGTTGACGACGATCTCGATGTGTCGAGGCATGATGCTCGCGATACTGGTATGCACGGCGGGGTGGATCCGAGAGGCTGCGGTGGAGTGAGCAGGTGGTGTAGACACACTCTGAATGGCAATCGTCAAGCCAATCAAAGCTTGTGGGGTCGCAGAGGCATTAGGATGAGGGCTGGAAGCTAGCGTTGCAATTTGCGCAGCAAGATACCATGACCGGCTTGCAAAGGTGTCCGCGGAGAAACCATCCCATCAAGGGTCCAATGCCTCAGAACGTTGGCTGGCTCGTGCACCTCCATCCTCCCATATCACACCATGACACCCTACTTGCACACACTCCGCTCCATGATTCGCAGCAAACACCATTCATGACAATACAATGCATCATTACCAAAATCGATCCCGCATCTTCTCCTTTGGCTGCTCACCTCGCCGGCTCCGTGGTAGCTGCAGCCTCTACAAACTCGTGCGCCTCGTCCCTACTGATACTCCTGATACTGCTAACCTTGTTCGCATCGAACAGCACTCCGTAGTGCTTCCTCGCCACCGTCACCATCTCCGGCCTGAAGGTCGTCGTGATAAACTGCGCATTCTCCGCCAGCTCCCGGATCATGTTCGCCACGGCCGTCCTGTACAGCGCGTCCAGGTTGGCATCGATCTCGTCGAACAGGTAGAACGGCGCGGGATCGCACTTCTGGATCGCAAACACCGTCGCCAGCGCCACCAGCGATTTCTGTCCTCCCGAGAGCTGCTGAATCCTCAACCCTTCGTCGTGCTTCGAGTTGAAGCTCACCTTGATCGAGACGCCCGTGTAGTTTTCCACCTGCGTCGTCTCGTCGTCCGACTCTTCCTGCGCCGCTGCTCCTCCCGCGATATCCGCGCGTCTCTGCATGATCAGCCTGCCCCTCCCCGCAGGAACGAGCTTCTCAAACACCTCCTCAAAGTACTTGCTCACCTGCTTGAACGTCCTCTCGATCGCCTCGTCCTTCCTCTGATCCAGCACATCGATCAACTCCTGGATGCTCTCGGCACTCTGCTCCAGCTCCCCCCTCCTCTCCAACAGCTGATCCCTCTGCTTGGTGAACGAGTTGTACTGCTCCACCGCCTTCTTGTTGACGTGCGAGAACTTCTTGAGGCTCTCGTTCACCTTGTGCAGGTTCTTGAGCAGCTTATCCGCGTTGGTGTTGATGTACTTTTCGAACGCCTCTTCGGGTAGAACGCCGAGGTCGCGAATGTCCTGGTTGCATCGATCGCGCTGGTCCAGCAGACGCGAGCGCTTCGAGAGGTATCGTTCGACGTTCTTCTGCTGACGTGCGATGCTGCGTGCGTCCTCGGCTTGGTCGGCCTTTGTCTTGTCGTAGTTGGACTGCGTGTCTTGGATGGACTGGGTGAGCCGATCGACCTCCGTCTCGATCGCCTTGATGCGTTTCTCTCGGTCGGCGATGCGACGACGGAGAGCTTCGATCTCACGCTTGCGTGCCGAGACATCCTGAACGCCACTGGTCCCGGCCGCATCGTCGCCACCGAGCGACTCGCCGAGCGCCTCGAGCTGCGTGCCGATCTCTTCCTGGCGTCGACGCAGATTCTCGTACAGATCAATCTCGAGGATCGATCGACGGTTGTCGAGCTCCGACAGCGTGTTGGACTTGTCCGCCAGCTCGCGCTTCTGCTGGTCTTCGCGCGAGTGCAGCGTCTCCAACTGAGCCGCCTCCTGGGGCGTGAGACCCTGCGACATGGGCGTGCGCAGTTCCTCCTGCAGTTCAGCACGCTGCGTCTGGGCGGCTTTGAGCTCGAGACTCTGGTCGGCTTCGCGCCGTTCGATGCTCTGCAACCGTTGAGCCAGGTCGTCGGCTTCGGCGCGTGCTCGCTGGAGCTGGTCCATGAGCGGACCACGCGAGTTTCGCGCCTCGTCACGTCGATGCTGCAACGTGTACATCTCGCCCATCAAGCCCGTGATCTCCTGCTCGATCTCGGTGAGGCGGCGTTGCACTTCGGACTGCTTGGCCGTATCGGTCTCGCTCTGCGTCTTCCACTTGCGCACATCGATGACCGCGTCGAGCCGGCTGCGTCTCGGATCCTGGTAACCACCAGAGAGCGCACCCTTGCGCTCGACCTTGTCGCCGTCCAACGTGACCGCGTTGACGCCGTGGCTGCGCACGTAAGCAGAAGCGATTTCGAGGTTCTGGCAGACGATGCTGCGGCCAAAGATCTGCTGGAACGCGGGCGCGAGAGCCTTGTCGAAGCGAAGCTTCTTGACGAGCGGCACGGCATCCTGCGTGGTGGGAAAATCTGTCTCCTTGGGGTGCAGGCGGTTGAGGGGCATAAAGGTGACGCGGCCGCTCTTGTCGCGGTTCATGACCTCGAGCAGCTTGCTCGCCGTCTCGTCCGTGTCGACAACGACGTGGAAGAGCGAAGCACCGGCGACGACCTCGACGGCGGTCTTGTACGTGTCATCCACCGCAAAAAGCTGGTAGATGGGGCCTTTGACGTTGTCGTCCAACCCAAGGTGAGCCGCGATCTTTTCCACGGCGAGCAAACCCTGGACGGTGGCCTTGTCCATCATCCCTACGAGCTTGCGCTGTGCGTTGGAAAGCTCGGTGCCGGCGAAGGCGAGCGAAGATCGGAGCGACTCTTCCTCCTTCCACAGATCCTTTCGCACCTCCGAGAGCTCGTCGCGGTGATCTCGCTTGGCAGCGTATTCGGTGGCGAGCTGCTGCACCGCATCCTTTCGGCTCTCGATGCTCGCCTCGGTTTCATCGATCTTGCGAAGCGTGGCGACCCTCAGATCGGTGACGCTGGCACGTTCGCGGCCGGTCTCCTCGACGCGCGTCTGCTGCTGGCGCAGGTACTGGTCGAGACCGGTGATCTTGGTTCGTAGGTACTCGTCGCGATCGCGCTGATTCCGGAACTGAGCCGAACGACCTTGCTTGCTGTAAAGCGCAGCGACTCGTGCCTTCGTCTCTTCCAACGCCGAACGCAGCTGCTCGGCTTCGGCGTGGAGTGCGTCGACGGTGGGTCGAAGCTGTTCGAGCTGTGCTCGCTTTTGCTGGATCTCGACACGGATGCGAGCGAGCTCGGCTTCGAGAGCTCCACGTCGATCGGCACGCTTCTCGCCGACCTCCTCGAGCTCTTCCACGAGCGACTCGATCTGGGCGAGGTGCTTGGCAACATCGCGCCTCTCCTGCTCGAGCTGGTTCTTTTCGAGGTTGCGCTGCTCGATGGTCTGGCCCGTCTCGGCGAGCTCTGCCTCGAGGCGGGCGAGCAGCTTTTCGCGGTCGTTGAACTCGCTCCTGCGCACGTTGGAGGCGTCGACTTCGCGTCTGCGCTCGTCCTCGAGCTTTTCGAGGAGCTCGGCGCACTCTGTGAGCTCGCGCTGGTGCAAGGTGTACTCGATGCATCTGCGCTCGCGGTCCTTCTCGTAGTATTCGCGGAGCTCCTCCTTCTCGTCGTCGAGCTCGCGCAGACGGCTCTCGATGTATTCGAGGAGGTCGTCGATCTTGGATCGCTTCGCGCTGGTGTCTTCCATGATCTTTATGGACTCGGCCCTGCGCTGTTCGTAGACGCGCGTACCGGCGACCTCCTTGAGCAGGCCGAGACGTTCGTGATCCTTTGCATTCGTAAGGTGGGTGATTCTGCCCTGAGGGACGATGTAGTATGGATTGCTGCGGGAGAAGCCGGCGGACTCGAGGAGGTTGGCGACATCGGCTTTGGAGGCCGACTTGCGGTCGATGCTGTACTCGTCCTTCTTGAGACCGATGGTTCTTCGGAGGATGACTTCGGTGCCGTTGGTGGGGAAGCGGTTGTCGCTGTTGTCAAAGACGATCTCTACGAACGCCGAAAGGGTGGCCGAGGTGGAGCTGGAGCTGTCGTGGAGGAGCGACTGCCTCTCTTCGCGGGACATGGAGGTGTAGGCGTCGGAAAGGACGAAGCGAATGGCAGAGAAGAAGTTGGACTTGCCCGAGCCGTTTCGACCGACGACGACATTGTGATGCGGAGAGAAGGGCTCGACGGCTGTCTGGTCTCGGTAGGACTTGAAGCCCTGGATGGTGAGCGTCTTGATGTGCATGGTGGGTGGTGAGCAGCGGCGAGCTGGCGAGGGAAGAGACGGTGGGTATAGGCGAGCAGAGCTGTTCTGCGATGGAGAACGTTGGCCCTCGAAGCGTCGTTCAGTAGATTGGGAAGGATCTATGACCAAGGGGTGGCCATGACCGCGTCTGCTTGTAGGCGGGGATGGTGTTGCTATGCGCGGCTTTCAAGCTTTCGTAAAGGTGGATACTTGTAAGGAAGCGAGGCGAAACGGGGGAGACGAGATGATGGAGCAGGTCGCAGACAGCGCAGTCGAGCTTCAGCTGAGCCAGAATAACGAAGAGCAACACGAGCCGAGCGCCATGCATCTTTAGCACCGCAGGAGCGCGGTCGGCAGCAGGCGGGCACTCTATCAGCCATTTATTCCAGATGGGCGCAATGCAGTTAAAGTGCAAACGCGACGCGTGTGTGTGTCAATTTCCTCATCAACGCTTTTGCGCTGCTGCCATTTGGCGAGGAGACCTGTCAATCTCACAGTCTTGTTGGACGAAAATCAATCACATACGGCGGCCAACACCTTGAACGCCTTTTGCACGCCGAACCGAAGGAGCAAGCATACTGGTCCCCTTTTGCAAGCTGTTCAATCACCGATGAAGCCGGTCTTGTGCACATGCTTGATCGCTTGCGACGCAGGAAAGATTTCTGATTGGGGGGAGAATGATGGCTGAGATGCAGATCTCGATGATATGGCGAAACGTCGATCATCCGTCGAGATCCATTCCGCTGCCAGCCGCACCTGTCTTCTTGGTCTTTTTCGCCTTGGCCGCGTCCCTCTTGCGCTTCTTCTTCTCTGCAGCAGCTCGGATGGCGCTCTGGTCCGACTTGGGTGTGCCTGCCGACTGCACCAACCGCTGCGCCAGTGGCAGACCACCGAGACGCTTGCCCAGCACGGTATGCTTGCCCGTGGCTGCGATCGCCTTGGCGCGTGCCTCGTCCCTGGCCTTCTTCTTCGCCTCCTCGGCGCGCAGCTTTTGCGCCTGTTCCTGCGTCAACAGACGGTTCGCCAGTGGTTCGGGGATCCGCTGGGCAAGCGATTGCGGTTTGAGCGCCGCTGCTGCGCCGGTGGCCTTCTTGAGACCTGTGGGGGCGGCGGCAGCATTGGCAGCCTTGCTCTTGTTCTTACCAGTGCCGTTGTTGGCAGCAGACGCTTTGCCAGCCGCGGGTGCATTCTTCTGAGCGCCCGGTGCGACGTTGGACTGCTTGGCACGAGGCTCGACAAGTCGTGCGGTGTGTGCACGAGAGCGCATGCTGGCAGGACCCGTGGGGATGGCAGCGGTCACGGCGGCTGCCGGTGTAGGCGTGTACGGCAGCGCAGCGGGGGCAGGGATCAAGTTGGCGGCCTTTTCGCGAGGTCGTTGCGCAACCGCTTGTGCCGTAGCCCTGTTAAACTGGCTGTAGGCGTCGCGCGGCGTTTCGGGCTTCTTGATCGACACTTGCAGGATCCTGCCGTCTGCGAGTGCTCCGTTGAACTTTTCCGCCGCAGATTCGGCGTTCTCTCGCTTGTCAAACGCGACCTCGAACGAGACGGTCGGGTGGTTGGCCGAGGGCGGAGGTCGCTGCTTGACCTCTTCGACACGACCGAACATGCCGAAGGTGAGACGCACGTCTTCCAGCGATGTACCAGCGACGAGGTTGGACACGACGATCCAGGTAGGACCGCTCGACCCACGAATGCTGAGCTCGGGAGGCGCATACGACGTGCCGGCTTGCGATTGAGCAGATGGTGCACTGTTCTGGTCGCGAGGAGCAGCAACAGCAGCAGCGTTGGGCCGTGCTCTCGAGTCGCGAGCGTACGGGTCGCTGCGACGCGCAGCACGAGCATTGGCGGGCCCGTTCCGTCGTCCTCCTCCGCCTCGTCGGTTGGCGTCTTGCATGGGTACGTCCATGGTCGATATAAAATGCTACGTGCGCGTTGAGCTCGAGGTTCGGATCTATGGTGCCAAGCGCGATCGAGTCCAAAGATGAGGTGCTCAGCAAGATCCAGTGCAGGAAGTGGTGGACGCTTTGCTGTGTAGACGATGGATGAGATGGACAATGCGATGAGAAGATCAATCGATTCATCAACGGGAATCATCCAAAAGCCCAGATTCCTGCACGGTCTCTGCTTTTGCCATCTCATTTTCCGATTCGGAAGACTGTCATGCCGGGCACCACAGCGTGTCGAGATGGGCCGCGCGCCGCTCAGACCAACAGCGTGTCTGATCTAACAGAGGTGAAAAATCGTTAGGCTGCTCTCAGCCCTTGCCCAAGCACGGACCTGGATTGGAGCCGGATCTGCTTCACCAGGAGTGCTCAATTTGGCATCGTCCAGCAGATCACATTCAATGCCTCACAGGAGGAGAGTGACGTAGCACGGCATCGCGTCTACGTAGACATATGATCGTGATTGGTATCGACGTGATGGGGGCATAAACAAGACAAATTGTTGCTACAAGACAAGAGACAAGGACGTCGACAACGATGGCCACAGGAATCGTTACGCGCGTAGGCGCCAGCGAGAAAAGAAGATGCAAAAGGACAGATGGTGAAGACTAGCATGCTGACACTTCACGGCTTACCCGCCAATGCCATGTTCAAGCGAGCCAGATCTTTGCCCGCCAAGACCCAGGCTGTGAGGCCAAACACTACGACGCCGGCAGCGGCGAGCGTCTGCGGACCCAGCGCCCGCTCCTGCGTGTGGTGGCTGTCTGCGCCGCGCTCTCGACCTGTGCGTGAACGCGAATCGTGCTGATCGTGCTTGGCATGCTGGGCGTCCAAGGCGGCGGCATCGCCCGTCGTTGCGTCCGGCGCTAGATCTGGCGTGGTCATCTCGGTGGATTCGGAAGGTCGCGTCGAGGTCGAGTCTGCGATGCTTCGCACCGACTGACTTGTCGACAAGGCGTCGTCGTCAGCACTTCTGTGCGATAGACCCGAACGCGAGGTACCGTTCCATCTCTCGTCATCTTCCGAGTCTCTACCAGCGGATTCGGGCATCAAGCCGGCTGTGGCGCTCCCGTAGAGCAGAGTGCGGAGGGCGCTGTTGACGTGCCGTTTGCCGCGTCGGCCGTGTCCGCGTCTGGCACGGCCAGTGCTTGACGCACTCGATGCAAGCGACGACGACGAGGCTCCCGCAACGCCGTCTGTGGTCGTAATCTGGCCGTGCGGCGATGACGCGAGGTCCTCCGACGCTGCGGCGTCTCTGCTGCCGCCAGTGCTGCTTTCTGGAAGGGCGTCCGAGTCACCGACCTCGTCGCCGTTCAGCTCATCTTCCATGCGACGATTGGCCTCGTCCCACGCTTGCACCACTTGTCGCAGCTCGTCGCGCTCCGTCTGCATACCTTGGCGTTCCTTGCGCCAGCTCTCTTCAAAGTCGCTGCGGAACTCTGTCCAGCGTCCCTCGATGCCTTTGATCATCGCTGCCGTAGACTCGTGCGACGCTTGTGTGGATGGAGCTGCTGCGGCGTTCTGCTCGACCTCTTTTTCAAGCGTTTGGACGCGCTGCTCGAGCGTCTTGACGGTATCGGTGACCAGCACGTGCTGATCCTGCAGACCTCGGCTGAGCGCCAACGCCTGTTCGAGCTGTGCAGCCAGCTCCTCGAGGCGTGCTGAAAGAGCCTCGTTCTGCGCACGGAGCTCGGCATCACGCTCGTCAGCCTGTTTAGAAAAAGTCAAGGCGGAAGGAGATGCATCGACGGCGCCGGGAGCAGACTTGTCGGCCTGTTCGAGACCCGAGTCGGAAGCAGGGTCCGCGTCGTCGGATGCAAGGTGAAGTGGCATGTCGGGCGGCGCGCGCGGGCCGACGTGGTCATTGTCGTCGTCGCTATTCTGGGTGACGGTCTCGACGCTGGCGATGCTGGCGCCGTCGTCAAATTCGTCGTGCTCGAGCGAGCGCAAGAGATCGGAACCGCCGCGGATGGTGCCAAAGCCGTTGACGGTATGCCTGGGAGGGAAGGAGGAGCTGGAGGAAGAGGCGACGGCCTCCATCTCGCGTTTAGCCTGTTCCATCTGCATCTTGATGGTGCTGACTTCGCGTTTGATGGAATCGTGGTCGGACAGTACGGACTCGAGGCTTCGGATCTTTTCGACGTGGACAGCGAGGTTGGACTGTGTCTCTGAGAGCTGCGACTGGAGGGCCGAGATGGTGGCGGAATGAGCGTCGGTGGTGGCTTGGGATTCGGCGTCCTTTGCGCGCTGCTGCTCTTGATGCTGCTGCTGTTGTTGTTGTTGTTGTGCTTGGGCGTTGACGGATCCGGGAGGAAGGGGAACGAGGTGCGGGTAAGGTGCCGACGAGACGGGAGGTGCGCTGCCGCCGAGTGTTTCGTGAATGTCGTGCATGGTGGTGGTGAGGCTGCCGAGGTCGTTCCAGGTGTCTTTGCTCCTCTGCAATTCGCTCTGGAGCTTGCTGAGGACGTGGTCGAAGCTGAAACCGGCCTTAGACCTGCGAAGACCGCCTTCTGCGCCTGGGCCGACGCCGTTGCTTCCGAGCGGCCCACCGTGCATGCCGCCTCGATACAAGCTGGCAAAGTCGTGTCGAAGGCTGAGCGCGTCTTCTGCGGTCAAGACGAGGTATACGCGACAGGCGACTTTGTGATGGATGATGGTCTTGTTGTCGTCGCCGACAATGTCGATACCGAACTCGACCATGTCCTCGTTGTGAAGCTCAAAGACATCCGACTCCTGCGCTTCGGGAGAGAGACGCTCACCATTGATAAAGGTACCGTTGGAGGACTTGACGTCCTTGATGTAGACTTTGCCATTCTGACTCCATACTTCTGCATGCATGCGCGAGAGGACCTTGCTGTCAAAGTAGCCATTGGTGGGGTTGGGGACGGTCTTTGCGTTGGTCTGACGACCGATCTTGATGCGATTGGTGGGACCGGGCGGTGCAAGGCTAATCTGCTTGGGAGCGAAGGTGTCGTTGAGTGGATGGAGGTGGAGCGAGGGATAGACGAGCCCCTGTGCGTTGGCGGCAGCTTCTGCGCTCGAGTAGACGGGCGGATTTGGTTGTTTGAGACCAGCGCCATTTGCGAGCGCATTGGCGGAAGGTGCAGAAGGACCGGCAGAGACGCCGAGGTTGGATGGAGCGTTGGCCATGGGCGTTCCACCCATGAGGGACTGCATGGTGAGCGATGGATGTGTACAAGTTTGCTAGGCAGCGAGGAAGTGGTGCGAGACAATGACGCCAAGATGGGAGGGGACACTGCCGCAGTCGGAAGCGTTGAATGCAATGTGCGAGCGAATGTTGCAAGGACGGACGAAGGCAGCGAACGAAACAATGCACGGGGTTCTGAGAAAGATCAAGACGTGTCGATGGGATGGAAACAAAGACCGGGCCGGCTGTCGATCGAGGGGTGGAGCCGAGAAGCGAGAGACAGGCGAGTGGGTGGATCGACGAGGAGATGGACGAGATGACGATGAGAAGAAGAAGAAGAAGAAGGCGATCGAAATCGAGATGGAGATGGAGATGGCGACGAGTGGATAAATGTGAGATCTGAAAATGGGAGACGAGCAAGCGCCTTTGCGTTGGCGTTGGTCGAAGCTGTCGTCCGTGCTTCACCGCTTGTGTCAGGCACTCTTTCCAAGCTGAATCAGTAAGAGATGCGGCTTGAGGCTGCGATGTGCTGTGCAGTGCAAAGGTTGTTTCGACATTTCTTTGCTTTTTCTGTGCGCTTCCGATCCACACGCTGTCAGGTCTGCATGTGTGTGTGTGTGCGCGTGTGTGGTGTATTTTGTCGCCAACCAAGACGCGAGGCTGACTGAAATTGACCGACTCGAAATTTAATCCAGCGCAGGCCAAGGTCAGACGAGAAAACGCTTTGAGCCCCTTTTTGGAGAGGAATTCTCAGGATCGGGATCGGACACTTGGAAAGCAGCGATCGGATTGCGATCTGTTTTGAGTCAAGACCGACCTGCCGGCACTCGTCCGACGTCGCAGCCCATCAAGTTCTGGAACCAGCACAGGATGACACTAATGCCGACCCAGGAGACCGTGACAGCTGCAGAGCTCGACTTGACTGCACAGTAGGCTGAAGCATCCGTTCCATGATCTCTTGATGTTCTCTCGGATGTCAGCGACCGCGTTGGCGCCCCGACCGCGCCTATCTTGGAAATAGCGAGCCGCTGCATATGCCGAGGCGATTGGTTGACTGCGAGATGTGCGATTTCGTCGTCGCTTGCTTTCAGGGTCAAGCTCACGGAGACGGTTGCAATGGTCCATCGCTGCCCATAACATCGACCTGCCATCGTCTTGTCCTGCCAGAGTGCAAGCTGTGTGCAACCAGCGTATTCGGTCAACTCCACAGCCTAGTTGTTCGACGTCGGTCGGCGTGGAAGAAGCGCAAAGGAAATACTGTACGACGCCCGCAGTTTGGACCCCGACTGTGTGCTTCTGCAGCTGGTGCATATTGATGCTGCACGCGTTGCTTTGCTGCACAAATTCGGTCAAACTGTATGTGACAAGCCAAGCCGCATCCCGCCAAATTGCGCCCACCACAACCAAAAGATGCACGCGCCGCCTCGGCTGTCACTTTGTCCTTGGAGCGAGTGTGGCCAACTTTGGCTGTTGCTCCCCTTTGTGCAATGCTGGACAGCGACACAGCATCATCTTCGCTTCTTTCTGTCTCGACACGACCATCGCCTTTTCGACGGGACACCATTGCCGCTCGTCGGACGGAACCTGGTTCCGTTTCGCTTTGTTGCTTCCCCACCTCTTCTCTGGTTCGTTCCAGCCTTCCACCATCTCGACCGTCTCGATCGTCTCTGCATCTCGACCGGACACGGCTTCATCTTGCTCGTTACCCACTTGCTCACTCATTTGAAACCAGCTGTTCCAATTCTATCCGTTGGCATCTCTCACGCTCTTTGGTTTCGATCCACATCACCCCACGCTACTTGCGACTCGTTGCTTCTGCAATGTTGGCAACGCCTTCATCATCTCCTCCAACCACCTTCTTCGTCGCTTGCCTCTGACGCACCGAACAGCTGCACGCGTCCGCAGATGCACAATACTGCTCCAAATCTTGCAAAAGCTGGTCCCACAGCAGCTGCTTGGGTCGTCCATGCATGATCCGGTGGAATCGACGAAATCGTACATTCCTCCTGACCCGCCACTCGCGGTTCTGCTGCCATCATGCCCTCGACCACTCCCGCATCCACGTCAAATGCTGGCTCGGCCCGGCCTAACAACATCCCGCAGCATGCTTCATCCTCGAACCTCGACAACTCTCATCCCGAGCACGGTTTGCGCTTCGTCGCCAATCATCATCGCCAGCACAACCCACACGACCCCAAACTCAGAGCGACTCCCGTCTTCAAGTCCCGTCGCTCCTCGCTCCTAGGTTCTGTGCTCAAGTCCAAACCCAGATCCTCGGCTCGCGTCTCTGCAGCTGCCTCGCCGCATCTGCGCAGCTTGAGCGCCCAGTCCCACCACCATCACCAACACTCTCAGTCCTTACCCACATCCATCCGTCCAACCCGCCTCGACTCCGACGGGCGCCGTCACACATCCTTGCTCACATCATCCTCGCAAGTCCAGCATCCTCTCGTAGCCCACTCGTCGCCTGACGCCGCCGGTCCCAGCCAAACCAGGCCGCCAGACTTGCATCTCGCCGATTCGCCTCCCGTGGCTTCGCTACCTTCCCCCGTAGACCAGCCCGACGGTTCCGCATCCACCTGCTCATCCACGAATGCCAAGGACCTCGATCTGGCTACGCATGCTTGTTCGCAAGGCTCCCCGCCTCTCGTCGACGTAGTGGACGCCTCATCCATGTCCGTGCCCGCCGCCCGGCCCTCTTCCACCAATCTTGACCGCGAGTCTCAGGCCGGTGCCTCACTCTCCCATCTATCTACACCCTTTGCTGCCACACCGTCCCCGATTCGTCCTTGCTCATCATCGCGAGAGCACGGGCTTACCCCTTCGTCGAGCTCCAACGTCGCTGCCCCTTCTGCTTCGGCGGCATTAGCGACACATCCTAGCCCTCTGCCTGTCATCACGCACACCGACTTCGCCGCCGCCGATGACGCACTACGCGGTGCTTCGCCTGTCGCTCAAACCACTGCCCAAGACAAAGCGCGCATGTTGTTGTCCAGCTGTTCGCCGTCTGGTTCGGACCCTTCGGCGCCAGCAAATGACATCAGTGTTCTTGCAGAAAGCTCCAGACCATCCGTGCAGACGATATACGATTCGACATCTCTCGCCGTCACCTCTCCGCAACGCTTTTCGAGTCTTGGGCGCGGTCACACTTCCAATACGTCCAAGCCTTCTCTCGCGCCCATTTCCACTACGGTACCTCGTGCCCGTGCACGTGCTCGCGACATCAATGACGAGCTCGAATCGCCGACCTCGCGCGAAACAGTCGGTGCGCGCGCAGAGCGTCGCATGAGCATGCTCGACTTCCTCGCCGCTCCCTCAGAATCCGACGCTTCGCCTCGACTGCCTCAAGCTAGTGTTTCGGCTGAGGACCTTCCGCGCTCTGCGCAGCTGGAGAAGCCAGCCTCTGCCGTGGCGCGTCCATCGATGCCTCTGATGCAAGCCAGTCGCCAGCTCAGACTTGAGGCGGCGGCGGCCCGGTCCAGGATGCTTCAACCCAAGAGGATAGATCTCTGCAGCAACATCCGCCTCGCAGTGGAACCGCTTGTCGACAGGCTCACCATGTTTGGCTCCATGCAATCGGGCTCCAACTATTCGCTCGCAGGCACCGTCGTCGTCGAGGTGCCCAAACTCATCGTGCCGCGCCTCTCGTCCGCTGCCGCTGTTGCGCGTGACGGCGACACCACGGATCAACCCTCTGTGCATGTCGAAGAGCTCACCGTGCGCTTCACTGGATATTCCGTCTACGTCGATGCCACGGGCAGATTCAACGCCATCAAAGTCACCGAGTCGTCGCAGCAGCTCCTCCAGCCTCAAGGCTTCTCGTGCCCGGTGCAGATCGTCGAGACTGGCGACCGAACCGCATCTCTTGGGGCGACGGCCAGCTGCGCAGAGCAAGAGGCCCTCAAATACGAGACCGAATTCGATCTCTCCATTCCCGGCTGGCTGCCGGCATCGCAGCGCTCGCGGTTTGGCGCCACTTTCTACTGCGTACAGGCGATCGCCATCGTCCAAGGCCAGGCCGTGCTTTCGGCTGTCTCCGGCTTCGACGATGACGCAGGCGACGATCCGTTTGGTCAGTACTCCTTGGTCCATATGGCTCGATCTCTCGAGTCGGAAGTGGCAGACACCGGCCATTCTGCTACAAACGATGGCGCTCCTTCGCCGACGACCACTCTTGGACGCACCAAGACCAAAAAGACGTGGCTCAACAAGACCGCCAAACAGTTGCAGCTCAGGACAGCCAGAAAGTCGACTGGACCCGAGGCGGAGAGCGGCTCCCACTCCAACAGCCGTCGCGGATCTGGAACCAAGGATGTGCTCCCGATCCTGGATGCAGAGGACCCGCTCTTCAGCAAAACCACGGAAGCTGGCAACCAGTGCTTGCCCGACGGACGCCATTCGATCAAAAGCGAGTGCCTTAGCATCTTGGTCAGACGGTGCAGGGATGTCGTCCCTGTGCCCGTCGCTCGACTTGTCAGGCTGGCGACAGCGAGTCAAGTTCTGCGCGACACGGTCGAACAACCTTCACTCTCACAAAGCATGGCCGCACTTGCCAGACTGCAGGACAGCCTCGATCTCGCTTCGGAAAGCACGCCGCCACAGCTCCGTAGCGATGCGGGACGGCCCCACATGACACCGTCAGCATCGGCGCCCGCCTTGTCGCAAACGACCTCGCCCTCATCGGATCCCGCTTCTGGTCCACCCGCCGGCGCTACCGCTCCGGCAGCGCTGGCTCCGTCACCGCGGATCGACACGCATCCGAATACCCTGGCGTCGGACCCACTCAGAGCGGACGATGCGCAAAGCGAGCCGGGCATGATCATGCCGCGCGCTCCGAGTGCGTTTGATTCGCCTCGGGATCCCGCCAAATTGGCCGCGGTCGCGTCGGCGTTGACTGCGTCGGCCACGCTGCCCACTCTGCCAAGCTCGATGAGCCGCGCTTCGTCGTTGTTGGACTCTCGATTCGGAAACGCCAACTCGCCTCCGCGCACCTCGTCGCGCGCAGTGCCCACCAGTCGATCCTCGGCGCCGCTGCGACACTTTGTCCATCGCCCGACCCTGCACTTGCCGCCGCAGCTTGGCATCGCGCCGGACTCGAGCAGCGGCCTGACCTTTTCCTTGACGCTCTCTCTCCCTTCGCACGTCCACGTCTCGGGACCCAAGAGCGACGTGCTCAGCTTTGGCGTCCAGATCGAAGTGGGTCGCACCGAGGGGTGGGATGCGTTGAGAAAGTGGGGCGGCCTGCGCCTCAAGGACATGGAGCTCGTCTGTCTGCAGACGGAGCGGCACAGCTCGATGCCCTCTCGCTCCTTCTGCGCCACCTTTCCCGTACCTCCGCAGCCGAACAACGTCGACGCGGCTGATCTGCCGGTCGTCACCGGTGCCAAAAAGAGGCGGTCCGACCCAGCGGGCACGACGGATGCGCAGGTGGCAGCGGAACGACGGTTGCGACAGAGCTACGACCGATCGCTGCTTCTCGGCCACATCGCGCTCGCCAACCAAGGCAAAGCTCCTCATCCCATCGAGAACAACGTCGAACGCATCCGTACCACGATTGTCGGCCCGCCTCCTTTTACTCCGAAACGTCGGGGACACGAGGGCTCGGAGGCAGCGGACGCCTCGCGGAAGGGAAAGTACAGGGCGGGCAGCAATTTCGTAGAGTCTGCCCGGAGTGCGTCGCGTCCCAGCCCAGCAGGATCAGGTGCCAACACGCCCGATGGCACTTCGCAGAGCGCGGGGATCAGCAGCCTGAGGGCCGCTTTCGCACCCGCTGCTCAGGTGACCGCAGGGTCACGTTCGAGCGTGATGCAGCCTTTGCCGCGTGCACTGACTCGATCCACCAGCTCGAGCAGCTCATCGTTGCGGCAGGCATTCAATGGCAGCCACGGCTCTGCCACCCGTCAGAGCAGCTCGCCCCCGGCAGGGCCAGCGGATGGCTCCTCGCCTACGGCGCCTGCTGGACGGAGCAGACGACCGATCCCGTTCGACATCGGCGCGGCCGCTGCAGAGGAAGCGAGCCGCCATGGACTGTCGCAAGAGCTGTCGTCAGGCACGGCGTCTTCTGCAGAAGCAGCGGCCTCGCAAACGGGTGCTCCGGCGCTTCGAGACACGGTGCACCGTGCGGACTCGGACGCGCAGATGCCAGACTCTCAACGTGGTGATGTCCTTGTCGGCGTGAGCTCGAGCGTATCCACCGGAGGAGGCGCTCGAACAGCGCGAGGACCGCGAAGGAGCCGCTTCGAGACGGCCATGAGCCGCCTTTCGACATTTGCAAGTTCCATGCTGGAGCAGCCGAGCGAGACGTCGGCCGCCGGGTCGAACGCCGAGGTTCGAGGCAGTACAAGCGCGAACGCGACGACGAGCGGTACAGGAACGGCCGCAGCCGCCAGCCTTCGCGCTACGTATGCATTTTCTGGTGACGACGCCGAAGGGGTGGATCTGACGAAAGGTCGCGTTCGAATGACGATCAACTTGCCATTGGTAGCGAGCGACGTGGAAGCAGCGCGCAAGGCCGGCAGCGCTCAACTGATCCCGGATTTTGAGAGTCCGTACGTCCGCGTTCGTCACAAGCTCAAGGTGAAGCTCGGATTCGGACTCAAATCGAACGTCGCGACGGGACAGGATGGCGAGGAGTGGGGTCAGGTGCTGGTCATGTGCGTGCCGGTGCGTTTCACCGAGGCGCCGCCGAAGGAGGTGCAGGATCAGTTTGGCCCGGTCACGATCGGGTCTGCGACGCCGTCTCCCACGAACAACAGCAGAGCGACACGGGCGGACGGGACAGAGTCAGAGGCAGCTGCCGCGGCGGGGGCTCCGCAAAACGGCGGTGCACTGCCTGTGCCTTTCGCCGAACCGCTGCTGCCTGCGTATGCCCAGCTGTTCCGCGAAGACGGCTCGCGGCTCGCCGACGAAGGGGAGGATCTTCCACGATATCCGGGCAGAATGTCGGTGATCGGCGAGATCGACGAAGAGTCGGTTCCTGCTACAAATGCGCAGGACAGCCAGGAAGGTGGTCCGGAGACGAGCGCAGGTGCGCTGCTGGACGACGAGGGAGTGGAAGGCGAGGCAGCCGACGTGAGCGGTGACAAAGTCTCGATGGCGAAAACGGGCGGCGCGGGCCTGCCTCGATCTGGAACGATGACGCTGCCGAGGACCTCGAGTCTAGGTTGCATGGCTGCGTCGATGGACCGAGCCACGAGTCTGCCAGGTCGGCAGGTGCTGACGCGAGCCTCGTCGTCCAGCCTGTTTGGACTGCGATCGGCACCGTTGCAGCCATCCGCGTCCGGCGCAAGTCAGATCGTCACCTTGTCGCCCTTCTCGGAGCGGAGCAGCAGCATCGCCGGAAGCAGGGCGCGTGTGGGATCGTCTGCATTCGATCCGCTGCCTGCTCGGCCTGGCATGCGACGACGTTCTGCAACGACGACGTCTCTGATCACATCGAGTCGCATCATGCCTGCCGAAGTGCTGGACGAAGCGCTTGTCACGAGCGCGCTGGACGACGAGGAGGATCGCATGGATGAGCTGCACCCGTCGCGCACGCTGGAGAGTCTGCGTGGACGTGATGGCTCAGGCATGGACGGTTTGGCGGGGGACGAAGACGGGGAGGAGGACGAGGATCAGGTGGATGTGGAAGAGGTGGAGGTGGTGGGAGCGGATCTGCATGATGAAGATGGCGATGACGAGTTCTTGGATGGGGTCGACAGCAACGGAGGGGATAGTGAAGCTGGACATACGGCGATGAACATGCATCACGGGCAGTTCAGCGGAAGTGACGATGCCGAGGGAGATGCGGTGGACGCCGAGGTCGGTATGGCATTTTGAAAGGGACCAGTCTGAAATCAATTGCATTGCAAGCAGTCATTAGACGAGTGGGGTGAAGGTATGTGCAAGATGAGAGGACCAGATCAAAATTGAAGCTTGAGGATCTGATCGAGCCGCATAGACATGCTAGAAGCTGGTGTTGTCGATGCTGTTGCGCTGTGCGACATGGTCCAAGCCACCGTTGCTTTCGGAAATCGAACGACGACAGAGAAGCGAAACGCTTCTTTCGGCTGGGAAAATGTGGGGAAGTGTGACGTTTGTCGGGAATCCAGAGTTCTTGGCACTTTGCCATTCGCTTCTTTCTCACTCACCACCATCTTGACTTCCGCTGTCTTCACGGCCGGACTTGCATCATGTACATCTACGACCTGCCTACGACAGGCACCATCTCATTCAGCGACTTTCTCGTCACCACCGACCTCGTTTCGCAGGTATCGCAGACCACGCAGTTGCGCGCACGGTTGCGCGCCGTGCTCAAGGAGAATCGCGCCGGTACGTCGTCCACCGCTGTCAAGGATGGCTCTTCCAGCAGCGATATTCGGAGCACCTCGAGCGGCGGTGGAAGCAAGAAAGGGGATGATGCGTTCAGCAGCGTGGGTGGTGCATCGGCGGCAGCGGCGGCGGGGGGGAATACTAGCGACTGGTTGACGATCGTCAAGACGATCGAAGAGTATCTGCCGCACATGCTCGCCGTGTTCAACTGCGTTCAGACCGACGATCTCATCCTCCGCTACGAACCGGTCTTCTCGTGGCGCACTTCGATTTCAGGAACACGTTTCCGCGGTCCCCAACGAGTCGATCTATCGGGATTGTACTACGAACTCGCCTCTGTGCTTCTCACGTACGCCCTGACTCTGTCGAACTTTGCCGCTGCCACCGTCGCCTCGCTCGGATCGTTCGAACGCGACCGTTCCCTCTCCTCCGACGCCCGCAAGCTCAAGGACGACCGTCTCCGCTGGGCGGCAGACACCCTCTGTCGATCCGCCGGAATCCTTCTGTATCTCTCCACCGACCTGCTACCCAAATGGAGCGATCAAGTCGGCAGAGTCGAGGGCTTGCCACCGGACCTCACGACAGAAGCGACGCTGGCGTTGAGCAAAGTGTGTTTGGCCGAGGCGCAGGCACTGGCGATACGCAAGCTGGTGAGCCCGAGTGTGGGCAGGGCGGTGGATACGGTGACGCCGGGACCTCCTTTAGCTAAAGACCATCCGAGTGCGAGTCTGTTGGCCAAGCTGCATCTGAGTGTGGTGGAGGAGATGGAGAGTGCGGTGGGGTTGCTGCGGACGGTAGGCGAGAAGGGGAAGGTCAAGAGAGGTGGGGGTGGGAGGGAGATGGGGTTGAGTGCCAACCACGAGCATGATTTGGCGAGGCGTGTGAGTGCCAGCCGAGATCGAAGGGACGACGACAACGAGGATGCGGCGGTGGACGGTAAGGGGGAGGGTAAGAAGAAGTTCTTCAGCAAGTTCAAGATCGGCAAGGAAACGCAGCCGAAACACAGCGGTCCCCACGACATCCACCCTTCCAACCTGAACTCTTCCACGAACCACCTCGATCCCGACCTCGATATTTCGTCCAACCTGCTCCGCTACCTCTCCTTCTCCACCACGTTGCACCGGAGCATGGCGTACAAATGGCTCGCCATCGATCACGGCGAGTCCTCGTCTCACTTCGGAACTGCGATCGCGTATCTCTCCCTCTCCTCCTCCCTCCTCTCCTCCGCCCCGCTCAAGGACGCGTCCCTGGCGAACATCGTCTCCTCCTCCTCTTCATCCCTCTTAAAGTCGAAAAAGACGTTTGTGGAGCAAGAGCTGGCGACGGTCGATCACTGGCTGGGGTCGTACCGAAAGCTGAACGATACAGTGGCGTTCCAACCGGTAGCAGGGGTGGAGGAGGTGTTGGCCAAGGTTCCAATGGGGAGGGCGGCGTTGGGGGTCAAGCGGTATGTGCTGCCGAGCCCGGGGTGGGGGCCGGGCAGCGATGGGTATGTGGGTAGGGGTGGGGGAGGCGGGGTGGAGTTGGCGGCGGAGAGGTTGCATCTGTTGGAGCTGGATCATCCGGCGAGAGTCGGGTTGGTGGGGATCCAGGGGGATGAGGAGGGAGGGGAGAGGGGTGCAGAGGGAGGCAAGGGGATGGGCGCCTTGGCGGGGAGCTATGCTGGTCAGGGAGCGTATTACTAAGGCATCAAGGGAACAGCGTTCACTTCGTTTCGGGAGCTCATGTGGAAAACACTGCCCATGGAACATGCAACACAAACAGCAAGACCCCATGCAGGAATGTGTCTGAGAAGTCTGTGTTCGATCGAAAATGTGCTCAAAAGTTGGGCAATCGAAGGACGATGTGATGTATGTTCTGTAGTGGTCAAAATGCATGTGCGAACGAATGTCGATGTCCACGCGATCGAAAGGGACGATGATGCGGTCTCACGCACGCTGAGCAGCCGCCGCCGCGCGTTGCGCCTTCATCCTGGCCAAAAAGTCGGCGGCTCCACCACCTGCCGCAGCCCCCGCCCCTGCTGCTGCCGCTGCTGTTCCTCCCGCCAGCACCTTCTTCTCCTCGCTGCTGGGCAGCAAGCTCGTCAAACCCTTCTTGCTCGGCTTGACCGCCATCTCCGGCCGCTCGCCCTTGGAGCTCAATCGACTGACGCCCGCAGCACCACCGCCTCCGGGAGCGAGGTTGGTTTTGTCGCTCAACAGCGGCTTCGGCGTGGGTGCAGAGGGTGAAGCGTGGAGACGTTGGGCGATGAGTTCGGAGGGGTTGGAGGTGCTGCGTACCATGCCGCCGGGGGGAGGGGTTGCGTGACCCAGGACGACGGGTGTGGTGTTGGTAGGCTTGGTGTGGTGGGAACGTTTGAGTGGAACGGCAGCACGACGGACCGGGGTGAAGGACGAAGCACTCATGGTGCGGGCGGAGGGGGATGGTGCGTACACTGCCTTGCGGTACGGTGTAGCTTCGCTCTCGCCGTCCTCTTCGCGCGCAGCTTCGTCATCGTGATCGGGTTTGGACCTCTTCCTGCCCGCCACCCCGCCACTACTACTCCTGACCATTCCCGAACTGCCTCCCATCTCCTTCTCCATCATCAACGCCTTCACCCTCTCCCTCTCCCCCTTCAACACCTCCTCCACCTTCCTCACCTCTTCCTCCTTCGCCTTGACCTCCGTCTGCAGTGTCTCGAACTTGGCGCTCAACTTGTTGTACCGCGTAGCGTACTTCTTGCTCTCCTTGAGCGCATCGAGGATCTTGCTGTCCGCCTCCTCGATCTCCTCCGCTTTTCGACCGAGTTCTTCCCCCAGCTCGTCGATCCTGCTCGTCAGGTACTGCACCTCCGTCTGCGCTTCCGATAGCTTCGCTTGCAAATCCGAATCTTGTTCTCCTTGTCTCGCTTCACCTTCGAGACTAGCAACGATGGATTCGAGATCTTTCACGCGCCGCTGGGAAGCGACGTACTGCTCGTTGAGCATCTCCTCCGTACTCCTCGCCGAAGCAACATCCCCTTTCAACCTCAACAAGGCTTCCTCCTGCGCTGCCACCCGCATCTCCATCTCCGACTTCTCCCGGGTGACACCTTCCAACCGCTCCTGAACCTCGGCGAGAAGGGCGATCTCACCTCTGCTCCTCTCCGCCTCCTCCTGCAGCTCCGCCAGCTCCTCCTTGAGCGACCAGTATTCGCTGTTCCTCTGCGTAAGCGCTTCGTCCTTCGCTGCCAGGATGGAGTCGAGTTCAGCATGCTTCGAGAGGAGCTCTTGCAATCCGCTCTCTAGCGAGGAGCATTTGGATCGGTGTTCATCGCGTTCCGAGGTCAAGGTGGCGATGGTCGCGACCGCGGTGTCTAGCTCGGACTGCGTTGTGGAGGAGGAGGCGAGCAGCGCAGCGTGGGTGGTGGAGAGCGTGTGAAGATCGGATTCGAGGGTGGAGATGCGCTCGGTGGAGGTGGACGCGAATTCGCGATGCTCGGCGAGCTGGAGGGTGAGCGAGGAGAGGTCGGCTTGGGTGGACGTGAGACGATCGGTGGATGTGAGGAGGGACTGTTTGAGGGTGGTGATTTCTTCGTCTCGTTGCTCGTCGAGGGCCTTGCTTTCGGTGAGCACGGTGGAGTGGTGCTGGATACGCTCGGTGAGGGAGACGATGTCCTGCTCCAGCGCTTGCTTTTGACCCAGCAATGTCGCGTTCTCCTCCGAAAGCGATTCGAGCTTCGTCTCCAGACCAGAGATCGTCTCTCGTGCCTCGATGAGCGCGGTCTCGTCGACGACGACGTCTGCAGCTGCGGTCTGCATGTCCGGATCAACAGCCGACGCTGACGACGACGACGACGACGACGACGACGACTTCGAAGACTGCAGCTGAGCAACTTGCTCCTCGAGCAACCTGATCGTCTCTAGCTGCTCCTCGCGCTCCGACTCCAGATCGTCCACCGTCTCCTCCGCCAGCAACTGATTCGTCCTCGAACGAGCCAGATCGTTCTCCACCCCCTTCAGCTGTCGTTGCAACGACCCGATCTGCTCGTTACGACGCAGTACACGTGCCTCCAACTCCTCCACCTCGCCCTTCAACGCCATCACAACTTCATCTCTCTTCTCGTCGACGGTTGTCATGCTCGCCTCTACAGCCGCATCCTTTCGCTCCTTCACCGGCACCGGAGTATCCGCTTCTTTGAGCGTAGCGAGCTGTTCACGTAGCTGGTTCGCATACTCCACCCACTCCTCTCCACCCTCCTGTCGATCCAGCAGCTGCACGATCCTCTGCTGCAGCCCAACGACCTTTTCCAACCACCTCACTCTCTCGTTGTGCGACTGTACGGCGAACAGCCTCTCTCGCTTCTCCTTCAGCTCGTCGAGCATCACCTGCACGTCGTTGGTTGCGGAACGACGCTGTTCGAGCTGCGTTTGGAGGGAACAGTGTTCGGATTGGAGCGAGAGGAGGGAGGCGTTGGCGAGGTCGAGTTGCGACTCGAGCTCGTGCACGCGGTCCGAGTCCACGCCGGAGGAAGCGGCAGGAGTGGTGGAGGATTGTTCGGCCAACTGCAGAGTGAGGGCCTCGATGTGGGCGGATGATTTCTTGGCTGCTGCAGAGATGATCAGATCTTGCTCTGCCGATAGTTGGTCGAGTTTGGCGGTGGTTTGCGCAAGATGGCGTTCCAGGTCGGTGCTGTGGGCTTGCGCGGTGAGGAGTTGCGATTGCAGATCTGCTTCTCGTTGTTGCGCTGCTAATATATCGGCTGAAAGCTTCTCCGCCATCCGCTCACTATCGCCATCGTCATCAGCAGCAGATCTCATCCCTTTCAACTCCGACTCAAGCCTAGCAAGCTTCTCCGCAAGCATCTCGTTTCGCTGCTTGACACTGCGCAGCTCCGCCTCTCGTTCGGCAGTCGCAAATCCAACCCGTCCAGCTCTCTCCTTGAGTGCCTCGCCCAACAACCCAATGTCGTCCAACAGATCCCCCTCGAACCTCCTCGCCACCCTATTCTTCCCATTCGGAGTCGAAAGATGCGTCGTCCTCCCGGGCTCCAAGATCGATCGTTCCGGATCCACGACCATGCTTCGATCCAACTCGAAGGTCTCGTCCACATCCATCACCTCCTCCTGAGAAGCGAGTTTGGCGATGAGTCGATGCAGCAGCCTCTTTGCGCTTCTGTTCTCGGCGCTGTACCGATGTTCATCCGGCAAGGAATCGGTGGAAGATGAACTTGACAAGTGAAGTAAAGAGGAAGAGGAAGCTTTTTCGGCTTGGAGTTGTCGAAGCTGCTCGTCCATGTTGTTGAGCTCTTCGATGAGGGCGACGTTTTCGAGGCGGAGGGTTTGGAGGGTGTCTTTGGCTTTGGTGGGGGAGGTGAGGGTGGAAGGGTCGAGGGGTAGGCAGCTGATGCGTCGCGATCGGACGATCGGTGTGGTGGATAGGTCCAGATTGGAACTGAAGGATACTTCGGACATCATGTTGGCCACACGTTTTCGTTGCTGAATGCGTTCCGAAAGTGGTGGGGTTGGAAAACGGCGGGAGATCTTAGATGGACGCCGACTTCATCTGATTTTGATCGACGGTTGACTTGTATACAGCCTCGCGCAAGCTTTGAGCCGGGCTTCCGAAACTCGACGTTTGTACGATGGATCTAGTCTTGTATGCCTGTTGAGGATGCGGTGATGGTGTTGGATGGGAGAGATGTATGCAGTCCAAAGTCAGAACCCTGTCTGCGCCTCCACACTGTGTGCAGTATGGAACGCTGCTCTGCTGCCGCGCCTGGGAAAAGGTTCTGGAAACGGCTTCCAACAACAACACTTCCGCCCGCCCGAAAAAAGGCGTGTTTGGCATCACGTGCGCATTTCCTTCACAAACCCTAACATCAGGGTATTTTTCTCACCACCTTGCGAGCATCCTCACACAACTTACCGGAATGCAATGGCTGCCAGCACGATCTCGTACACCGCTTCGAATGGTGAGCAAATCATTCAATAGTACATTGTTCTCTCGTCTAGAAAAGGGACTGTCAGCAATGTGTCCCCTCCCCCCGCCTTTCACTGCCCGGAAGCCTTGGCGATCGTGGTATCGTACTTGCGGATCAGATCGGCACTGCCCTCGGTCTGGCTGAACGCAAATCCTCTCGTCCTCCTCATCCTCTGCACCGCCCTGACCTTCCTGATCGCCTTTTGGAACTGATCCATCCTGGGCCTATAATCCTGCAGGTTGTACTTCTGGACCTCCTGGACGATGTCGTAGCTCTCCGGCCTGTACGTGCGCTTCCAGTACTTCCAGCAAAAGTCCCGGAGCAGGCAGACGGTGGGTACGACGATCATGGCCAACCAAAAGTCGCTCAACCCGTACAAGCGGGGAACGATCCCGTCGTACTCTTTCGAGAATCCGAGTCGCGGGGCGATGAGTGCGTAGATGGCGAGGAACGCGATCGTAAACAGCAGCGAACCGGGGATCGCCGCAAACGTATACTTGGTCCATAGATCCGAGATCAACGCCGCTTTGCCTAGAACGGTGACCAACACCACCATGAACAGCGTCGTACCCCAGATCCAGCTGTAACTCGCATATCCATCCGCCAACTGTGGACTGCCCCAGAAGATGACCGTCACGAAGAGGTACGTCACCAACGAGTGGAAAAACGCATTGGCGGTCCATCCCCAGAACCGTCGCTTGTCAAAGTACACCTGTCCGTACAGCTGCGGATATCGATCCAACTGCCTCGCCGAAAGGAACTGGTCAAAGATCCCAATGACGAGCGGCGGGAGCACCGTGAAGATGACGTTGTAGAACGACAGGGTCCAGCTTTCGAACGCCACCTGACCCGAAAAGCTGTTCTGAAACGAGTACCAGAACAAGGTCATGTACAGCGTGATGTTCTTGTAAAAGCTGTACAGGATCATCTTGCTCAACCTGGCGTAGCTCCAACTTCCATGCACCAGCAACAGCTTTCGTAGATATCTGAACTGCGAAATGGCCACATCGGCACTCCTCGCCGCCTGCAACCCCTCCACACCACTGATCCCCACGCCCACATGCGCCGCCTGGATCATACTGACATCGTTGGCGCCATCGCCGATGGCCAGCAGCAACGAACTCATGTTCTTCTTGACCAGCTTCACCACCAACGCCTTCTGCAACGGCGAAACCCTACAGCAGATGACCGCCTTGCACAACACGGCGAGCTCCAAAAACACCTTGCTTAGCTCCTTTTCCAGAGCAAACGTCAGACTCTTGCCGTCGATCACGAGCGCCATCTCCTCCTGCTCGGCGCCGGCCGTGTTGCGTTGGTTCTTGATGGCGGCAAGACGTTTGTTGAGCACCTCGGCGGTGTCGTGCAGGTTGTCCTCGTTGATGATGACGAGGTTCATGGATTCGCTGATCAGCCTGCAGCTGAGACCGATGTTGATCGCCGTCTCCTGCCTGTCGCCCGTCAAGACCCAGATCTTGATGCCCGCCGACTGCAACGTGTGGATCGTATCCGGCACCCCGTCCTGCAGCTTGTCCTCGATCGCCGTCGCACCCAGCAGGAACATCCCCTGCTCGATCATCTCGGCCGCCTTGTCCAACGCCTCGCTCCTCCCTTGGATGGTCGCCGCCGCCTGGTCGTAGATCTTGGACCACGTCCGATACTCCTGCTCGCTGACCTCGCGCATCGCGATGCACAAGGTTCGCAAGCCGTCCGTAGCGTAGTCCTCCAGATGAATCATGGTCTGCTCCGTAAACGGCTGGTTGTCGCTCAGCCGCGCGAGGATGACGGTGTCGGCGCCCTTGCAGTAGAGCTTGATCTTTCCGTCGGGACATCTTACGACGGTGGACATGCGTTTGCGCGTCGAGTTGAACTCGCACACGTTGAGGATCTCCCACTCGCGCTCGGTGCCGCGGATGTTGACAAACACCGAACGCGGTTTTCGCGTCGTGAACTGGTACCCGAGCGATTCTGCACCGGCAACCAGCGCCGCCTCGTCGGGACTCGAGGCCTGGAAGATGACCTTGTCGCCCTTGCGTTCGGGGATGACCGTGTGGCAGACGGCGAGCAGCGTCAGGAACTCGTCGATGACGGCGCTGCTGCCGTCGTCGGGGGTCCTTCCCTCCAAAACAGCCTTGAGCTCGTGCCACGTCCTCTGGCCGCCAATCTCGCGACCGTCCGGGCCGATCTCGCCGGTCCCCTGCTTGCTCTCGTCGATGACGTCGGTGAACGAGATGCCGCCGATGCTCGCCTGCTTGAACTCCATCTCGTTCCTCGTAAGCGTGCCCGTCTTGTCGGAGAAGATGTAGTCGATCTGGCCGAGCTCCTCGACCAAACTGCTGGTTCGACACAGCGCAGGCGTGTCGGTAGGCGCATAGTACATGTCGAGATCCGAATTGATGAGCGTCGCCTGCTGGTACTTGACCACCTCGACGGTGACGATCAACGAGATCGGGATCAGGTTGTTGTACGCAATGACAAAGGTGAGGATGTCCTCGATGAACTGACGAGCTTTGCCTTTTCCTTCCTCGTTCAGCAAAAGATACTTCATCTCGGACGCGTAGGCGGTGTTGCGCACGATAGCGCCGATGGAGGAAGCGACGGACAGCGCGAGCAGCAGGATGAAGAGGAGGAGGATCTGCACGTTGACCTGCTTCTCGACGGCGGTGCGCTTGATGGGTGCTGCTGTGGCGTTGCGCATGAGTTTGGTCTCGTGGCCGGTAAAGACGACTACTCCATAAACCCAAGGGGTGTTGCGCAGCTGGGCACCTCGGAGCAGAAGCTGCTCGGGGCTGAGGGGTGCTTTGCGCATGGGAGTGCCGCTGAAACCGGGCGTGGAGCTGAGCTGGATGTTGAGCGTGGCATCAAACGTGTAGAGGCTGTTGTTGGGCTGTTCCGAGGTGAGGTTGCCTCGAAGCGTAGAGGCGGCACTGGAAGAGGTGAGCTTGGCGGTATCGGGCGAGGCCTGTTTTATCTTCAAATTGGTCTCGCCATCGAGGTTGGCGGTCTCGATGTAGCACAGCCCTTCGGGCTCGGAACTGGAGAGGAGGACGAGATCCGCGGGGAAGAACTCGTTGTTCTCGACACGGATGATGTCTCCGACGCGAATGTGCCGCCACCGTCTTGGCTCGAAGGAACCGGAGCCGGGATCGAGGACGTGCGAGATGCGGGCGTTGAGCTCGGAATCCGATTGGTGCCTTTTGATGTCTTCCTTGATCTCCTTGAAAGCGGAAGCGAGGAGGACAAGCGCCAGGGGCACAATGGTGGTCCATCGATTGGTGGGCGACACGCCGGGGATCTGCTGGATGCATGCGGTGAAGAGGAAAAAGACGTTGGCGTACTTGCTGAACTGCTCGACGAGGAATTTGGGGACAAAGGTGAGCACGTTGTACTTGGAAGTGCTGACGTAGTTGTCGAGGAAGTCGCTCTTGTCGTTGGAGAGCGGGTCGTTGAGCTGGACGATGCGGTCTCCGGAGCGCTTTTCTTGTTGTCGACGACGACGGAGCACGGTATCTACGTCGGCTTTGAGCGTGCGCATGCTCCTCTTGAGGCCATCCATGAGACCGTCGCGCGGCGGCTTGCGACTTGTGCCCGAGGTGAGACCTGGCGCACGAACGGCTGATCGTCTGGCGTCGCTGCGACCAGCCGCATTGTATCCGTTGGCAGCGGAAGTGTTGTACGGAAGGTACTTGGAGTCGTCCATGGGGGACAGTTCGTCGTCTGCCTCGATGCTTTTGAAGCTGTGTCTGGCAGCGTAAGCATCAGCGAAAGGGCCCTCGGTGGAATAGCCTGCGTTCTGATAGCCAGCAGGAGTCTGTGCGCTGGCAGCGAGAGGCAGACCTGACTCGACGCTGCCCTGCATGTGAGAGCCAAAGTTGGGTCTGGGAGCATCGAGACCCATGGCTGTGTCGTGGTGATCGAAGGAGGCTGTCGAGGTAGCAAAGGGATCGTTGGCGTATCGAGAGGATGAGCCGAGCGGGTGGGATTGCGAAGAGGCGCCACGGTGACCGGCGCCAAAGTCGTTAAAGTCGTCTCCCATGAGATCCGGATCGTCTGCATCGACGAGGACGTGGGAGGGACCCGAAGCGGAGGGATGGACGCCGAACGAGTCGTTGGAACGGTCAAAGTCGGCGAAAGGGTCTTGCTGCACCGGTTGACGCCCGCCGCGCTGCTGACCGCGCGGGCTGACAAAGTCGTCAAAGTCGTCCATTGTGGAATGAAAGGCAACCGGAGGCTATGCTTGCATTAGACGCGATCGTTGAAACGAGGCCCCTGCGCGATCGATACCAGACACCGCGACTCGGGGTGTCTGTGAAGCTGCAATATGTCTGCGCTCGAAATGCCGTTCGCCTTGATGCTGTGAGGCTTCGGAGGGCGAGCAAGACCAAGTGATAGCCAACAAGAAGAGCGATGGAAGGACGGAAGGAAAGAAGCGCGCCTACTGTATCTGACGCTCAACAAGGGTCCCTTTGCACACAGCGACAGCACAGCACAGCTGCCATTGCACCGCCCAAACAGCGCACAAATTGTGAGACATCGGCGACGCGCTTCCATTTACTCGAACGTTGTTAGACCCTGCGCTCAAACTCGGAACTCGGACTGACGCTTGGACCCGCTTTTTGGGCGCAGCTTGCTTCTCTTCTTCGTGACGAGACTTACTTCTTTCACTTCTTTGACCACATTGCCGCATCGGCACGACGGCCATCGAGATGGAGCAGCACGGCCGAGAGCCCGCGCCCGCACAAGCTGGTCCATCCGGTTCCTCCAAGGACGCCGATCCGCCACCGTCCACCACCGTCGAAGCTTCTCCTACACGACGCACCCAACGATCCTGCACGCCGCAATCGCTTCCTAGCACCAGCCCCACAGCATCTCGCAACCCCTCGCGCAGCCCCTCCACCTCTCGACGCTCCCTGAAACGCACCACCTTCTCGCCGGTCCCTGAAGAATCCCACGCTTCTCACACCGCGCTCGCTATCTCCTCTTCCACCCCTCCCCCGGAACCTGCTTCCAAAAAGCCACGCTCCGCATCTCGCACCACTTCGGGCGATCCCAAAGCAGCACGTCGCGGTCAACGGCTCTTCGGGGTGCTCACCTCCACGCTCACCCAATTCAAGCGCGACTCCGAATCCGATCGTGCCGCCACGCTCGCCCAACGCCGCGCGCAGATCGAAGCGCGGTCCGCGTCCAAACTCGCCCTCTCCTCGCACCAGATCGACGCCTCGCTCCTCCACCGTTCGCTCCTATGGGAAGCGCGCTCCCTCTCCGAGCAGATCGTCACCGGCGACATCCAACGCAAAACCCTGCGAGGTCTCAAAAGACGCATGGCGAGCTTCCTCTACACCCCAACCACTTGCCGGGAAAGAGAAGACCGATTAGCCGCGAACATTCCCACCTCCTCCACAGGTGGCGGTAGGAGGGCGGACGAGGAGGGCGATTTTGCAGTGTATTTCTTACCGGGGAAAACGCTGCCCGAGCAAGAGGATAAGTTGAACGATCAGGAGGATAGCGTGGATGATAAGATCGATCGGTTTGACGATCGGTGGGAGGAGGAGAGGAGGCGCTTGCTGCAGCGGTTGGAGGACGTCAAGGCTAAGATACGAGAGATTTGATGGCGAACACACACACATTCAGTATACCCTAGCTCAACACTTGTACCATTCTCAGACACAGTCGCTTGGCTGGCAAACGCAAACAAACTCTGCATTTCCTTCGAGATATTGCACAGAGCAAGAGAGATCTCAGTACCCGGACGGTCTCGCCTGAGGAAACCCAAACGGCGCCTGCCCCGACGGAGGCGGCAGCTGTCCCTCTCCCTGCGCCGCGTACCCGCCACCAGCATTCGGGGTGGGCATGGCAAACCCGCCCGTACCCGGCACGAACCCTCCGCCTCCGGCACCAGGATAGCTCGACCCGCCTCCCGGCTGCTGCATATCCCTTTGGCCGTACGACGGTTGCGAGTACGCCGGCGGGTACGGCGGTGGTGCGCCCGGCCCGCCTGGTGGAGCGGCTCCGTAGGGTTGGTACCCGGTGTTGTTGGGAGGAGGGGGGTAGTATGCTTGACCTCCTGGAGCTGGGTAACCGCTCGAAGGTGGCTGCGATGGGGGAGCGCCGTACGATGACTGCGGAGGATAAGGTTGCTGCTGCTGTTGCGGATACCCGCCCTGATACCCCTGTCCCTGTGGAGGATACGAAGGCTGGTGGGAGTACCCGCTCAACCCCACATCTCCTTGGGGCGGCAGCGCACCCCCGGCACTCGGAACCGGCGTCGCCCCCTGCAGCGCTGCATCCCTCTCCCTCCGAAACGCCTCCATCTCCCTTGCAAACCTCTGCTGCTTCTCCCTCTTCTCCAGCTCCTTCTTCTCCCTCCTGCGCTTGGCTCTGCGATCCCAGCTGCTCTCCTTTTCGTTCTCGTCGCTCGCATCGTACGAGGTGTCGATGGGTCCGAGGAGCAGCTTGAGGCAGTAGAGCTCGGGGGTGAGTTCGATGCCCGTGCTGCGCTTGACTTGGGCCGATTCGATGGCGATGTCCGAGCACACGTCGACGAGGTCGCCGACGGTGGGGTCGTTGTCGATCGAATCCAGCCACTCTTGGGCTTCGCGGTCGTTGCCGACGGCAGCGATCTGGAAGGACACCGCGTCCTCGCCATACCGCGTGCTGGCCAGCGTTCGTTTCGCATTCTGCAAGACTTTGACGATCTTCTCCCCCTTTTCGCTGGATCCGGTCGGTCTGCCGTCCGTGATGACCAGAACAAACGCGGGCTTCTGCAGTCTTCCCTGCGTTGCGGGAGACAACACCAACGGCGCGAGGATCTTGCTCTCGAGACTGCTGCCCATCGGGGTCGACCTGCCGTCGTAGGCACATCTGCTGGTCAACTGTTCCGCCTCGGCGACGTTGTGAATCTTTTGCTGGGCGGAGCTGTTCATCCACGCCACCTCCATACCGTCCGGGTCGAACCTAGCCGCTGCATCTGCCGCTCGCTTCAGAATTCCCGCCAACGAATCCCTCCTCCTCGTACCTTCCGATCGCATGGATGCCGAATCGTCGAGCAAAAACATCACATCGAACAGGGCCAGCTTCACCAGATCCTGCGCAAGGTACGGAGGCAGTTGCCAGCTGTCGGCGCACTGCTGCAACGCTCCGGAGGAGGCGATGTGTTGAGCGATGCGCACGACATCCGCGAACGTGTAGAAGGGATAGAGGTACTGATCCATGACGCATGTCGAGAGGAGGTTGGCGATGTGCTTCCAGTCTCGCAGCGTGTCCCACGACAGATTGGGATTGTTGGTAGCAGAGTGGTTGGACTGCTGTTGGTTGTGGTGATGGGCTGCATAAGCGCCTGCTGCAGCGACGGCGGTACCGGCTACTGCGGCAGACCCCCACGACGAAGCGTGCGAGTTGGAATGCGACATCGACGGTGGAGGTGGTGCCTGAGCGATCTGATGGGTTGGATTCGAGTGTTGATGTTTCTTGGATGCCTTGTAGAGCATGTACGCTGTGACACCGACAGCTAGACCTGCGAGAACGAGTTTCTTGTTGAATCCCATAGCCTGCTCTTTTCTTTGCGTTGAATCGAAATCGTGGTCCTGGAGGGGAAAAGCCGAGCTCTTTATATCCCAACGCAATGGTGTTGTGCGTACACGAAGCGGCTAAGTGTCGTGTAAATTGATTGCTCCACAAATCAGCCCGAGCGCTTCGGCGCACAGCACTCTCGAAACGACGTCACAGATGGGCGGCTGTGTGCAGTGCAACACGGACCACCCTCGACCAAAAAAAAAATCAGGCTGTGTCAAAGAGAAAAACGTCCAAGAATATTCTCTCTCCTCTCGCTTCCACCGCAATGGGCTGTGCAAGCAAAGCATGAAATCGCAATGTGAACTCACTCCCCCTCTCCGTCTCCCGAAGATGCACTGCTGTGCAGCCTCATAGACGTCTGAAACAGATCGCTCTCCGATGAGCCTAGGCTCTTTCAACCGAAGCCTCGATCTTGGATCGCAAGCGATGCATCAAAGGACAGACATAGGCTTTGGTGCGATCTAATGATTGCGTTGTTTTGTTATGATTGCATGCGGGTGTGAAAGACTGGCTCGGCGCCGTTTGATCGGTGGACGAGATTGCCAAACAGAAAGTGAGATGAGAAAGGACAATGCTGATGATGGGGTGCCGCGTCTACAGCCCATATCGATCCGCCAACCTCTGGACGATGACGGGCGGGAACTGCTGCTTCTGCACCTCCCACTGCGCACCGCTCATATCCCTGAACCCGGTCAAGATCTTCCTAAACATCTCGTTCAGCTCGGCGCTCGGCGTAGACCACCTGACCACGGCGTTGCAAAAGTAGACGAAGCCCTTGGCGGCGCCGTTCGGGTTGACCTGGATCATCTCGCAGAGTCCGCGGAACGCCGAGTCCTTCTCGTCGTTGTCCTTGATGTCCCACAGCGCCTGGCACCACGATTCGATAAAGACCTCGAGATGCGGCGCCACCAGCTGAGGCTGCACCAGACCCAGTCGGCCGATGGTCACCGCTGCATTCTCGGAAAGCGACTTGACCGATTTCGTCGAGAGCAGCACGGGCACGAGCCGCTTGATCAGCTCGTCCACCCACTGCGTCAGCTCTGGATCCGCACCGTACTGCAGCGCGATCTCACCCGCCGCCCAGGCCGCGTTGTTGCACACGGAGACGTTCTCCATCTTGGGTTCCGGCTCGATCTGTCGGATGAGCTCGGGCATGATCGATGGAAGGAACGGTTTCAGCAAATCGAAGCACGAGATGGCCAGATCGCCGAGCAGGGCATACGCCGACTGCCGCACGGGCGCCTCGACGTTGGTGATGCAGTGGCTGAGCAACGGCAAGAGCGATGGCTGCGAGCCAGCTACCAAATCGCGTACCGTCGTGTTGAGGCCCTGCGTCAAGCCACTCAGCAGATCCAGTGCGACAATGATAAAGGTGCGATCCGGCACGTCTTGTTCCATGGCCGGTTTGAGCGATTCAGCCTCCGCCGCGGCGAGGTTCTCGTGCACGATGCCGACGCAGCGCTGGAAGACCGGTGGCGAGTAGGGCAAGAAGCCGGGTCCGACGGCGATGGTGACCGACGACATGCATTCCAGCAGAGGAATCAGATCGGGATCCGTGTCGTCGAGCCCCTGCCACTTTGCGATCAATGGCGGCATCACGATCTCGACGTATTCAGGTCGATTCAATGCCGAGCCCACCGAGTCGGCGAGCGTTCCCAGCGCATCGTAGAGGATGAGCAGGTTTTTCTGTTGGTATTTGTCGAATGCGAACACGAGCGTCTTGAGGACGGGTTCGAGGAACGGCTCGAGGCTGCGGCCCGCCTCCTCTTCGAGCGTCGCAAATGCGCTGCAGCCGGCCTCCTGAACGCGCTTGTTGTTGTCGAGGACCATGTTGAGCAGACCTTCCATGGCGGGCACGAAGAACTGCTGCTGGTGCTCTGGCGTCTCGGCAGCAACGCACCAGCTCGAGTATCGCCCGAGAGTCCAGCATGTTATGGAGCGGACGAGCGGTTTGGAGTCCTTGAGGCTGTTGATGAGGAAAGGCACGAGCGTGGGCAGATGCGGTTGGATGCCGGCGATGCAGCCCTCTGCGATGGCACCGAGTGCGAGGATGCCGCACTCTCGTTGCAGCCAGTCGTCGCTGAAGAGGCGTTCCTTGAGGTAGGGGAGCAGGATCTCGAGCAGCTCGTCGGCGAAATTGACCGCCATGACATCGAGAGCGGCAGCGGAGCACTTGCGGAGGTTCCAGTCCGAGATGCCGTCGTCGTCCTCGTCGTCTTCATCTTCGTCGTCAAAGTCGTCTTCGTCGTCGTCCTGCGCCTCGATGGCGGCTCGCGACTTGCCGGTGCCCGAAGCGCCTCCGTTGGCTGCATCGTCGAGGTGCTCGTTCTTGTGCGCACCGCCGCCGTAGTGTCGAGGCTTGATGTCCTCGGCGCGATCTGGCACTGCGGCGTCGTCCTCGTCTCCGCCGAGCATGAGCAGGTCGAGCTCGTTGTAGACCATGCCTTTTAGGAGGACAGGTGCGATCTTGGAGAGGTACGGACGCAGCTTGTCCTTGAGCGATGGCTCCTCTGCAAATTGAAGCCAGAACTCGCATGCTTCCAACGAGACGTCGTCGTCCTTGTCCTGGGTCGAGTAGAGCATGTACTCGACGACGTTGTCCATTTCGGGGATGAGCTTGTCGGGTCGGACGCCGAGGATGAGGACGAGCGCCTGGCAGACGTACCTGCGGACGTTGGCGCTCTCGTCGCTGGCACGTTTGAAGAGGGCGGCGAGGAAGGTGTCGATGTGGTTCTGCAGCGCCGCGGAGCCGATCTGGACGAACTGGTTGAGGCAGTTGAGCGCGTGCATGCGGATGCGCGAGTCGGTGTGTTGGGTGGCTTCGATGAATTTGGGGATGAGGATGTCGATGGGCTTGACGCCGTTGATGTCGCACATCTCGAGCTCCCGTGGGATGTCCTCGCAGATCTTGGCTAATGAGCTGAAGGCACCCTCTGCCTCGTCGGTGTTTTGGGAGCTCATGAGCTCGCCGAGCTTCGAGAGGCCTTGTGGCCAGCCCTGGGGTGTGAGGATGGTCATGAGCATGGAGACGACCTGGGTTGCGGTGCGACGGAGCATGTCTTCTGGCAAGCTGAGCGCAGGGATGATGGCTTGCTTGACGTACTCGAACGATTCGGGCGAGATGAGATCATTGTGGAAGAGGATGTGGTTCTTGAGGATGAGGCCGGCTACGGACCGGGTAGCGAGGTCTTCGGTGGTGAGGGATGTCAATGCAAAGACGCAGTAGTTGGCGTAATCTGGGATCTGGCTGACTGTGTCGAGGCGCTGCGAGCGTAGCGAGTATAGCGAGTTTGGCGAGCGTGGGAAGAAAGGAGATGTCAGTGGACGAAGCGAAAAGTCTATGTAACTGGCGCGTACTCACCTGGGCGATTCTCTCCTGGACATCCATCTGTGGGCTCTGCGAGTCACGGAAGAGCTGGACGAGCTCGGTGAGCCCTTGCTGAGATGGCTGCCAATTTGATGTCATTGTTGGCGGATTGTGGAGGAGGCGGTGTGCGAAGAAGGCAAAGAAGCGGATGCAGGAGACGGAGGAAGCGATCTATGCAGGACGAAAAGCGATCGTCAAGTTCTGCTGGGTCGAAGCGATGCAGTGACGGGAAGCAGCAAAGATGCAGAATGCAACCGTCGGCCTAGCTGGACTGTTTCGCTCGACGCAAGACAGAGACGAGCACGAGTCGGGCCAGGATGTGCGCAGGTCGGGCTTCGTTCCAGGCTGACGATGCTGCGTGACGGGTGGTAGGACCAGACTTTGCACCCCGTCGAAAAGACTGTGACGAGACCGTGCCGATGCTAGGATGCGTGCGACGTGCTGAAACCACGGGAAGGATCGTTGCGTTGGTGGAATGTCGCCTCAGGCCCGGTGTTGGACGACGATGACTGAAATGACCGTGTCAAGGAGCGACGGAACCAGAGAAAGGCGACGAGTAGGGTATGGTGTGTGAGACGTTGCGATGAAAGGTGCGATTGTGATTGTGACGAGACAAGAAGATTCTCACTTGCAAAAAGCCATTCCAAAAAATCTCGCAAAGAAACACGCCCCCGAAATTCAACAGAGCAACCAACAGCGCTCTCACAAATCACACAAACGCACGCACACACACATTCACCCAGGTCAATTCAAGTGCAGCCAGCAGCCAACCCGTGTCGCTCCTTTCCAGCGCTTTAAATACAGCTGCGTGTGCGCGTGTCCGTCTCGAAAAGGGATAAATCGAAATCCGACGCTTTTCAGCGTCCAACAGGGTTTCATTTCTCCCTCAAAGGATTTCGTCTCAGGCGTTGCTGTGGATCCTTCGTACGAAAAGCTCTTTTGGTGTTTCGACAGTCATTTTATTTTTGTCGATCTCCTTTTTACTGCCTTGCTGCTGCCTAGTTTCAGTGCGATCCGGAAGAGAAATAAGCTATGGCCACGTCGACGCACTCGCAAGATGTGGTGGTACTACCGCTCGTACTGCATGATCATGCTCCACTCACGCTCAGCCGACTCTTCGAAGAGGCACGCGTTGAATCGTAGCATAGACTCAAACGTTCAGCCTCGTCGCGAGCGACCGTCGTAGTGCGTCGAGCATGCACATTGAGCCAAGCGCTGAGCTGAGCTTCTGCTGCCGCAACCGTCGACATTCCCCACACACACATTGCCAAAACTGGTGCGAGAATTCATAGTTTGCACATGCTACGATTCTCCTCTAGTCGCAGCATAAAGGTATCCACATCGTCCTCTACTCCGCTGCGCTGTCTTCCTTGACCGCCGGTGTGGTCGCTGACGCGGCTACCGGCGCTGATGCGCTCGCATCCGCACCGATCGAACTCAAATCCTGCACCGACTCGCTCGCCGTCACCATCGTATCGTCTCCCTGGTTCTGCAGCGCAGACGCATTGGGCGACATGGATCCGCTCACCTTCCTCCCTCCCTCGCCCTGATTCTGCGCAACGTTGCCCAAGCTTCGCGGTGGATTGCCGCATCGATCCTTGCCGTACGAGATCTTGACGTTCTGGTAGTCCGGATGACTCTTCATCCCCTCTATGCACTTGATCGCAGACTGGATGTTGGTGAAGTTGGCGAAGGCGCAGTTCTTCTCGCGCAGGCTGTTGACCGTCTCGATCTCACCGTACTGCGAAAAGTCGTTGCGGATCTTTTCTTCCGTCAAAAAGTCCGGGTCGTCGATGTTGCCGACGTACACGTTGCGCGAACCGCCTGCCTGCACCGCAAACTGGATCGCTGGACTCAACGGTCCCGAATGCTTGCCCCATCCGATCTTGAGCCTCCGGTTGTGGATCATGATGCCCGAGTACGACGCCAAGTGGAAGAATGCCAGCGCAGCGTTCGGATCCACAAACGTGACGAAGGCAATGTGCTTCTCCGGGATGAACCGGATGTTCTGCAACACCCCGCCGCGGATGTGGTTGCAGATCTCGGCGGTGGTCGTCTCGGGGTGGATGTTGCCCAGGTAGATCGTGCGGTTGCCGAGCTGCTCGAGCGCCGTGACGTTGGCGCCCATCATGGCGGCTGCAGGTCCGAACACAGAATTGGCTGGAGATCGTCCATTGTCCGCTGCAGTGGCGCCGGCTCCAGCGAAGGCGGTCGGGTATCCGAGCGAAGCTGCCGCAGCCAAGCCCAAAGCGGCTGCCTGGTTGTTATGCGCCTGGTTCTGCTGCTGGCTCTTGGGCACGTAGGCACAGCGGTCCTTACCGTAGCTCACCCTCTTGCCCGTCCACGCTGGCTCGGTGGGCAGGGTCGCGACCACCTTGATGGCGGTCTGAATCGAAAGAAAGTGGATGAAGCCGATGTTCTTGTCGCGCACGATCTTGACCTGGTCGATGGGTCCAAAGCGCGAGAGATCGTCGCGGAGCGATTGTTCCGAAGCGCTCTCGTCGAGCTGACCGACGTAGACGTTTCGCGAAGCCTGGTTCTGCTGAACGGCCATCAGCACGGCGGGATGGCACTGCGACGGCTTGCCCCAGCCGATCTTGAGCTCCTGATTGTGAAGCGAGACCTTCTTGACGCATGCATCGGCGTGGAACGCTGTCGCCGTCGAACCATCGAGGAACGAGATGAAGGCGCAGTTCTTTTCGGGGAGGATGCGTACGTTCTCGATGGGACCGAACTTGACGAGATTGAGCAGTTCGTCCACAGAAGCGTCGGCTGGCAGGTTTCCGACGTAGACGGTTCGATTCAGAGGGTTGACCTGCCGAGGCATGGCGGGAAGAACGCCGACGTTGGGAACGAAGCCGGGAGTGTTGCCAAAGTTGGCGGCAAAGTTGGGGAACATGGTCGCCGGGTTCAGAGCGGCACCGTTGGACATCAAGAAAGGCGCCGAGCCGGCAGCGTCGAAGGCGGCGCCGTTTTGTGCGCCTAGCAGGCCTGCGTGGCCGAGGTTGCCGGAGAAGGATCGCGTCCCGTTGGTGCCATTGCCGGGAGGCTGAAGGCCAGATACGCCTGCGAAAGGCTGTGCTTGCGACTGCGGTGCGGTACCATTACCGAGGAACGGTCCGGACGCACCGGCAGCGTTCGGAAAGCCGCCGGGCGCAAAATTTTGCTGAGCGAGGCTGGGGATGTTGCCCTCCGAGACGAAGCGAGCCTTTTTGGCGCCGGCGTCGGGCATCTGAGTGTTGGGAAGGGAAGCGAGATGGCCGAGACCAGCAGCGTGTGCGTCGTAGGATTGGGAGGGGGCGCGTTTCATCATTTGGAGCGGATCGAGCGCGAAGCCTGGCGCTGCAGCAGAGTTGGACTGGTTGGTGGAGGGGAAGCCGTTGGCGGCAAACGTGTTGGGAGTGGGGAGGTTGTTCTCCTCGTGCATGGCTCAACGAAAGGCAAGTGATATGGTCGATTCCTACGAAGTGTACCGTGAGGGAATGAATGCCAAAAGCGCGCGTACAAACGAACGAATGCTGCCTAGACGGCGGCGAGATTGGTGTCGGGGTTGGAGAAGCTGAGGTTGCCAAGATTGATTGTGCGTGCTTCGCGATATCCTGCGCGAGGTCACGATTGCTGCTGGAAGGATAGGCAGAGCAGATGGTATCCTCGCTGGTCAAGATGGAGTCGTCTCGGGATGCAGTGCCAGACTCGTCAAGCAAGCGAGGGGGGAAATGAGCCGAGTTGAAGACGTCCAAATGGAAGAATCTGCAAAGACGAAGCGGAGCAACAAAGAAGGATAAGCAGAAGAAGAAGAAGGCGAGGCAGCGAGACGAGGAAGAAGAAGGGTGGTGAGGTGAAGGAGGAGGAGGAGGAAGGGTGCTGATGATGAAGGGAGCGTGTTAGTACTCTTTGCAGTCGAGCAGCCGCAACGCACGGTTGGAGCGGGGAATGCAGCCGTGCCGTGCCAAGTGACCAGAGTCCGTTGATAGTATGCTTGCTGTTGTGCTGTCTTCCCAGCCGTGCACGAATGCCGAAGCGCACAAAAGGCTCACCACGGGCGGAGGGTCCGACGGGTCGTTGCTGCTGCTGCTGCTGCTTTTTGATGCGCCGTGCGTTTCTCGAGAGATTCTTGACGAGGCGCGACAACTGACACACACACACCTACACACACAGAGTTTGGGTGAGTGCGTGCGTAAATTGCAGAGAGCGTGTGCGTGTAATCTGTCGAGCGTCGATGTCTGTGTGTCTGTCTCGCCAGGCTGGCTGTGTTTCTTTGCTGCTGCAACCCAAAGGCACGCGCTTCTTTCATTCCACACCTCGCCAAAGCCACATCACGACGGCCTTTCGATCGGTGATGAGTCTTTGCCCTCTCCTCACGAGTCTGATCTTTGCTGAGCTGGAGCTTAGTTGGCTCATCTTCACCGTATCTGTGCAGGATTCACATAACTTTCCTCCCTTGGGGATGGCAACGACTAGTAGAGATGCGGTCCGCAAAGAGAAGCCAATCGGGTATCAGATCGGGAAGTCGATGCGATCCAGAATCGACCCCGCATTTGAAAATCTGCATGTGAAATCGGGTCCTGTTCGTTCAACTCGGGCTCAATTGCTAGATTAGGTGTGGTTCCATTTGGAATCAACTCTTGTCATTCCGACGCATGCTACACACGAAGCGACACGCTGCCTTCATGTCCGGTGATCAATCGAGGCTATTTTGTTTTGCGATTAACGAGGATGATGCGTTGTCTGATCCAACACGGCGACGTGCACACGGGAGCGGACTGGAGCCAAGGGGAGAGAGCTCGTGCTGTGCGCTCTACTCGTCGGATCGAGTGTCGGTCAGGCTGAATTCGCCTGCCTTGGCTGCCTCGATGTAGCCCTTGACCTTTTCGTAGATGGTGAACACCACGGCCTGTCCGGGAGCGACACGCGCAACACGAGGTGTGATACCCTTCCAGAAGGCGCTGGCACCTTCCTGGGCAAACATGTCCTTGGCCACCTTGACCACACGGCTGATGGCCGTCTCGCCCTCGACCTTGGATGCTCGCTGGATACGCGTCTTGATCGTGTCGATGGGCGCGTTCGAGAACGGTCCCAGCGCTCCCGAGATCAATCCGATCACCGCCGTCTCGTACGAAGGCAGCTCGGTGGTGCCGTGGTACTTTTGCGCGGCGCTCTTGAGCTCCTGGTAGGCGGTGAAGTTGGCGGCCTGGTTGGTCGCCTGTCGTGCCGCGGTGAGCGCAACCCCACGGTAGAGCGTCATGAAGCCTTCCTCGCGGATGATGGTGTACAGCGCGTGCGCAGCGTTGCGGTACCGAGGCACCTCGAGAGGGTCGGCGAGCGAGTGCTGCTGCGCTTGCAGGCGGATCTTGACCACCTCCATCGGGTTGACCACCGCCACCGCTTCCGTGGTACCGGCGCCGAGACCCGCGAGGAAGATGCCCTGCGCGGACGTCTTGCCCGTCTGCTTGTCCGCCAGCGCGTTCTTGTACTGCTCGAAACTCATGAATCGGATGGCCATCTTGGGCACGATACCTGCCACGACGGCGCCTAGACCCTTGTACAGACCCAGCGGCGTCTCGCGTTTTACGATGTGCGCACCCGTAGCGATGAAACCTCGGGGCTTTTCGCCCGCCTTCTTGCCTCTACGCGAGAGCTGCATGCGCACCTTGATCGTGTCCAGAGCTGTGCACATGGATGAGAGGAAGTAGCAAGAGTGTCAGTAGGTCTTGCTCTGCAGATGGCGCATCAGCGCACGCATTGTGAACAGAGTCGCTCGGGGATGATACTTACGATGACAGGTACATGCTTCCGCAAAGCCTGCAATACCACCGGCGATCAGGTGGGTGGATGGCGCCACCTTCTTGTCTGCTTTCGACATTGTGGGATGTGTCTGTCTTTGTTTTGGATGCCTGTAGAGGGAGTGGTGTTGGTCCTGTGGATGTTCACGAGTGTCGTGATCGCAGTGCTCAACGTCGGAACGGTCTTGGTCGAAAGTTGAAGCACTTGCTGGAGCGCGTCGTACAGTCCCGTGAGATGATGGAGCAGATGATGGAGCAGATGATGGAGTCTAGCACAAATCGGTAGGAGGGGAAAGAGGAAGGATCGTGTTTTCGAGAAGAGTCGCAGGACCAACGACGGCTATGGCTATAAGAGCTTCCGGGCGGACGTCTGAAAGCGGAGGGCAGGTTGCTGCAGGCAGCAGACAGCCGACAGCAGACAGAGTCATCGTGCGAAAATGGACGCCTCGCTCCATGTCCGTGTGACACCTTGGCCGTGACGCCCGCGCCCGGTTGTGGTGAAAGTGCAGTCTCGGACCACGGTTAGCTGCAGTCGCCGTCGACCCTAACCGGCTGAATTCGGCTTCAACCCGCAAAATGGGCAGCCAGAAAATGGAGGGGAAAAAAGGTGGAGAAGCGGCAGTTGACCGTCTCTGCTCCCCCGCTTTGCCTTGGCTGCTCGCCCTTTCTCCAGACTTTCTTACTTTAACTTCACAGCAGCCCGACGATGAACAGAAGTGTGATTCAACAGGATCCAATTGCGACAGCTTTGCAGTCGGCTGTAGCGCTGAAGCCCTTCTAATAACAATGATCGACACAAGTCCAGAGAAGCCTCTTGCCGGCTAGGAGGACATCCGGAAGGCTGAAAGGGGGAAGCGCCAGAGTTCCGACGCCGAAACGCACGCTGCGTCGATCAATTGGAACGGCTGGCTTGCACTCAGCCATGCTCCGAGTCAGAAGTGATCTCCGCCCTACGCCTGCACAGTGTTTTGTTTCATCGAATCTGTGCGGTTCGAGATGATCTCTCCCGCTGCGAGAAGAGGTCTTGGCTGGGGAAGACCCGATCTTGTCTGAGATCGCGTTCCGGCTTTCACGAGCGCCCATTTTTTGCAGGCCCTTCGTCTTTGCTCAAGACCCTGTCCGAGTCAGTACACAAGAGCACGGATGCATTGTGACGCAGGCTCGCTCGAGCCTGCTCAAACCAACTGCAGCACCGTCAGTGGTTTGCTGGTATTGGAATGGCAGCGACGCTGTCATGTGCAACCTTGTTGTTTTGCTGCAAAGTGAGCTGCCTTCCAACAGACCGCAATGGCATGCGAGCAGCAGTAGGCACAGTTGGCAGACATGATCAGCATCGGAGCTCGGAAGCACCGGATGCTGCTTTGCTGAATATGGAAAGAACCGATGCGAGGTCTGGGCATACTTGGAGGCAGGCCAGGTTCGCTTCATCTTCATCCGGACTCTCCCTCAAATAGCGCCAGCTTGTGGCCGCCTTCTCCGCAGTTTCGAGCCGGCCGGTATTTTTTTTGCGAATTGACCGGTGCGGTTTTTGAATCGGATCGACAGAGGCAGACCGCTTGCTTCGCCCGATCTATGATTATGGGAACAGCGGATTCTGGCTTGGTTCAATCATGTGTCTCCTTGCTTCGTCGTGACTTGTCGTCGAAGTTGATCAGATGCCTTCTGTGCCGTAGAGAGATGCCAACGCAGGGCATTGCCAGCCATGTTGGGAGTTGTGTAGATGCCCAAGCCAAGAGAGATGCGCGCCGTCTGAGATTCAAAAAGATGTACAACAGAGTTTTCGAGTAGAGTGTCTACCCAACCTAAAAATTCGTTGCCTGCAGAGAGACCTTGGTCGCCTACGCTGCTGCTGACGTGCGTTCAATGCCACATCAATGCCATGTGGTCGAGTCAGGGAGAATCTCAGGTGCCGAGACTTGCTTGTGGGGGGAATAGAACGGCGATCTCCTTCACAGTCGGCGATACTCGAGGAAAAAAAGACCCAAAGCCGCGTCACGCTCAGCCTCAGCCTCGCCTGGTGGGAGATTCTGCGACTCGAGATGAACTGGACCCTGTCGATTGGCCGCTGCAGGCTAAGCGGCCCGTTGCTCATACTTGGGACGCCTCGATGCTCCTATCTGCTGCAAGGGTGGAGGCTCCATCGAGCTTGGCTTTCTGCACGGTGGTCCAGACAGGGTGAAGCTCCAGAATAAGAGACGCCAGAGGTTGACTGTGAAGCAAAGCAGTTGGGGCGCGGGTGATCTCCGACCGTGGTGCCACTCTCCCGTACTCATGCTTCAATAGCAGCACCATGAGCTGGAGCAGGAGTTTGCATGATGGATGTCACAACGTTTGGGGAATCTGCGTCGCAAGCTCATACTTGGCAAGGCCCCACAAAGGCAACTGCATCGAGGCGATCTTGTCAGTCACGTAACCACCGATCCAAACGGTGAACGAGAGAGTTGCATGCGACCCACGGCACACAAGGTTGCGTGACCCTGCCTGGCGATTGTGAGTTCACCAGGCGAGCAGAACAGGGGTTCCTCCAGCTGAGTCTATCGTCGCCTATCCCAAAGCGGAAAGCGGTGAGCCAATATTGGCAGCGAGTCAGAGACTGGGCTGGCAACTAGGGTGAAGCGCACCTGCGCGATGATCCGCGTGTGGAGTTGAGATGTGCGCACATTTCCAACTCAGCCGCTTTCTACCCAAAATCCACGCAGCTCGTCAGTCTCCCGCATGTAGAACGCAAGCGAGCGATAAGACGGGCAGTCGGCCAGTCAAGGCAGCAAGGGTTCTCGCTGCTAATAATCGCTCGCTCAGGCCACTGCTCAGCCGACCGATCGCCTCTCTCCATCCTTTACGCATTCGCCGTGTCAGATAGATAGCGCGCCGCACCGCCCCTGTGCCTCTCTCTGGTCTGTCGCAAGGACCCTTGCGTTGGCAGTGCTCGTCAGCGTCGACGCTCAGCCTACTTGAGCTTGAGAGACCGCTCGACCTCTATCTCTACTCTCACCACCATCACCACCTTGTTCGTATCGAGGCGTGCTTCTTTCATCCATTTCCCCGCTCCATCCCTTGCCTATACTTCCTATCTCATCCTCACAATCTCCATCATCACAACTTGATTGCCACTTCTCACCACTCATAGTCGCCTTGCAATATGTACCCGAAGCGATACCTGAGCCTCTTGGCCCTGGCTCTCAGCCTCCCTCTGGCAGCTCTGGCTGCTCCTGCTCACCAGCCATTCGTCCCCGGATCTAGCGCAAATGCCTACTCCCCCTCCACTCGCTTTGCTCCTCTCACCGCCAACCCTGAACTCGAGACCATCCCGGGCGCTTACATGGTCGTCCTCAAGGATGGAATCAGCTCCAACGACTTTTTCGCACACCAGGGACTCATCTCGTCCGCGCAGCTCTCGGCAAACAGCTTCCACGGCGAGGACGCTCAGGGCATCCGCCACGTCTACGACCTCGAGGGCCACCTCCAGGGTTACGCAGGCAAATTCACCGATGATGTCCTCGACTACATCCGTGCTCAGCCCGAGGTCGAGTACGTCGAGATGGACACGCTCGTCTCGGTCGAGGTCATGCCCCAGGAAGAAGACAAGGTCTGGGACGTCGAGTACGACGACTCGCTCGCCGCCGCTGCCATGAAGACCACCAAGGTCGGCGCAAAGGACATCGAAAAGGGCGCCCCATGGGGTCTCGCCCGTATCTCGCACCGCAAGCGCCTCGGTTTGAGCACCTTCAACAAGTACGTCTACCAGGGCGATGGTGGTGAGGGTGTCACCGCCTACGTCATCGACACGGGTATCAACATCAACCACGTCGAGTTCGAGGGCCGCGCCCGCTGGGGCAAGACCATGCCTCAGAACGACGTCGACGAGGACGGAAACGGGCACGGCACCCACTGCGCCGGCACCATCGGCTCGCGCAAGTACGGTGTCGCCAAGAAGGCTGAGCTCGTCGCCGTCAAGGTGCTCGGCTCGGGCGGCTCCGGATCCATGTCGGACGTCACTGGTGGTGTGCTCTGGGCTGTCGAGGACGCCAAGCGTCTCACCGCTCAGTTCCGCGCCAACCCGCGCTCGGCTGCCGCCAAGAAGCACAAGGGCTTCGTCGCCAACATGTCGCTCGGCGGTGGCAAGTCGCCCACCCTCGACAAGGCCGTCAACGGTGCCGTCACCAGCGGTATGCACTTCGGTGTTGCCGCAGGTAACGAGAACCAGGACGCCTGCAACGTCTCGCCTGCCGGTGCCGGCAACCCGGTCACCGTCGGTGCCTCGACGGTCCAGGACGAGCGTGCCTACTTCTCCAACAAGGGCAAGTGTGTCGACATCTTTGCTCCCGGTCTCAACATCCTTTCTACATGGAACACCGGCAACACCTCGGTCAACACCATCTCCGGTACTTCGATGGCCAGCCCTCACATTGTCGGTCTTCTCGCTTACCTTCTCTCCATCTACGGTACCGACGACTTTAAGCTGCTCACCAATGCTGCTGAGCAGCTCTCGGTCGTCGACGTCGAGGATTCGCTCGCTTCCAAGCTCTCTGGCGTGATGCCCATCCCCGCCATGGCTCTCGACCTCGTCAGCAGCGTCGCTGGCTACTTTGCCGGCGGTGACGCCACCGCCAAGTCGGACATTGTCGGTGTCCTCTCCCCCAACGAGCTCAAGAAGGCGCTCATCAAGCTCGCCTCGCCCGGCGTCTTGACCGGTCTGGACGCCGACACGGTCAACAAGCTTGCTTTCAACAACGCCACCTCGTCCGCCTGAAAGCCTCGTTTTCGCTGCACCAGAGCTAAGCTCCACTGTCTTCTTGCTGCATCAGCTTTCTTGCATGACATGTGTTTCCGTTTCTTCCCGTTCTCGTCGCAAGTCGTGGTCCCGTTCTAGTCCCGCATTCTCTCCATTGTCCCGTAATCTCTATTCTGGCCTGCTCGGTCAATCATACATGGCACGCTCGCTCCAATTCAGGGCTTTCCTGCTGTACGCTCTCGTCAGAATCTCATATTCTCATGAACTTTGCCGTGTCAACAGTGTGACTCGAGGTTGTGTATTGTGTGGTTGGGCTCAATGTTCGTTGCAAGTGAGGACACGGTCAGAAAGATAAAAAGATGCGATGGAGATTGAACACATGTTCAATGGAGTTGTACAAGTGAAGATTTAATCGTCGTCCCAGTTTGGGTTGGCTTTTGGCGCCTTGATGCCTGCCGGCTTGGACATGATGATCGAGTCGACGGAGAGGACGCTGATGGCAGCGCCGGTTGCGTATCTCAAGGCCCAGGATTTTGCAGCCAGTACGTCGAATACCTGGGTTTGGGTGGTGGAGAGTGTTCCGTCGACTTGGTTTTCGATGTCTACGCCGACGTCTGCGCCGGCGGCATTGACGTGCTTTGCGTAGAGGCGCGAGACGGTTTCGGTAGAGTCGAGGCCGGCGTTTTCGGCGAGAGTGCGGGGTACGACTTCGAGAGCCTCGCCGAACTTTTTGATGGAATGCTGGTTGAGTCCCGGTGTCTTTTCTCCCAAATCGGCAATGCGTTTGGCGAGTTCGAGTTCGGTGGCGCCTGCACCGGGGACGAGACGTGGATCGCGGGTGAGAGACTTGATCACGTTGACGCCGTCGTCGATGGCACGTTCTACGTCGTCGAGCAGGTTCGAGGTGGCACCTCGCAGAACGATGGTGCACATCTTGGGTTTCGCCTTGCCTCCAGGTTGACCCTCCTCCTGCTTGAACACGGTGACCCGGTCACCACCGATCTCGATCGTCTCGATCGAGTCGATCCATCCGGCTTCTTCGGGCAACGGCGCACCGAGTCGTGCAAGAGGCGTAGCACCGAGCAATCGGCAGAGTCGACGCAACTCAAACTTGGAGAGGATCTTGATGACCAGGATGCCGAAGCGGTTGAGGTAGTGCTGTGCAAGCTCGCCGACCTGGGACTGTGTGACGACGACCTTGACGCCGGAATCGGCGATTTCCTTAAAGTACTTTTCGAGCTGCTGCTCTTCGCCGCGGGAGAAGTTGGAGAGTTCGTCGGCGTTCTTGAGGAGGACGGTGCCCTTGGTCTCGGTCTGGGTGATGTCCATGCCACATGTGTAGACACCGACTTTGGCGGCTTTCGCCTTTTTGATGACGCCTTCGGGTTCGCGACCAAAGACCATACCTCTTACCACCTGGGACTGCGACAAGCTGCCGCCCATGATCTTGACTACGCGGACGTTGTCGACGCTAAAATCGGCGAGACCGTTCTTGGCATTCTGAGGCAGCACCATGGAGACGGCTTCTGCGACCAAGGGAGCCAAGAGATCCTCGTTGCCGTACTGTTTGGAGGCGAGGCATGGCTTGAGCGCCAGTGCGAGGCTCTCGGTGGTGGGTGGGGTGGAAAGCTGGGCGACCGAAAGCTGCTCGAGCTCGGCGAGGCACTTGTCGCGTGCGATCTCGTAGCCTTGCAGGATCTCGGACGGATGCAATCCCATTGTGATGAGGTATTCGGCCTTCTTGAGAAGCTCTCCGGCAAAGATGAGCACGAGGTTGGTGGAGTCGCCCATCTCTGCTTCCTGCTGTTGACTCGCCAGGACGAGCAGCTTGGCGGCGGGGTGGACGACGTCGAGTTCTCGAATGATGGTGGCGGCATCGGATGTGACGAACAACCTCTCGAGGTGGTTGATGACCATCTTGTTGCGTCCGTTGGGACCGAAAGAGGTCCTTACGATCTCGGAGAGTTCATTGACCGCCTGAATGTTGCGAAGGACAGCCTCCTCGATGCCTTGGAAGTGCTTGTACCCCTCCTTGAAGAGGTTGGGCCCTCCTGCGCGTGGTACTTTGAGCGACATGGTGGAACAACGACGATGAGGTGAGGGTGATGAACGAGAAGAACACTCGGATGCACAGACTCTTTGTCGTTCGCGCTTTTGGGTGTGATGCGCACACTAACGCGCGATAAAAATCATATTCATTCCAAGTGTTCTTCTCAAAATGCAGAGCGAGCAGCGTGCGTGCGTTGGGTGTGTGTCGCTTTCGGGTGCGCGTGAGTGAAATGCTGAGCGTTTCCTTCTTCTTCCTTCGATCGTGCGGTTTTTCCTCGAAATCATAATGTCGATTCGGCGGTGTAACATTCTCGAGCCGGGGTCAAATCTCGCTCTGTTTCTCGCAAGTCCCTTGAGCTCACGTCGACATGCCCCGTTACAAACCAGGTAGCCAGGTGACAGGATGAGCATTCTGTTCTGCGTGCTCGGGCATCTGCGTACATTACAAGCTGCCCTTTGACTGTACAACGCTGTCGCCGTCGGGCTGCACAGCGTGACGCCAGAGGGTAGCATAGTTGGATGGTGTACATCCGGGTATCGATTTGAGCGCCGCCTGAGTCAGTCAATGGCAAAAGCAAAAGTCAAGTCAGCTTAGGGTTCCAGCCAACCAAGAGCGCAATCGTCTCTTCTCATGACACCTCATCGTAGATCGAAGCATGTACGTACCAACGAAGTCGGGCGCAGAAGCTCCAGCTTCTCCCGCAGCTGCGAATTCAGTCCGGGAACGCTGGCAAAGTTGAACCCCTCAGGGAAGCGCAGTCGTGTGTCCTTGTTGAAGGCTTCGATCTCGTGAGCTTGTCTCTCCAGATGCGGCCTGTATCTTGCCTCTGTCTCTACTCTATCCATCACCGCCTCGCTCAAGCCTGCCAGCTCCGGGATCACCGCAACCAGATCGCGGATGCCTAGCCGAGGCTGCTTGAGCATGTCCATACCGTCACGCTCGTGCGAGTCGCCAGAGCAATGGAAGCCGTGCTTCATCCAGCCGTGTGGGCTCATCCGCTTCGATCTGAGCAGCGCGAATGCGTGATCCATGTCAGCTTGCACCGTGCAAAAGCGTCGCCAACGCTGCTCGTCGATCGCCGAGGTGTAGGCTGCGCGCAGCAGCGGTGTCAGCCGCGTGTCTGCGTTGTCGGCGCGTAAGGTCATCCTGTACTCGCTCCGAGAGCTGAACATCCGGTATGGCTCCTCCACACCCTGCATCACCAGGTCGTCGATCATCGTTCCCACATAGCCTCCCGATCTGCCTATCGCGAGCGCATCTAGTCCGTTGACTTTGAGGGCCGCATTGATGCCAGCAACACACCCCTGAGCCGCGGCCTCTTCGTATCCTGTGGTGCCGTTGATTTGGCCTGCCATCCAGAGTCCTTCGATCCGCTTCGTCTCAAGACTGTGATGCAAATGTCGCGCGTCCACGTGGTCATATTCCACACCGTATCCTGGTCGGACCATCTCTGCTTGCTCAAGTCCTGGAATGCTGCGAAGCACCTCCAGCTGCTCCTCGGCCGGCAGCGTGCATGACAGTCCGTTAGGGTAGAGAACCGACCCATCGACGGTGCCTGGCCGGCCCTCGGGTTCGAGCCAAACCGGATGACTTTGCTTCTCCTTGAAGCGAATCACTTTGGATTCGATCGAAGGGCAGTAACGTGGCCCTCGGACTGTCTCTTTGATGTGGATCGACTTGTCGAGGTTATGCCGCACAATGTCGTGGGTTGCTGCTGTTGTTTGAGTGCCCCAGCACTCGGCTTGCTGGGCGGGATCGATATCGGGAGCATCGTTGAGAAAAGAAAACGGCGCTGGAACCGCGTCTCCGTGGATCACTTCGAGTCGAGGATCGACGTTGCGGCCGCTCTGCCACGGACTACCCAGGCGGACCGAGGAAGCGGCAATTCTCGCAGGTGTACCGGTCTTGAGACGGCCGAGCTCGAACCCGGCCCGGGCTAGACTCTGACTCAGACCGTCGGAAGCAGGGTCGTCATTTGCAGACGGTAAAGGTAGCATGCGCCCAGCCGGTCTTGATTCCAGACCTAAGTGGATGTCGGCGGAGAGAAAGGTGCCGGTGGCCAGAATGACTTGACTACAGCTGATGCTGTCGCCACCGACCGTCGTGACGCCGCGGACGACTGCCCTTCTGTGCTTTCCATCCGGACCCTGCCCTCCGTTCGACCAGTCCAGCTGCAATCCACGCACCTTGGCCTCGAGGATGGTCAGATTCGGGTAACCTCGCAACGCCTCTTGCATGTGTTGTCGGTACAGGGATCGGTCGATCTGCGCTCTAGGTCCATGCACGGCAGGTCCCTTCGATTTGTTGAGCATGCGAAACTGGATGCCAGCCTTATCGCCGACGATACCGCAAAGTCCGCCGAGCGCGTCGACCTCACGCACCAACGTGCCCTTTCCGACGCCACCGAGACTCGGATTGCAGCTCAGTTCGCCGATGCTTTGCTTGTTGGTGGTGACCAGAAGCGTTCGCGCTCCTGTTCGAGCTGAGCCTGCAGCTGCCTCGCAGCCTGCATGACCCGCACCGACGACGACAACATCGAAGTGCAGCGCAGATCGACTAGGTCCGGCAAGCGGCAAAGCCTGTGACGCTGTGGCAAATGGCCGCCTCGAACGCCGCATCCCTTGACGGCTGCAGCTTGCCACTGAGGAAGCGACAGTCCTGCCAACGCCTCGTCCCAGCATCGTGAGGTCGACGGCGATCGCCTTGTATGTCTATGTAGAGCAATGAGGTATGGTCCCGCTGTGGTTAGTGTGGTAGCACAACGAGAAGCAAAGTCGACAAATTTTAGAGTTGTGGACCCTTGACACGAAACCGTAACGCCGCATCCGCGTCTCGCCGAGTTACGCCTTGTCACCTCACGCCAACAAAGAGCGATGGGCCACTTCCACACAGACCAAGGTCACAGGCGATGGACTCTGGAGACAAAATGCATTGTTCGACACACTTGGCTTCTCGGATTGATCATCACGATGAGACCGACTGCAAAGGTGAGCTAGCTATACGAAACACGAAAAGAGGACGAAAGAAATACGACTAGAGGCGTACACCGGCAGAGGCCATACGGCAAGTTACGAGTAATGAAGACGAAAACAGAAGCGATGGTAGGAAAGCAGCTTTGGCTTTGGGCAAAGCGCCTTTCAGCGACGTCGGAGAGGAGTGAGGTCCTCGGTCTGCGCGCGAGCATGGCCAGCACGCTTCAGGCGATCAAATGCTGCCCGATTCGACGCATCGTGGACAGGTGTGCGGATCATCGACACGGGTCTCGGCGCCATAGGGGCTCCTCGCATCGAGCCTCGTTCCGAGGTCGGTGTCGAAGGTGCGACATTGTGCGGCGCTCTGATGGGCAAGCGCGATGGCGTGCTGCTCTGTGAAGCCGTCGAGTGGTGCGAGATGCGGCTGGCGTGGTCCAGCTCGGCAGCGTCCGGTCGACGCGATGGAGTAGGAGTGCTCACTGTGGGCGATGCCTCGACTTCTTCGGGAACGGTAGGCACCGGCTTGCGCGATTGCAGCATCTGCTGACTCGGCTTTCGGCCGCCGTTGTTGATGCTGCCGGATGTCTGTGCACCCATCTCCTCGAGAAGCGCCTGAGCCCACAGCGGGTTAGGTGGCACCTCGCTCTCGATGATGTCCGAGATGACCTTGACCCATTGCGACTTTTCCGCCTCGGTGTCAGCGAAGAAGCTGATCCGCTCTCCATCGGCGAAAGTGATGCGGAAGGAACGCTCGACGTGGTAGTTGGCGTCCGCATCCTCTTCTTCGGCCAGCGTCGCCGTCGTTGCATACGACGCCATGGTCCTGGACCTGCCGAGAGCCTGACTGGCGCCCGAAGGAAAGATCATGGATCCCGCATTGACGTGGTTGCCCACTTCTTCGATGCAAACCGCCTTGGAAAGGTCGATCTTGACGGTCGGCTTCTTGGTCACGGCGTTATAGCAGATCAGATGCTGACCCTGCGCCTGTACGGGACGACGACGCCAGCTTGCACAGTCGCCACCCAGCTGCGTCAACGTGCCTGTCTGCCAAGGCTGTGATCTGTGCCAAGCAGCGTTCTGCATTCCGCGCAGGCACTCGCCCAGATTTTCCGGAAGCCCATCGCGAGGGATGCTCGGCAAGGGAGGCAGGAAGAACAGCTTGAGGCGGAGCGTGCCGCGCACCTTGCTCAGATTCTGACGGAAGTCTTGCGAGAGCATCGATACGTGCGAACGCGATGCGACGCTGGACGGGCCGGAGATGCTACCTGTCGGGTTCGAGACGCCGTGAACCGGAAGATCGAGCACCATGCATCGGGCGTAGCATTGGCTGGCGACGCGCTCAAAGAGGACGCCGGTGCGTCCAAAGGCTCCCTCGCGGTTGATGTAGGCAAGCATGGGCTCGACCCGCGACGCCTGCTGGGCAAACTCTGCCGCTGCTTCACGCTCCTGCTGCTCTCGCCTTGCCGCCTGCTTTTTGGGGCTGCTAAAGAGGCGACTAAGACCCTTGAGCGTCGGGCTTCCATGCTCACGGCGCGTCGGCGACGGAGGACGCTGAGGCTCCACGAGGTGAGCGTCGCGTTGCACCACCAACGTCAAGCTGAATTCGAGGTTCTTGTGCTGAATCAGTTCGAACTCCTGGCCGATCGTGCTGGTCGCGCCGCGTCCGGCTCTGAGCGGCACTGTGGCTGTCTTGACCATGTGCAATCCGTTGTCGAGGATGCAGTGGAAGGAGGTCGGGCGCGACGGCACCGGAAGGTCGGTTGGCGTGAAAGAGTCGACCATGACGAAGACCTTGCCCGCAGCCTTGCGGGCGTTGGAGCTTTCGCGGAATTCGCGCATCTCCTTTTTGTATTCGTTGATATCGCTAGGTCGACGCAACTTCTTCCAGGCCTTTCCGCTGTCAACATCGCCCGCAGCTGTCGAGTGGGTGACTTTGTCGTCGACGCCCTTGAACGCGCCACGGTCGTTGACGTTGTAGTTGGAGTCGACCTTCTCGTAGATGCGCAGCAACTCCTTCTCCATATGAGTCTGGAAGCCGCCGTCGATAGCGCGCTGAAGGCTGACGTCGAGCACGGCCTTGCTCTTGACGAGGTCGGCGCTGATGCTTTGACGCGTCGGAAGCTCGACAGGCTCGTCGTCTCGTTCGCTGTTGGAGTTGGTCGTGGTCGAAGTGCTGGCAGTGTCGACATCGGAAGTGTCGGCGGCAGCAGCGGTGAAGGTGGCTCGCGCATCGCTGGTGCTCATGCTCCTCTTGCGACGTGCTTTGCCGTTCTTGCTTCGGCGTCGCGCGATGATCTGATCGGCTTGCTGAGCCGGTGTTAGATGAGCAGCAGGACTGTTGCGCTCTTGGCGATCGCTTGGTTCTTGCGGCATGTCGGGGAAGAGGCGTCCTTCGGAATGGGACTCGGTGCTGTCGAGGAGCGGCAGCTCGGAAACGCTGGCGCTAGCGTTGACACGCTGCGTCGTTGGCTCGTCGAGATTCGCCGTCACCTTCAGCTCCGTGCCCAACAAGTCTAGGGGACTAGCGAGTTGGTCGAGTTCCTTGACGGGGCTCGGAGGAGGGAGCGGCTTTGTCTCTGTAGCGATGACTTCTGTTGGCATCAGACGAAGAGGCGCACTAGGGCGTCCCGCAGGAAGGTTCTTTGGATGCGACACCGCCGCCTCTTGAGTAGAGGACATGGACGGGCCAGGCTCGCTACCACGCGGCATTCGCCTTTGCTGAAGTGTGTTGAGCTTCAGAGCAGGCGAATCGTTTGTGCTTGCGTCCAGCGTAGGACGGCTGTGAGCGTTGATGGTATCTGGCTCGGACATCGCTTGCTCCCTGGCTAGCTTCTCTTTGGCGACACGCTGGAGGATGGCGTCACGAGAAATGTGAGGTCGACCGCGGATCGAGCCGATGCGAGTTGTTGGAGGTGGGATCGGAGACGACGCTTGAGCAACCATGGGCTGCGTGCTGCTGCGGCCAAATTCGCCGAGGGAAGACGAGGGTACATCGACATCGAGGCTGATCGGAGTCCATGCGGGAAGTGGAGGAAGCGCTGCCTGATCAGGGCGCGGAGGATCGGCGACCGTCTCGATCTGAGCAGAGAGCGGCTCGTGTACATCTCGTGAGCTGGCCTCGAGCTGCCCAGCACGTACGCTAGGACTGGTGAGGATGTCGTTTCGGAGGAGCTCATCCATCATGCTATCGACGCGATCGGCAGCAGAGAGACGAGCGAAGCTGTTTTCGCGCTCGGGCACCAGGCCTCGCTCATCGTCGCAGGACGGAGTGGCAGCTGCATCAAGCTCCACAGAGAGATCCTGAAGTGGGAGGCTAGCGTCGCCGGGGATGGGACTGGGAGGACCTTCGACGGAGGAGGTCTCGTTGCTGTCGTGGGAAAGATCCGGTTCAGACTCGCCGGAGACAAGATCGGGAGCTTCGTCAGAGGAGACCTGTGCAGCATCGGCGTTGACGACCTGGAGCTGCGGCGCGGAGGATTGTGCATTTGCTGCAGCACTGCCGCGCATCCAGAAATCGGCATCTTGCGCGACAGGGGCGTGTTCTTCGTTGTCGTCGTAGATGCTGTCGGCATCGAAGCTGCTCTCCTTGTCGAATTCTTGGACGTCCAGGATCTCGTCAAAGGTGACAGTCTTCCTGCGCTCGCGGCGGAGTGGGCTGGGCGATTCGATCCTTGAACCAAGATCTGCAGGAGAGGCTTGGGAAGAGCCGCTCATGAATCGTGGACCGTGAAGCCTGTTGGATACAAGCAAACCTTTGGAGGCAGAGGCAGGACTGGAATGGTTTGGCGGCTGGCCTGCTGCGCGAGTGGGCGTGAGGGGTGGTGACGAGACTTGGTCTGCGTTTCCATTGTGCTGACGAAAGACCGAGTTGCTGACGTAGTTGGACTCGTGCAGTCGGCCCAGACTTTTGCGCGGAATCTTGCGCTGCGGACCTTTGGCGGCGGGAACGGTGGCGTAGAGGTTGAAGGGATCGCTATTCTCCGCGTCGTGAGCGAGAGGGGAAGCGTCGTGCTTCAAGCTCTGCTGGACGGCTTTGGGCGAGTTGGAGATGCCGATGCCAAGACCAAAGGAGGGAGAGGGCAGCTGTCTGCGAGACGGGGAGCCGAGGGGAGAATTGGTGAGCGAAGATGGCTGACTGCCACCATCGATCTGTTTGAAGATGCTGTTGGAAACGAGGCCATGCCCACGAAGCGCCTTGAAGTTTTGTGTCTGCTTCTTTGGGCTGTGAAGCGAAGGATGGTCCTCGTTGGTGTGTTCGGGGGAAGCTTGTGAATAGGATACAGTGGACCCTCGTTTAGAGGTTCGAAGAGGAGACCATCCACCTGTGCTTGCGCCGAGGATGGCTGCTGTCGAAGAAGGTGGTGTGGCAGATGGGAGGGCACTGGTGGAGCCAGCGCTGGTGTTTGGGTCGCTCATTGCGACCTGTGTCGGATGCTACGTGAGATGGAGGATGTTCGCCAGAGTGTCAAGGAGCGAGAATGGGTGTCTTCGTTTTGAGGACCGTTACAGGGACTGGGGCTGGTGGTCGAGAAGGATGAGGGGCAAGTGTTCGAGGATAGGCTCGTTGGACGTCCACCTCGATGGACCGGCGTAGAGTGACAGTCGGGACGGCGTGTGTTTGACAGGCGCACTCGCCTCAGAGTGTGAATCTGGTGCGCAAAGGGCGCCCAGGTGTTGAACATCTATTTCTTATTTTTCCCTTTCACCCCTCACTCACTCGCATATTCATGCACCACGATTCCGTTGGCCGCTGCGATGGAGTCGTGCATGCAGCCAACCGTGCGCCATGCTCGAGGCTGACCTTGTCGCTTTCTCTTCTTGCGTCTCGTTGCGGGGTCCACTGGGCCACGAAGGCTCAGTGCACAGCCCAACCTGGCTCAGCGAGACTCGCTTGTTCTGCTGGCAGCAACGGCTCCCATTTGTTTCGGCAGATCCGATGGACAGCGGTGGTCCATCTTTGACATGTATGGGAAGCCCGAGATAGATAGAAGCAGCAGCATTCACACGATACCCTCTTCTCGTGCCCGTTGGACCGTCTTGACGGCTTCCGATGGCCAAGCGTGGGAAAACTTGTCGCCTTCCCTGCGCAGGTCGGCCACACCTCTCTGTGATCATGTTCGGGTAGGCCAGCACATCTTTCCCGTGCCGCTTGACAGCTTTGCGAGCATCAAGCTTCCCGTCTGTCCACCTGCGCCTCAAGATACAGGTAGCCTCACGCTCTGGTGGAGAATCGAGGCGATCCATGGAATCGAGAGTAGAGGAAAGGTCGCCTGCCTTCGCGTTGACGCGTTGGAACCGATTTCCATCACGTGCCCTTGTCTCGAGAATGATTTTCCGAGACTCCGCGGGCTGCAGACTCAACGGGCGAGTATTGGCGCGCTCAAGGGAAATCACTTCTTCTTCCAAACGCAACACAGAATTGCACGTCGGGAGTTCGGTCGAGGCTGTGATTGCAGTGTGATGTAGTGCAGTGTTGTGCAGCAGTCTCAATCATCGACATCGGAATCGAAGGCTATAGATACGGGAGAAGGCGATCGGTTCAGCGCAAAGCTCGTCCGTCCAGCAAACGAAGCGCACCGCTCTGCCACGCGCGTCCGTTGCGTAAACATGTGCGAGTTATCCTGCGTAGGCGATTCCATCACCAGACTGTTGCTGGGAAACACCAGCTTGGGCGTGTCGATGTGAGACAAGTGGTTCAGGCTCACGTTCATCGTTTTGCTCCCCGAATCCTTCTGCGGGGTCGACATGACCAGGAATGGCCTTGATCCGCTACCCGACGACCCTCCGTCGTGCGTAGCCGCAGCTGCGAGGGAAGGTTTGTGAACGAGAGCTGCCGGCCGTGCGTTGCTTGTCCTTCCTGCAATGTCGATCCTCTGTGATGCCGCCTCTGCTTTCACGGCGCGCGGAGCAAGTGTGCTGACGGACTGAGTAAAGCTAGCGTTTGTGCTGCTTCGCGAGAACACGCCCGTGGAAGCGCGTATCTGGTGACCAGGCCCAAGGTTCGCACTGACGCTACGAGACAGTCTTCGCCCCATGTCTACTTCCCGTCCGCGGCCCAGCATGCTGGATCGCTCGGCCAAGACGTTTCGCTTGACCCTTCTTCCCACCTGCTCCTTTTCCAGCACATCAGACAGCCCGCTCCCCGACAAAGACATCGTGGACGCTCCGACCGCTGCTAAGCTTGTGTTCCTCTTGGGTGCCCGCATCGGTGGCGAACCCGACGATGCTGGGCGAGCGCTTTTGCTTGGTCGCGCCGGCGTTCGCGACTGGAGAGACACGAAGCACTTGCTCCTGAACAGCGAGCATTGCCGCGGCAGGCTCGCCTCGAAGTGCGGTTCCACTACGCACGAACAAAGCCACTGCGCGTCGTCCATATCATCGTCTTCAATTAGTTTGCGCAACGCTGAACCGAACAGCATTGCTTTCGGTTTCGCTTTCGATGGGACATCCTTGCCGTCAGACATTGTTTCGGCGCCCATATCCGAGAGCAGGTCGCCGATCTCTGAGCCGATACCGGAAGCAACCTGTCGTAGACAGAGGATGTCCACCAACGCTTCGAGCCTCTTGCTCAGGTGATCCACTGCCAGCACCTCTCCTCCCTTGATCTCGAGAAGCTCGCCCTCTCCGCCTTCGGCGTCATCGTGCGACGAGTCGGTTGCGAGCCGTCTGCGCACTTGCTGGTTCCATGCAAACGCGTCGCTCGACTCAGAGCTCGGCCGTGTACCTCTCCAACGCTTGGCCTTTTCGAGCTTTCGCGATCGCTTCCGCGGCTGTTCGCTGTCGGCCTCAGGCTCCGGGGCCATGTTGACGCTTGTCGCAGTGTCCTCGACGATATGAGAAGAGCTGACTACGGTCATACGAGCGCGCGCGGCTTCCAAAGCTCTCGGATCCTGCGAAGCAATATGCAACAGGCACATGGTGATCAAGATTTGCAGCTGGGTCCTGTTGTACGAGCGAAAAACACAATGGTAAGTCAGCACACTGGGTCGCGGATCGCATCTTTGGTCACTCGATGACACTCACTCGCGACTCTCCATGGACGAGACCAGGCGGTCGCGGAGCAGGTCCGTCTCCCCGGAAGTAGCAGCAGAAGCCACTGCCTTTGTAGTCCGCTGAGCAAGCATCAACTCGTATTCTGTCGGAGTGTGCTCACCAAAAGTCGCGCTTGACTGGTTCAGGCCTGGAAACAGCTTGCTCGCAATGACTTTGTGGCGGCGAGAGATGGCGCTGTTGGATCTGGTAAGCTGGCAAAGACCCAGCAAGACATCCTCCAGATCGTGCGACGACCTGAGGCGGTCAATGCAGTTGAGAAAATGGGCTAGTCCCGTGTGATGCTCTCCGAGCCAGAGGGTTTCCACATAGCAACTCTCCAGCGTCTGTTGGGAGTTCGATTCGTGCTGGTGGCTCTGATCGTCCGGTATCGTTTTGTCGTGGTTGCTGAACCAGGAAGTAGCTTCGGGTTGCTCCAAGTAACACGCATGATCTATGTAGAGCGTGCTTGTTGCGGTCGTCGCCGGCCGCGATGGGCCAGCCTGGCAGTCAAGGCTGTGCCCATGAGTTTCGACCAGCAACGCCATGGACCGCGTATCAGCTGAGGAAGTTTGTGCGCGTTGTCGTTGAGGGGAAGGAAGGGGGATCCTTGATGTTCTTGGCTTGGTCAAATGAATATTTCTTTGCAGCACCAAATTGCGCAAGCTGCAACACCTCCACTCATCAATCTACGCGAGACGCGCCACGCGAATCATTTCTTCTCAACACCTCTCAAACCCTGGAGATCCGCTACGACAGCCAGACGAGCATCGTTGATTCCCATCTTCTTTGAACATCACGCTCATATCTCGTTCATCACAAGTCGTGTCCCACACACTGCACGTCTCTGTCCCAAACTTTGCGTTGTCTGACTAGATGTGGCGCGCTGTATCAGAAGTCGAACTCAACCGTCCAGTCCGAGACAACGGCAACGCCGGGGTCTTTGACGATCAGCTCCGACGCCTTGCTCGAGCCAAGTCCGAAGGCAACGCCTTTGCTCGATGAACTCGTACCGCTCTTCCAGTCCCACTCGACTGCAGTGGCTGTTGTTTGGCCTCCAACGCGCTTCCCGTCGATCCGGATCGCTTTTGGCTCGCGTTCCAAGCCGAGCACCACCAGCTTTGACACACGTACCCCTTTGATCGATTCTGCGAACGCGTTCTTGTCGTGGTATGGGAGAAGCTGCTTGCTATCTCCGAGTACCAAGTGCGTGTCAGCCATCTTCACCGTGGCCTCGTCGATGCTGCGCAGAGAGTCTGTGCCCGACGTTCTGTCTCGCGTCCATTCGAATCGACGCCAAACAAACTGACCCTCTTCAAAGTCGTATGTCTGTCCATCATCCAGGTACAAGCTGCCCTCGGCGAGCACATTCGACGAGCCGCTCTTTCCTGTACGTTCCTTCTTGTCCAGCGCGATCACCAGCGTGAAAGGATCGGAACGACCCAGCTCCGCAGCGCGTCTCGCGCGCTCTCGCAAGGGAAGGATCGATCCGCCGCGGTGCAGCAGCGGCAGTTGTTCGGTCAACGGAGCTGGCACCGTTACGCTTCGTCCGCTTTCGGATCCTTGGTAGATCTCGTGCGTAAAGAAGTTGTAGTACGGTCGGTCTTCGGCCAGATAGACCTGGACCGATTCCACGTCCTTGTCCACCGCAGGACGTACCAATAGACCCGAGTCACCGATGTAGTACTGCGTGTCGATGTGGAACCCATCGGCATGGCCCGGGAACATCAGGTACTGGGGACGCAGCACAGGCATTCCGGTCACTGCATTGTCCTTGAAGGCCGTGTACCACATCGGAAGCATTTGGTAACGCAGCTTGATGAGGTCCCTCACAGCACTTCGGAGCGGCTCTTCCAGGAGGTATGGCTCGCGCCTCTTGGTGTCTATATGCGCGTGAGCTCGGAAGAAGGGCTCAAAGATGCCCGCCTGGTACCAGCGCACCAGCATATCTGGTGAGGGGTTGCCGAAGAAGCCGCCGATGTCGGCCCCGCAAAAGCTCATGCCTCCAATGTTGTTGGCCAAGATCATGGGTACGCTGACCGCGAGGTGCTCCCATGTACCGAGATTGTCGCCTGTCCAGATGGCACCGTACTTTTGGGTGCCGACCCACCAGGCACGCGAGAGCACAAACGGTCTGCGCGCTTTGCCACCTCCGAGCGACGCAGGCACGTTCAACTCTCGATCGCGAAGGCCACGCGCGGTCTGGTTGTGGAAGAGGATGCCGTTGATGTTGTGCAGATCCCTGTGCTCCCAACCGCCTGCATGAATGACGTCCTTGGGTGAGGTGACCTCGGGGCCGTTGAAGATGGCGGGCTCGTTCATGTCGTTCCAGACAAACACGTTGCGAGCATTTGCGCGAATCTTACCAGCGAGCTTGCTGCCTGCCAGGGAAAACTGGTCGGCCCACCACTGCCAGCTGGCAGGCTCAAACATGTCGAGCCAGCTGGCGCTTCCACTCCAGCACCAGCCTTCGTACTCGCCTTTGCCGTCCGAGTCTTTGACCAAGAGCTTCTTGTCCTGAGCATCAGCGTAAAGCCAGTAGTCTCGGGTGCGCTTCAAGTGGGGATCGACGATGATGACGAGCTTGCGCCCCTTGTCATCGAGCGCCTTGACCATGGCTTCGGGATCCTTGAAGGCCTTTTCGTCCCAGACACCGTACATGTGATCCTTGCTGTACTCGATGTCGAGCCACATGACGTCCATAGGGATGTCCTCGTCGTCGAATCGCTGGCTGACATCTTTGACGTCGGTATCGGTGAGGTAGTTCCATCGACACTGGTGGTACCCGATGGCAAAGTACTGGGGCAGCACGGTGCGACCGACCGTCTTGGTGAAATGAGCCATGTTGGTCTGTGCATCTGCAGAGGTGAAGATGAAGAGGTCGAGGATGCCTGACTCGGAGAAGAAGTGCGAATGAGAGTCGACGCCGGACGCTTTCGAGGTGGACGAAGTGGACTTGTGTAGATCGATCCAGGTTTCTGCACCATTGAGCCAAAAGACGCTGACAGCACGGTCCTTGCTCTGCGCATGCAGTACGGGAACGCTGCCGTAAAGGCTCATGGGGGAATCGTAGTCGTACTCGAAGACGTCGGTGTTCATGAGTCGATATGGCTCGTTGAAGCGACCCTCTTCATCCTGAGCAGCGTCGAGTCCGATAGGAGCCCTTGTGGAGCGCAAGGAAAGAGGCGAGGCATGCTCGGGGAGGCCAAAAAGGTGCGTGTACCCGGGGAAGGTGATGTCGAGGGCCAGCGCTTCTGGACCTTTGGGCTTGCTGTCTCGACGAGAAGCCCAGGTCTCTTCCCATTCGCCTGAATCCTCTTGCTCGAAGCCGGCCCATTGTGATACGAGCGATTCGCTGAACTGAGAGGCAGAAGGGGCGCTGAGGATGGATCTCTTGTTGCGTTGGAAGACGAGCTGGGGTACTTCCTGATCCTCTTGCTTGACTGTGGGGAAAGGCTCGGGCTTCTGTCGATAGTGTTCCATGTGCAAGAGTCCACGATCGTTGAGAACGACTTGCGTCTCACCGTCGCGCAGAATCTCGAGCTTGAGGGGGGAGTAGGAGAGCTTGAGGGAGCGCGAGAGCTGTGGGCCAAAGTCGAGCTGGAAACCGTGCGTGTTGGTCTGCACGCGGGTGTCGGAAGGGTCTGAGGCCAGCTCGGGAAGCTGTTCGATCGCCCAAACTGCCGCCTCATCGTAGCGCTTCCAGCCGCCATATCGGTCGCCTACCTGGTCTGCGCGGACGCGAGCAGTGCCATCCTTGAAAAAGGTGAGGGAGAGCTCGAACTGGATGTCAGGATGGAGCGCAGAGGACAAGGGCAAGGTGATGCTGGCATTGGTGTGCACAAAGGTGGGCGCGTGGTCCGGGACAAAATAAGGCGAAGTGAAGCGCTGGTTGTGGTCTTTCTGCCATTGCTCGACGTAGTCCGATTGCCTTCGTATCCTTCGACAGAAGGACGAGTCGCGACACTTTTTGAAGTCGTGCTCCCGTACCGCCTCGGCGCGTTGGGCGACCAAGGCTGCGACGATGAAAAGGCAGCTGCATAGCAGAGTGCACGTCCAGCGGCGCTTGCTGATCATGTCGACGTACGTGCCCGAGATGACAATCGACCGGGAAGAGTTGAGAAGGTGGCAGGAAAGCAAGCTATGGGTCGTTTCACGAGGCTTGTACCTTCTGGGCTCGGTCCGTGCCATTCTGTGCTGGTCATTTCGGTGGTCATTCTCGCACGGTTCTCGAGCGTTGGGTCGGAAATCGGCGTTGCCAACCTCGACCAAGCTGATTTTTTGAATTCGAGAAAGAAGATTGTTTGGCAGTTTGAGCACTTTTGGACCCTTTTTGGTTGCTCACATCTTCTTGTTCGTCATCAAATCACAAGCTTGCCATCGGAAGTCAGGCTCCGATTCTATCACGCAGACTACGATTTCACATACAACGTCACGGACCCCATTCAGCGCCGTTTCGTCGCTCCCCCAAGCTATTTCGAAATGGTCCTGTACGTCATCGGCCTAGGCCTCGCCGACGAGGACGACATCACACTGAAAGGCTTCAAGGCCGTCAAGTCGTCCGAACGCATCTATCTCGAGAGCTACACAAGCATCCTTATGGTCCCCGGCTTCAAGGAACGACTCGAGGCGCTCTACGAAAAGCCCGTGATCCTGGCGCATCGCGAGACAGTCGAACTCGAGGCCGAATCAATACTTGAAGGCGCTGCCACCTCCAACGTCTCCTTCCTCGTCGTCGGAGACCCCCTCTCAGCGACCACGCATACCGACCTCATCCTACGAGCAAAGCAGAGTTCGCCTCCCATCCCTGTCAAGATCATCCACAATGCCAGCATCATGACCGCCATCGGCTCCAGTGGCTTGGCTGGTTACAACTTTGGCCAGACCGTCAGTGTCCCTTTCTGGTCAGAGGACTGGAAGCCAGACAGCTGGCTCGAACGTATTCGCGAGAACCTCGACATCGGTCTCCATACGCTCGCACTGTCCGATATCAAGGTCCGCGAGCAGAGTGCACAAGACATGAGCAGAGGCATTCTCCGCTATCAGGATCCTCGCTACATGCTTATCCCTCAGCTCATCTCACAGCTCAACTCGGCGGCTCGATCCCACAATGCCGATTACCTGCATCCAGAACGTACCCTTGCCATCGCGCTATGTCGTATGGGTTCCGAAGAGGAGCGTATCGTTTCTGGCACGCTGCAAGAGCTTCTCGACATGGCGAACCCTACGCCCGAGCAAGCTCAGGCCGAAGAAGCCGAAGATGACGCCGACGAAATGGCCAGCGAGGCCGAGCTCGACAAGCGACGCGCTGCACGCGCCGAAGCCCGCGCAAAGAAGGCATTCGGTGAGCCCCTCCACAGTCTCGTCATCGTCGGCAAGCGTCTCCATCCCCTCGAGCGCGATTACGCCGCTAGCTACGCTTGTCCAGGTAGCAAATTCGTCGAGGTTGCCAACGACGTCTATGGCTGCAAAGAATGACATGTACCACCCCATACCCTCCGATCTACGAGCACAGCACGCAGAACATGGATCCACCTGGCTCTCACCATGCGCAATGCATACGATTTTCACGGGCAACAGCTCTCGACGGTCGTTGTGAGCTTGCAATATGGCTTTTGATTAATTGGACTGACAGCACTCTGTCGCAGATGGTCATGTGGGCCGCAAATCTCGAATCGTGTCCGGCGTGCCGCTGCGGCCATTCTGTGGCGACCCTGAACGCCACTGTTCAGGCGTGCCGGATCGAAAAAACCTGCTCAACGCAGGCTTCTGTGACTTGAAACCACTGCCATGAGTCGACGAAGGACGCGGACTTCCCCGCCGCTCTGTCGCCTCCGGGTTGGTGTTGACTCTCGCCTCGCCTTCTACCTTCTGTGTCTTGCCATCGATCGTAGCCTGTCTGGATCTGCGTAAACTGTTGCTGTGGCCGATGCGTCGGGGCAGCACTCGATGCCACGCGCCTCCCTCGGATTCTGAATCTGAGCTCGACAAATGACCGTCTGTTTTCGCAATACTCGCATGCCTTTCAGGCTGGGCAGAAGGAACGAACGGATCCGGAGCAGCGGCTGGCGGGATTGAGGTAGCAGAGACGACTTCGCTGGCTGCAGTGATCGGGTGCCCTTTGCCGGCCTCTTGTACGTCGTGTCTCTCCTTCGGTCGATTCGACGTTTGGTCGACGGTGAAGTCCTCCGTAGGGTCCAAATTGATCAGATCTGACTTTGCCGCACGGATCACCTTGTCCTCGTCTTCCGACGTATACGCAGCGTTTTCGGACGCCTCTCCATTCTCGGATCGCTCTGTCCAGTCTGAAGACATTCCCGCAATGTCATCGATCGCATTCGATCCGTTCTTCTTATCTCGTCCAGGTGTACTGTGTCGTTGCCCATGGGCGAATCCTTGCTCCTCTTTGTTGGCATTCGTTGGTCGATAAGAGCGTGGGGTGCGTCTGATCCTGTCTGAAGACGGCGACAGTCCGAGCTCGGCTCTCGGATGCGATGCTGCGGACGGAGCGGCGACCTTGCTTTGCCATCTGTGACGAGTCGTGGCCATCTTCGAACGTGATGAGACTTTGGCGAAGCGACGACGATCTGCTACGCGGTCCAAAGCGTCCAGAGTCTCCAACAGCGTGACGAGACGACTCTTGCTTCGCGGATGCGAAAGCAAGCCAATGAGAGACTCCCCACCTAATCCGGAATGGCCCACCATGCTCCTGGCGTGATGTTTGCTGGTGCTCCCTCTCCTCTGCGTCTGTGCCGGGGTCCTCGGGCTTGCACTGATGTCTTGAGCCCTCGGCGCGGCGGCCGAGACGTCAGAGCGTGATTCGCCCCGTCTGTTCTCGCGAGACGGAGAGGCTTTGGATGGCCGAAGATGGAGACTTGGCCCAGCTGAATGCATAGCCCTGCTCGGCGAAGCAGGAATCGCAGCCTTGGTTTCGATCTGAGCTTCTCGACGTTTCGAGCTGCGTCCAATCTTGTTGAAGCCAGCATGGAGGAGGGGCACGGTTCTTGAGCCTCTTGTCAGACCCACGAAAACGAAAACAATGAGCAGCATGATCAGTTGCGCAATGGAGAGCCTTTTCTCGAGGAGCACCTCTTCGGCGAGGATCTGGACCTCACGGAGCAGCGCTCGGCGCTCGTTGTCGGCCTGTTGACGGTGGACGTCGAATTCGAAGATGGTGCGTTGCAAATCCACATGCTGCCTCCTCTTCAGTGACTCGATCTGGTGCCAATTGCTGGCATTCAAGGCTCTCAGCATGGCTGACATGCGCGTCTCTTGCCGTCGTTCCATGCGCGAAAAGACCTCGCGCAGCATTTGTCCACTGTGCTCGATGTAGCTGTGACTCAGAGTGGCGTTGGACTCGAGAGCATTGAGCCGCCTGTGGATAGCTCGATAGACCGACTCGCTGCCCGGATTGGCCTGCTGGCTTGGCATGCTTCCACCGGGCCGTTGCGTGTTTACACGCCGTGTCCGATCGACATCGGACTCAGCTGAATCTGAGGCAGGGCGCGACTTGGCTTGCTGATCATCTGTGCCTTTGGTTCGCTTTGCGGTTGTGTCGAGAAGTGGTGGATGGGTGTGCTTGGCATCGGCGCGGAAATGCTTGACATGGTAAAAGGGGCTTGTTTGCGCTCGAGGTCGGATGCAGAAATCGTGCGCTTGGGCTTGGTTTTTTGGATCATCCTCGAGCGCACATTGTTCTGCACGAGCTTCTGATGATGCTCCATCGTCGCGTTGGGCGTGCGGGTGAGGAATGGCCAACTTGCCGGGTTGTTCCACTTGAAGTTGTGATGGTGTTGGCTGCGAGGATGCGTTGTCAAGTTGAGCCACGAACGTGTCCCCAATGTCGATCTCTGCAGCTTCGTGGGTGACGGTCTGATTTTGTAGCTTGCGCTGGAAGGCTTGCTCGTGTTTTCGCCAGACATCTTCGTCCTGCGATGTGAGACCAGGAGGGTCCAAAGGGAAGTTGGCCTCTCGAGCCACTGGCGCCTCGACAGGCGTTGCATCTGCCGAGGTGAGCAGGGACGGATCCGCAGCGTCGACAGACTCGTGTCCAGGCTCACCGATCTCGGAAGCGGGATCGAGCTCGCCACTGTGTTCTTCAAACCCTCTTTTGTACTCCTCCATCTCGGTGATCCCGTACACGCGTAGTAGGCTGACGGGGCAGTAATACTCGCTGCCGAAATGCTCGAGAAAATCGATGCGGACGTAGCGGAAGAATGCTTCTGAGCGTGGCGCAGAGGGTATACGAAAGACCTGCTGTCCTCGGACGTTGCGAGCTCGGAAGGCGCCAAGCGGCGTCCAGTCGCTTTCCCGACCAGTCAATTGGCGAGCCGCCGTCACGGTGAACTTCTTGAACATGTTGCTGAAGAACTCGTAGTTTGCTAGCACAAGGGTGTCGATCTTGATCTCTTCGCAAAGCTCGACAATGACGAATTGACTGGCGCCGTTTTGCTTGCGACCCGGTCGCGGACATGGCGAGAGCATGTAGCGATCCTTCTTTTCGCTGAGGATGGAGCTCGCGAATTTGGCCTCTGGATTGGTCCTGTGCACGACGGCGGCGCAGTCCAAAGAAGCGAAATTCCAGCGATGTCGGAGCTTTGACAATTGCGAGCTGGTCGCGCTAGCTGCGACACTGAGTCCCGCCTTGGGAACGGATGACTGTGGCACATCCATCGGTGGATGATCCGAAAGGGGCGCATCGCGCGCCTCAGTGTCGCTAGGCGCCGAAGTCGTGGTCGGAGACGGAGGTGCCGAGTGGCCGACATCGCTCGAGCGTGTCCTGTGAGCAGTCGCTTCTCGGCCCGGTTGCGTTTCCGCATCGCTTGGCCAGTCGTCCTGTTTGAGTGCGGTCTGTTGTGGAAGCGCCGCCGAACCAGGCGAAGCGGATCGTGCGTGCGTATTGCTGTGTTTATCGTTGGTGGGCGCAGTATGTGAGCTTGCTTGTTGGGAAAGATCGGAAGGATCCTGAGCGTGCCGCTTCTTCCACTCGTTGAAGCTCAGGAACGCGCCTTGCTCCTGCTCAGCTGACCAGGCGTCGTACTCGCTCAGGCGAGAGGCATCTTGACCTGGCGACGGTGGACCATCGGCCTGTTTCGAAGCAGGAAAGACGTTCGAGTTGGAAGGATCCGAAGTCTGAGCTTGCTGTGTGGCTTGACTCGGAGCTGGATGCCATTCATGCCTTCCGTCCCTCTGTCTCCAGAATCCCTCGTCGTCGGGACCAGGGTACGAAGCATGTGCTTGGTTGGCAGGTGTTTCCGCGGCGATCTTGTCGGATCCGGCGGAACCGGCCAGCTCTGGCAGTCCCCCGCCTTCAGAACGCTCCTTTCCATCCGTGCCTTGCACCACTATCGTTCCAGAAACGGCATACGTCGCACTCGTCGGCCTCTGTGATGCCGAACCTCTGGGCTCCTCGCGAATAAGCGGTTCGACCTGTGGGAGCTCGCAGACAAGCAGGTCCGCAGTGACGGCTGGCGAAAGCAAGCTCGACCTTGCTTGGCTTCCTACGTTTGAGCCATCCGAAGGTAGGTTGCATACGGAGTCGAAGAAGTCGGTCGATCTCTTGCATCCAGGACGAAAGCTTACTTGATCTGCGTCCTTCACAACAAGCGATCCGGCTGGCAAGATGTGAGATGAGGATCGATCAGCCCCTTTCGAGGAATCTGCGTCAGACGACGGAGCATCTGCACCCCTTGAAGGTGCTCCCGAGTCCAGAAGCGAGCGGGATGGTCCGATGAACTGAGCTGACGCGAGCAGTGCCAACGGCCAGGAGAGCATCGGCCGCATGGCGGGCGTAATCCCTTCGATTGAGCCGCTCCGATTGATCCGTACGGTTCATCACAGCGCGAAGATCGCTATGGCCAGTGCAAGGAGCTCAATGTGATCCTCCCAGATCTGGATGGTGGTCAGAAGGCAAGAGGTGGTGTGGCCATAGCGGTGATGGTAGGATGTGCATGAGGAGGCCGCCACGGAAACGTGGAGGTTATGTACCCTCTCTATCGCCGACCCTTGGAAATTGTTTCCCGACTCCCGGATGGCAAGGCCGACGGCGTTGACGCCTTTCGTGTCTCACCATCGTCATTGAGCATGCCTTTGTGCACCCGGCCTGCAGATATCCTTCCCTCGACAGCCCCACATCTTGTCAATGAGATTCCCGCAGGCCGGCCTTCTGTGCAATGCCGATGACAGGTTTTTAATGATGTCAAGGCCAACACAGACGTCAAGAGGCTGTTCCACCAACACGTTTCGTCGAAATTGGATGGTTGTTTGACTTCATAGAATTGCATGTGGATTGCCCCTCTACCGACAAAAGCGGCATTTTGCGATGCATCAAAGGCGCGTAAAAAGCCAAGTGCGTACACTGATAGCTGGTCTGAAGCGAATGTAAAGATGATATGCCTTATCATCATGATTCCGTCTGTGTCAGTCGATATGGTACTGGGAAGTGGGAGCTCGCGGAAATTAAACTCGAAAAACCCCGGTCGAAGAAAAACATCTGATTTTCGACGGCACAGGAATTTATAGCAATTTGATGATTAAAAGACAGCGCTGAGCGCAAAGTGGCGGAGGATCTCTTGAAAAAGTGTATGTCGTGGATCTCTGCTGCGCGCAAGCAAATAAGACGAGCGTGACATATGACGAAGATACTGTTTTTGTCGTGGTTTTTCAAATACTTCCCCATTTGAGCTGCTGCACAAGGAGTGTAGTACAAGAGCTCGGAACAGCAGTTGAAAAATCGTCTCAGCTCTTTATCGTTTCTTTTTTGGGTTTTTTTGTACCATGGACGGCCACACCGTGTCGTGCAAATCATTAGGTGGCAGCTGCCCGACAATTTCGACAAAGATCATCACACTCAATCGCAAGACCCTTAATGTAACATTATTTACTATTACAAACAAAGCCAAAAGAACTTCAATAAGCATTTCGAAACTCTCGTTGTCGCTTTGCATTTGTTAACGATTCATTAACTATGCGAATTCTCTCCGATTGTTTTTAAAAGAAAGGCTACCCTGCCCACGCTGCAACATAAAAAGCAGCTGACATTCTATTGTGTGTACTACCAACAGACATCTGCTCGACTTGCAAGAGTGAGTTACGTATATAGTCCCGCATATATGCCTCACTTGACTTGAACTGATATTGATAATTTTGCTGCGTCGCCTCTTCTCCGCTTGGCCAAGGGTTGGCTGATTTTCACACAAAGAGGATCAGTATTTTGTTTTGGCATGCGTGTCTTTGACCGGGACAACGACCTCGAATTTATTTGCAATCATCTGGTCGCGTATCGCGCTGCTCAGCGACTGGACGATGTCTAGAAGGCGACTCCGTCCAAGACCCACCCAACTGCTCGACGGAGGTGATTGCGACCAGCAAGCGGACATCACACTTAGACGATAGGCGACGAACGTTGAAGATGGTGATGAATGCTACTGGCGGAGAAAGGGAGTTCGACGCTGAACACGTTCGAGGGACCACACTTCTATATCGACTCGTCGTTGTGGCCAGGAGAGCGGGCCCGGGTCGACTTTGCCGAAACCGGCACTGCACACAGCTTGGAAGTTATGGATCGCAACATTCCGCTTTGCAGGCAGCGGAGATGAGGTACGATGATCAATCTTGCTCCCCGTCATGTGGATGCACATGAACTCAGGCTCACATACGAGAAGAAGAATGCGTGACGAACTGTTATTGCTAATTCCATTTTACATCCCAAGAAGCGGTAACTTTTGACAGAGCATAGCAGCTGGCCTTCAGAGCAAGCAGCGTGCGGATTTTGAGGGTGGACTGGGCAGTCGAAGCCCGTGGTGTAGTTGCGAAGAAGGTAAGGGAGGGTCGACTAACGCGGGGTGACCTGCATCAGAGTGGGAGTGACAAGCCTAGTTCTTGTCGACGGACGACTCGGAGGGCTGCTCGCTCTCGCCAGAAACACGCCTCATACCGGCGAGCTCGTTGCTGACGCAGTTTTGCTTGTCGTTGAGCTTGCGATTGTTGACAACGAGGCCGAGAATGATGGGCGGCACAGCGAGGACAATGGCGACGATGAGGAGGATGTGCATGTAGTCGTTGTAGGCGCTGATGATGCCGGCCCTCTCAGGGGTGCCGATGGGGTAGGTGGTGATGGCAGTAAAGGGGTTGGCGAAGATGGCTGCACGCTCGGTGGCACTGAGCATAGGAAGGTATTTCTCGTAGTAGCCAGGAAGGACGTTGGTCTGAACTGCACCGACGAGGGCATTACCACAAGCACCACCCATCTCGGTGAGGAGGAGGAAGTAAGCAGTGACGGTAGCGACATCCTGGTGACGGACGCTGACCTGGGCGGCAACCTGAAGGGTGATACCGAGGAAGCCTCCACCCATACCCTGAAGAACCTGGGGGAATACGGCCTGAACATTGGAGGAGCCGGCAGATCGGTACTTGATCATGAGGCCAATGCCAAGCAATCGAATGCAGGCACCCGAGACCAAGACCCATTTGTAGTTCTTGGTACCGAGAGAAAGGAAGCCGGCGGCGATACCAAAGACGGTCAAAGCCAAAGACTGACAGTTGGAGAAGTAGAGAGCGCCGGTGCTGTCGTAGCCCATGACGATGAGAGACCAGTAATAGGCAGGGACCCAGGAAGCGTAGAAGCTGAAGAAGTCGAAGAAGCCGATGGCGGTGGCGAAGTGAACGTCGCGGTTGAGCCTCCATCGCCTGTTGAGGATGGGCTTGGGAGCAAAGATCTCCCAGACGCAGAAACCGATGAGCATTAGACCGCCGATGACGAGCATGGCGATGATCCAGCCAGTGGACCAGCCGTCGGGCTGGAGCTTTGCGAGGTTGAGAGGAAGAAGGAGGAGGAGGAAACCAACGCAGATGAGGAAGAGGCCGGGTGCGTCAATGTCGATGAGGAAGGAGTACACGGCGGTGAGGAAAGGCATGGACTTGTAGGGGTGATCGGGGATGAGACCCTTTGCCTTGGCCCTCCTCTGGTTGACGGCAAGGGCGAGGATGATGGAGAATGCGGCGACGGGAGCGCAGATGCTGAAGAAGCCAGGGCCCCAACGCCAGTTGACGGTGCCGATCTTGCTGGCGATCTGCGAAGCCACATAGAAGTTGACGACGTAAGGAAGACTGACCAGACCGATGGCGGCACCTCGCCACTTTGTAGAGATGTAGTCGGCGATGACGATCTGCTGCATGATCTGGACACCGGTGTTGCCGAGGGCGTAGATGACGGTGCCTCCAGCGACGTCACGAGTTTGCTGAGCTACAGCGATAATGACGAATCCAAGAACCCAGAAGAAGACAGACAAGGCGTAGGCCTGAGCACGACCAAAGACGTCGGCCAACTTTGCGATGGGGAACTTGCCGACGGCGATCAGGACAGCCTGTACAACCGAGACGGCGGTGTAGGCTTTGTAATCGTTGAAGGAGGTGGTGGCGTACGTCTGCCAGGCATACATGGTGTTGTTGTCGAGGCCGTAGAGGTAGGCGACGAGGGCGATGCCGAGGATGCCGACCCAGAGCGTCCAATCAGCTACACTTCGACCTGCCTCAGCAGCGACGACACCGATCTGCTTGTCGGCGAGGTCGTGCTTGTTGTGGTGAGAGTCTTGAGATGCATCCCAGCGTTCGCGCTCGACGTTCTCGACGTCCGAGGGTTGCGACATGTTGACTGAGGGGAGGAGAGATTGATGT